GTGCGGGGTGGCGCATCATCGACTCAGGAAAAAAAAACCACACCCCGGCCGGCACACCACATCAAGTATACAATTTGCTGTGGCTGCGGCTACTCGTCACCTATTGTATTATCCGGATTATAAGACGCGAGATTTTTTTTGTCCTCGCTTGGATCTTTAAACGAACGTTGCGCGTATTGCATGCATGTCCCGTGTGGTGAACTTCTTTCGCACCGTGCGTGGCCGGCCGTGCTCGTTGGAGGTGCGGGGGAAGGACATCAAACACGTGCAGCCCTGCAATTGCCTGCCCGTGCCAGTGCTGGCAGAAGGACCTCTACTATTTGGTGTCCGTCACCAAATGTAGGAGGTGGGAGTATCCATACTTTACCCCACCATGTGCCGTACCCGTTGATACTGCCGGGATGACGGAGGCGGGGATGGGGGAGTCTAAGAAACTTTCCCCCATTGTTACAACCGCCGCACCAGGAGATCCAACCGAACCGGTGTACTCTGCATGGTATGTGTGTACGTTGAACTTCTTTCGCACCGTACGTATTCCAACCCATGCTAATCGGCGGTGCGGGCAAAGTCGTCGGCGCGCTGACATTCACACCACGGCAGCGTGCCCGCCGTTCGTGCAGTCCGTGCCGCTTGGACAAAACGTGCGGCGTTGCCGCTCGCGGATGGGATGGCCGACGATCCCCTGCCGCCGGCACCTCTCGCGACGGCGAACGGTTCCGTCGCCGAGTGGCTGAATGAGGGAAGAACGGGAGGCGCGAGCGGTCGCCTCGCCGTGTCACGACCAGCCGTCGAGCAGCGGCCGACGGGGAACTTTCGTCGTCGTTATCTCGACGCTCGAAACCGCGGCCGTCCGTGCCAAGGGGCATTTGGCGAATCCGGCCACCCGGGCCTGCGACGGCGCGTCACGTGTGGGAGCGTGAGCGGCCTGCTGTGGGGGCCAGGGAGGGAGCGGGGTGGGGGGTGGCAGTGGGCCGCGGTTGGAATATTCAGAGCGCGAGTTGGGTTGGCACCGCTCCCACGCTAGCACGAGCGCGTGGTGTGACGACCAAACAACTAAAAAACCCGGCAACAGCGGCGATGTTGCTGGGGCAGGTGATGAATTCTCACCGAGCAGGGCTTTATTTTTTTAAGTCGGAACAGTGCCCGGAATGCTGTACCGGGAATTGTTTTGGCACGCCGCATCCACCTTGGCTTATTTTGTTCTCATTGTACAATTTACTTCGAGAAATCTGTTCGTGGTATAATAGGAATATAGGGTACAACAATAATGTAGGAGTATTACGTATAGGCATACACTCTGTGTTCTAGTGGCCATGCCTTATACCGGTCATCTCCAGCGCCCTGGAAAATATCGAGCGGGGAAATTAATCCCTGCTTATTGGTGCGGCGTCTTACAGCCACTCACCATACCTCGGGGGTCTTGGGGAAAACTCACTTCACAGGCAGTGTAGCAAGTGGGTTGTTGTCTTAAAAAAAAAAATTCAGCCCCTTTGCCAATCCCCTCCTGGATGAGGACACTTTGTCTCATGGCAATGCTGAGCGCACAATCGTAAACAAACTCGTGGTAGTGGGGAGGGTAAAAAAAGCTTGCTTTGCTTTTTGTTGTTTTGATGCAAATGGCACAGTGTCGGCAGTAGGCTTCCTCGCACTCGTGACTGCACAAGCGGCCGAGTCGTGGTGGTGAACCGAGACTGCAAACAGGATGGGCGGTAAGCGTCAGCCAAGAACCTCGTGACCGCTCTGACAATGCAGCTCCCCCCTCGTGCGGCCCTGTTTTAGGAACGCGAGCGCGTGGAGAGGAGCGGGCACGCGCTCGCACGCACGCACGCACGTCGTGCTGACCCTCGCCTCTGCCCACGAAAGCTGAAATTCACCCGCTTCGCTCCAGAAAATTGACGGTGGCCCGCAGTTCAACGGCAGTCACTTGTTTCAAAAGGACGGGGACCGCGTGAGGACTTGCCACTGCGAGCCCGCTTTGATCGCTCAACCGACAGAATTTTGGACGTTGGTCGGCCTACCCTTGCGGCCAACATCGACGTGGACATGTGCACATGTCTGATGGAGTCCCCACCATATGGAGGAGGAGGAAGAATAATAAGAAACAAATGCCTCCAGTGCGTTGGCGCAGCCGTCTTCAGAGCATGCTGCCGTCAGCGGCAACAGCGTTGAATTCGGAGCGTTTGTCCATTTCTAGCCTTCCTCAATCCAAGGGCTGGCCACGAGGTGGGATGCACCCACGGGGCTCTCTGCCTTGGGGCGAATTGTCCCGCACGGAGCCCCGTCCAAGCAAACTGCGTCGTCGATCCAGGATCTTCTGGGCCGGCCGCGGGCCTCATTTTCCTGGAAGCCGTGCCTTGCGTTACTACCTTGCGTTACCACCTCGCGTTACCACCTCGCGTTACCACCTCGCGTTACCACCTCGCGTTACCACCTCGCGTTACCAGCTCGCGTTACCGCCTCGCGTTACCGCCTCGCGTTACCACCTCGCGTTACCACCTCGCGTTACCACCTCGCGTTACCGCCTCGCGTTACCACCTCGCGTTACCGCCTCGCGTTACTACCTTGCGATGCCATCTTCTCCAGGCCGTCTCCTCCAAGTTTTCCCCGCAGGATCTGTCCCGGCGCACGATCATATTACTCTTTCTCTTTGATGAACTAAAAATAATTATTTGTACCCCGTTTCATCAAAGATTGATGCAATTGTCTGGTGGGGCTTGTCTCAGGGGGTTCTTCCTGAGTGTATGTAGCAGTGCCTTTCAGCAACTAAGGCCCTTATAAAGTATTTAAATATCCAACCACAATATAGTGATTTTATATATATATATCGAGACAAACGGGAGACAAAGTCGATGCAATGAAGACAGACCTCGTTGCCTTTTGACTTGTTGAACGAGTGTGTTTTCAGGCGTGGTTTAAAAATGGACATTCAAAACCGGCTCGGTTTATGTTGCTGTCGTGTACGTGCGTCACGACGTGATTTTAACGTGCTCGCGCATTGCCTTGATAAGCGACATTCAATGGGCCAATCTTGCCGAGGGGGCGTTTTATGGGTGCATCAGGGTATACGTCAGTGCTAAAAATGAAGAGCACGCCCCGATGGAAAGAATTTCGGAGTGATGGTTTGAAATTTGATGTGATAATGGCAACAACAGCAAAAGTTAAAAGGATTAGCAAGTTTTGTAGCGTGGCCGATTTTAAGTAGGACTGGTGAAAGCAAATCGTGGGGCAAAATGTTGAATATTTTTGGACTTGTCTTAATGTGTTTCCTTTTATTCCTGGGTTTGCATCTTTAACCAATTACGTCCCAAGTGCAGTCAGCATCTGGCCACAGAGATACACTTGGTTGTTTTTTCTGGCAGCCTGTACGAAGGGGAGAGCTGTGTGGGGGCACGTTGAACTGGTCACGCGAGGCCCTGCTTTTACTCTTGACGAAATATCACCCAAACATCCTGAAAGGGTCTCTTTGCTCACTGCCTTTGGTCCATGTTGCTCTTCAGTGTTTTTAAATATGAATAATAATGCCCTTTATTTGTCCGCGAAAGCCTCGCCTAGTCTCGAGATTTTTTCCGGAGGTACCTGCTGCATTGGGATGTTTGGCCATATCCATCAAGGGGTGTTTGTATGTATGTATATTCAGGCTGGCCTTAAAGTGCACATAGCCTGGCACAAGCGCCGTTGTGACATCACCACCACTTAGTGGCGAATGGCGGTTGTATGTATCTTGAACTTCTTTCACGCCGTACATAACCAACCGTGCTAATCGGAGGTGTGTCCAGCTATCTCCTGGCCAAGTTACAACCGAGCACTGCAACCAATGCCGCCCGCTATTCCCAGGCAGTCTTCTATCCAGTGTCACCCGGTCGTAACCAGGTCATTTGGGCGGTTTTTGCTCCGCTCTGTCGTACGTGCCCCTTGGATCGAAAACCCCGCAAAAAGTGGCTTCGATGGGAAGGCTGGAGTCCAACCGCGTCTAATTTTCGCGGCAGGTGTCGGCACAGTGTCAAATTCTCGAGTGCGCTGGCACTGTGCGGGCAAGGCTGGCATCGGGCCACTCTTCCATCACGCACCGTAGCGGCCACAGCTGTCGCGCGGGAGCTAATTTTGGAAAAACTTGTGGCCACCTGGCACCGCTGCCAAACGTTGGAAAACCAGGCTCTGAAATTATGCTTTCCACTCGCGCTCATGCGGCGAGCCCGGGTCAAACGTCTACAAAGAGCTCTTCCTGGGGGGTGTGGTGGGCTGGAGCGGTGGGGCACTCGTTACCGCCCCTCCGTTGCAGTCAAATCCGGCGACGCGGTTTGGAATCCCCGCCACTGCAACGTCAGTGGCGAGTGATATTTGAGCCGGCCCTGGGCACACACCCACCCACCTGCCCACCCGCCCACCCGCTTCCCTGTCACTAAGTTCCATCTCCTCTGACCAGTGATATATGACGGTTGTGGCGAGATGTTAGCGACCTCTTCTGGTATGCAGGTGGTCGTGGGTTGGATCCCGACCCTGACCCCTGCTCTGTATTTGGAGTTTGCATGTTCTCCCCGTGGTCGTGTGGAATTTTTTTTCCGGCTCCTCTGGTTTTCCCCTCCACTTTTAAAATCAACGGCCGTTTAAGTATTTGGCTGCTATTCATTTTCACGTGATAAGCCACTTCGTTGAGCTATCATTTGTGGCCAGGTTGCTTCTGAAAAAGAGCCTTATCTGGCAAAATTTTTGTTTTAATAATTTAATTTAAATCCCTCCCCATGACAGACACAGCGTCGACATGGGGAGGCCTTCATCCAGCAGTGGATTGGCAAAATTGCTGTAAACTGAACTTTCATCTATTTCATTTGGACGAGAGGTCATTGAAATTACAAGTATTTTTTTTTTCAAGAGAGATCGCAACTCTTTTTAAAAAAGAGCTGCCCAATATTTGGCTGACTGGACCCTCGCTTTGTTATAAACGAATGTTTATTGATATAACCATTCGGCATGTAATGAACCCCTACCGTGCGTGCCTGCAGGGCATGGAGAAGCCCTTCTCGGAGGTGATCAAGGCCAATATTGGGGACGCGCACGCCATGGGCCAACGGCCAATCACCTTCCTGCGCCAGGTGAGCTCGCGGTGCGCATGCGGACAGAGCTGTCGCTGGTGATGATGGTGATGATGGTCATGTTGGTGGTGCTGGTGTCAGTGGTGATGATGGTGGTGGTGTTGCTTGTGATGGTGGTGGTGTTGATATCGCTGGTGTTGTTGGTGGATTTGGAGCTGCTGGTGGAGCTGGTGGTGATGATATCGATGGAGTTGTTGAAAGCATTGCTGTTGATAAAGTGCTTGACAGTGGTGGTGGTATTGATATGTAGCTGCTGGTCATGATAATGGAGCCACTGCTGCTGGTGCTGATGGAGCTGGTGAAGTTAGTGCCTCGTGGTGGTGATGATAAAGATGGTAGTTGCGTTGAAGTGATCTGTGATGTTAGCGCTGTTGGTGACATTGATAGAGCTGGTGGTGGTGGTGGTCTTTATGTAGCTGCTGCTCGTGATCTTGATGAAGCTGCTGATGCTGCTGCTTTTGATGCTGATGCTGGGTCGACTCGGCCAAAAATGAGTACCTGGTGTGGTATCTAAACATCGCCACTCGGGAGACAAAGGCGGCCGAGCGTGGTGCTTTGCCACCCAGAGTCTCGTGTGCAGTGCCGGCCTCAATAGGTGCTCGCTAACAGCACTTGCCCCAACGATCTGTTAAGGCTATACGGGGAATCTTTGTCTTGATGCCGACAAAGCCGGAGCTGGTGTTGCAGACGGAGCTGGAAGCGCCTCTGCTCACATGGTTCCCTCTCTCCCGCGTGTACATACATGTGTGCGCGTGTATGTGCGTGCATGTGTGTGTATGTGCGCGTGCATGTATGTGTGTGTGTGTGAGTGTGTATGTGTGTATGTGCATGTGTGTGCGTGTGTATGTGTGTGTGCGTGTTGTGTGCGTGTGTATGTGCGCGTGCATGTGTGTGTGCGTGTGTATGTGCGCGTGCGTGTGTGCGTGCGTGTGTATGTGCATGTGTGCAGGTGCTGGCGCTGTGCGCCTGCCCTGAGCTGCTGGAGCGCGACGGCTTCCCCGAGGACGCCAAGCAGCGCGCGCAGCGCATCCTGCAGAGCTGCGGCGGCGTCAGCATCGGTAAGTGAGGGAGCATGGCCAGACGTGCGTACGTACGCGCATGCATGCACACGTATGCATGTGCACACACATTCGCACACACACGCGTACACACGTATACACACATGCGTACACACACGCGTACACACACACGCGTACACACGTACACACCCACACGGGCGATAGGGCAGCAGGGTGGCACAGTGGTAAAACCTGTGCCCCACAGTAAGAAGGACCTGGGTTCGATTCCTGACTCGGGCGCCTTTTGGCGTCCTCTGGTCTAACACTGTTTCAGACTAGGCTCTAAAGAAGGCTGTCACTAGTGTGGACCAATCAGTTTCAAAGACAATGCATATATTTTATCAGAGCATGTTTTTGTTTGCATGTTCACCACAAGTTCGTGTGGTTAATGCAGACAGGATTCCTTGCAAAAGGTTTCTGTTTGGTGTTTTAACATGTTAACACAACAGTTGTATTGCCAGAAAGGGTTAAACCTATTCTTTGTACGTATGTACGTTGAACTTCTTTCGCACAGTACCTAGCCCAACCGTGCTGATCGGAGGTGCGGGTGGGGGAAGGGCAACAAACTAAACACAACAAAAGTTCTTAAGAAATTCGTTTTCAATTTCCAGTGTAGCTGTGGGTCGGGTCAAGCACGGTCTTAGGCCTCATCTGGTGCGTCGGGCCGTAGTTTTTCCCCTCCAACGCTGTCCGATTGAAGCACGCAGCACAAGCACACAAATAAAACACACGTGCCCCAGCCGTGTTCAAAGCTATCAAACGAAACATTTCAGCTTATTGGAAAAAAATATATATATAGTCATGGTCATGTGTCCTGCTCTAGTGTCATCACGAGGTTAATCTTGTTCAATAAAGCGTGGGGGGGGGGGGGGGGCAGTGTCACGGTGACATCTCTCAAGTGCCGTGATAACGCAATTGGCCAGAGCGGTAAAGTTTTGTTTGTCACGCTTCCTCTTCCTCTGTCGTACGGCGTGTTGCGGAGATGATGAGCGATCGATTTTTGGAACGGCAACGAGACAAGATTTATAAATGGATGTCTGTGATATCTTGCTATTTTCAGCTGTACCGACTGTACGCCGACGAATGGCTGTGGCGCCGTCGTTCATTGGTTTTGGTGGACAGCAGTTAACCACGTGTGTTTTTCAGTAGCGAAGCTTCACAGTTGTGATTTAGTTCTCCAGAAACACAACCGAGATGTACTGAGCTTGCAATGTTTCAGGAGCGAGATTCGCTTGAAGAATCGATTATTTTTGTGGTGTTCTGGCCTTGATGGGTGCTCGCTAACAGCACGTGCCCAACGGTCCGGTCAAGGCTACACAGGGGATCTTTGTCTTTGCCTGCAGGCTCGTACAGCGCCAGCCAGGGCATCGCCTGCGTGCGGGAGGACGTGGCGCGCTTCCTGGAACGCCGCGATGGCATCGCCGCCAACGCAGACGACATCTACCTGTGCACGGGCGCCAGCGAGGGTGTCGTGGTAACGACCGCGCGGGCACGGGGTGGCACGCCAACCCGGCTCCACCATCGCGAAATCATCATCACTTTTTTTTTTTTGCTCAGTCGGTGTTAGCCGCTGAGGTCGTGACAGGTTTTTTTTTCCATTGTTGTTTTTGCACACTCCTGTAACGTTCTCATTCTGCTGCAGTGTGCACCGATGCACCTCCGATTAACACGGTTGGCTACGTGAGGCGCGAAAGAAGTTCAACCTGCATACGTACATGCCTACTTTATGGAGGGCGATATTGGCACAAGTACACATCTCAAAGCGTCCAGGACAAAGGGGCGTTTGAGATCATACCTCAGTCGGGAAGGATTCATTCTGGCACGGCAGCGTACCCCCCCCCCCCCCCGCCAATGCCGGACGGGAGTGGCACGTGGCCTGTGATCCAGCGCTGTGGAGGCAGTGCGGGTCGGTGAATCGCTGCACAAATGCTGCGAAACTCCCATCCCGTTGGTATCGAGGTGTCACACCCTGCCGTGAGAAGGCGGGACAGCGTAAAGCCGAACCCGCATCAAGCGAGGGAAGCTTGTTAGGGGCGCCACGGTGGCGAGATGTTAACTTCTTTGTACACAGGAGGTCGTGGGTTTGATCCCGACCCCGACGCCTGTGATAAATGGAGTTTGCATGTTCTCCCCGCGGTCGTGTGTATTTTCTCCGGGTCCTCCGGTTTTTCCCTCCACATTTAAAAACACGCATTGAAGAGTATCTGGCTGCTATGCATTTCCACAGGACAAGCCGCTTTGTTGAGCTATCGTTTGTGGCTGGGTTGCTTCTGAAAAAGAGCTACATTGCTCCATGGGACTTACCTGCTAAAATAAAAAAAAATGTTTGCACGTCTTGCCAAAGGTACATGTGGTTAATGCAGACTTGATTCCTCGCAAAAAGGTATCTTCCTTTGTGTTTGAACACCTTAACACCTGTTTTATTGCCAGAAAGGTTAAAACCTATTCTTATTTTTTCACAACATAAAAAAAAAGTTTCGTAGTAAAAATAACGAATTGACCGCAGACGAATCGTCTTCCACCGATCGCCGCAGCCTCTCTCTCTCCGTCTGTTCTCCCCCCCGCCGCCCCCCCCCCCACGCGGCATCGAAGACGCTGCTCAAGCTGCTGGTGTCGAACGGCGGGCGCGTCCGGAGCGGCGTGCTCATCCCCATCCCGCAGTACCCGCTCTACTCGGCGGCGCTGTCCGAGCTGGGCGCCGAGCAGCTGGGCTACGAGCTGGACGAGGGGCGCGGCTGGGCGCTGGACGTGCGCGAACTGCGGCGCGTCCTGGTGCGGGCGCGTCGCAGCTGCGAGCCGCGGGCCTTGTGCGTCATCAACCCCGGCAACCCCACGGGTATGTGCGTGTGTGCGTGCGTGTGTGTGGGTGTGTGTGCGTGCGTGTGTGTGCGTGCGTGTGTGTGGGTGCGTGTGTGTGCGTGCGTGGGTGCGTGTGTGCGTGTTGTGGGGAGCGGTGGTGTAGCGTTTAGCGCTACGCTGCTCTATGAACCCGGCGACCCGGGTTCGATTCCCGCTCACGGCCAACATCAGTGACGATTATCTGAACCGGTCCCGGGCCTCCCCTAGGTCGACTCAGCCTCAAATGAGTACCTGGTGCGGTGTGTAAACATTGCCACGAGGTCGGGCGTGGTGCTGGCCACCCACCCCCTCGTGTACCATTCCGGCCTTCATAGGTGCTCGCTAACAGCACTTGCCTCTACAGTCTGTTAAGGCTATATGGGGGATCTTTGTCATCTTTGTGTGTGCGTGTGTGTGCGTGGGTGTGGGTGCATGCGGCGTTGGGGGGGGGGGGGGAAACGCGGTGGTGGCCACCCGCCATTCTCGTGCACCGTGGCACCGGCCTTGTATGTAAACTCAAAACTATAAAGTTTTTATATTCTTGGTTCTTTCGGTAAAGTCACGTAGAAGGGAAATAATAAAATAATACAGATATTAAACAATAAAAAGGGAAATAATAAAATAATACAGATATTCAACAAAACGTTTTCAGGGAAATAATAAAATAATACAAATATAAAACAATACAACTTTTTATTGTTTGATATTCGTATTATTTTATCATTTCCCTTCTACGTGACTTGACCGAAAGAACCAAGAATATGAATCCCTGCAGTCACGAAAGCTTTAAATCAAAATGTAAAGTTTTTATTTACCAAGTAAGGCCCACTGAGCTGCGTAGCTCTTTCAGAAACGACCCGGCCACGAATGATAGCTCAACTACAGTAAGTGTCTCATCACGTGGAAAATTATAGCGGCCCGTTGATTCTGAATGTGGACGGAGAATCCGGAGGACCCTTTGAAAAATTCACACGACCACGGGGAGAACATGCGAACTACAAATACTACAGGTGTCAGGATCAGGATCGAACCCATGACCTGCATACCAGGCGAGCGAGTTAACATCTCGCCACCGTGGTATATGTGTGTGTGTTGGACTACTTTCGGACCGTACGTAGCCCAACCTTGCTAATCGTAGGTGCGAGGGGAAGGATAACAAACTAAACGCAAAAAGCAGTTGTAAAGAAATTAGCTTTCAATATAGATTTAGAAGTGCAGAGCTCCAGTGTCTCCCTAATATTGGAAAGAAGAACGTTCCAGACGGCCGCAGAAACGCATCTGAAAGTGCGCGATGCGGTGACCGTCTTTGTTCGATGGCCAGCCAAAGGCGCTCGCCAAAAAGCGCTTGCCCCAAAAGTCTGTTAAGGCCTGTACGGGGGATCTTTGTCTTTGCTGTGGGGGAGCGGTAGTGTAGGGGGTAGCGTAGGAATTGGAAGTCGTGGCCAACGAGGGGAAGATCGAACAGCAGATGGTCGTGTCGGATCTCGCAGTTCGCGTGTCGACTGTGCAGCGGCCGCGAAATCTGCCAGAGGGGGAGAGGGCGTTGGTGAGGTGCGGTGACGACTTTGGCCACGATGACGTCTTCATCTTCGCAGCGCTCGTCCGGCAGTCCGTGCCAAAGTGAGTATCTCTGGACCGCCGTGCTAAACCTCCAGTTAGCACGGTTGGTTACGTCTGGTGCGAATGAAGTTCAACGTACATTACACATACATACATGCTGCGCTCTTTCCCTGGCAGGACAAGTGCAGGACCGGCATAGCATCGAAGAGGTGATTGAGTTTGCTGCTGAAGAGGGTCTCTTCATCATCGCGGACGAGGTGAGAGTTTAATTTACTCCTCGCATGGCCTGTTCGTGCTGGGTTTCTCTGTGTTCACTCTGATGTACCTGGTGAGTCTGGGCTGTGATACTGTCTCTCTCTGTGTCTCTGCAACCGAGACAGCTGATCAACTCACCCGCCCAAACCCTTCTAAGTCCAGGCTCAAATGAGGCGCTGAAAACGAGACTGAAATTCAAACCTTGGCCCTGATTCATGACCATTCATTTTGAATGCCCCAGGTGTGTGATAGTTACATGCCTACAAACCAATCGCAAATGTTGCATTGACGCTCACGGAATACGCGAGGAAGACCAGTGCCAGACAGGTGACTCAAAGTAGATAAGAACAAAAAGAGATCGATTCATGAATACAATTCTGACCGTACGCGTGCAGTCGTCTTGCCAGTCCACAGCTCCAACAAGGTCGTGGGTGTAAATTCGACCGTACTCCAACCACGCTGGCCAGTACGGGTCGGTGAAAGCGGGGAGCACAGAAGTGCGGTCGGGCAACCGATTCCACCGCAGTTCCCTCCGCCGTCCCACCGCGTAGCCCCGTAGCGGCCCGTGGGTTGCCACCCACCCCATCCCTGCTGAGCTTCCCAGGTCTGACGAGATTGGGCGATTTCGCTGGCGATTCGGATTGCGGGAGCGAATCGCCACGCTCCCAACCGCCGTAGGTCTCCCCCGCTACCCGCGCAACAAACCCAACCCGGCGTGCTCCCTAGGTGTACCAGGACAACGTGTACGCCCCCGGCTGCCAGTTCCACTCCTTCAAGAAGGTCCTGCACGACATGGGGCCCGAGTACGAGCAGACGGTGCAGCTTGCGTCGCTGCACTCCACCTCCAAGGGCTTCCTCGGCGAGTGAGTGAGCAGCGTGGGCGGGTGGTACGGGCGGTACGGGGCGATTACGTTTGCCAGACGGGCCGTGCTGCTGTTCATATAAACGCCCTCTCCTGTTCGTGTGGGCGTGTCTCCGTGCAGCCATCACATTTGATCACGTTTTTGCTTTCGATAATTGAACAACGCCGAGGTTTATTTTGTAAAAGCCTCGCCGGCGCCGGTGGCCACGGAGAACATTTACGCTGGATAATCTGAGCTTCGCATGCTGCCGGTGGGAGGAAACCGGTGCAAACAAAAAGGGGGAACTTTGAATAAGGGAACCGATAATCTAGTACAGTAATCGATTATGCAAATAATGGGATAGGCCAGCTCTTGTTGTTTTCATGATGTAGGTAAAACACCTTTACACCACACAGGTGTGTGTGTGGACTTCTATTACACAGTGTACAGGTATAGCACTCACAGGTGTGACGCACGCATACACCACGCACACGTGACAGACATGTAGACACGTGCACACACCGCTCACAGGTGACACGCGCGTGTATGCGCGCCGCGTGCGTGCGTGCGTGCGTGCGAAGGTGCGGCCAGCGTGGAGGCTACATGGAGGTGCTGAACCTGCCGGCGGGCGTGAAGGCCGAGCTCGTGAAGCTGGTGTCGGTGCGCCTGTGCCCGCCCGTGCTGGGCCAGGCCACCGTGGACGTGCTGGCGAACCCGCCGGAGCTCGGCGAGCCCTCCCACAGCCTCTACGTGCAGGTAGCGACGCCCCGGGGTACCGAATCGCGCGTGATGCTGCACTATCCCGTCGGATCTCAGAAGCTGAGCAGGGTTCGGCCCAGACGGTGCTCGGACGGGAGACCGTCACCGTGCACAATAGGGGGCCCCGTTGCGATGGGGCTGCTGCGGGGCTAACGCGGTGGTCGACAGAGGGGCGGTGCGGCAACAAGCCGTTGTTGCGCCATACTTCAACGCTCCCACCGCGTCTGTGCACCCCACCTTGAGCGACCCGCGCTGACCAGCATGGTGAAGTATCGTCGGGTCAACCCCCACCCCCACAACGCCCCGCGCACGCGTAGGGAGGCTGTCATGCCATTGACAAGTGGATAGTGCCACGCCACGTGCGTCGTCGTCGTTGTGATTGTGCGGTGTTTTCGAGTGGCTGGGAGGGAATGAGCGAGCGAGCGGGCGGCCGCGACGCTCGAGGCGCCGGTGGCGGCGGTGGGCATCGTCGTCGCCATCGCGCTGACGCCGCCTCCGCGCGTGCGCCCGTTCCCGCAGGAACGCGACTCGGTGCTGCGCTCGCTCGCGCGGAAGGCGCTGCTCACGGCTCAGCTGCTCAACGGCACGGAGGGGATCGCGTGCAACCCCGTGCAGGGAGCCATGTACGCCTTCCCGCGCGTGCACATCCCCCCGCGAGCTGTGGCCGAGGCCCAGGTGAGCACGTCGCTGCCACAGATCGCGCGTCCGGGTGAGCGCGGCCGGATACGCGCGGCGCGAAAGAAGTTCGACGCACGTACGAACGCACGAGCGCATGCACGTACATACGTACGTCCACGTCAAGCTACCCCACGCCACCTGCTTCGCCATCCGTGCTTCACTAGAGGTGTCCTGGGTGGTTCGAAGGTCGGGGAGTGTTGAGCTGCCATCCGTCGAGTTCCTGGGTTCGGCTTCAAGCGGTCGCCCGTGATAAATGCTGTGCGGGTAGGCATGCGACGACTCATCCGTTGAACTCGATTGTTGTGCAATATCCCGTGTAACTCATTCTCTCTGCAATATTGACGCCTTTGTTTTTTGTTGTTTCTGTGGTCACACGCCACAATTTTCCCCTGCAAAATATCCGGGAAACTGGCTAAATGGGACCATCCGTGCAATAAAAATGAACTCAACATTGCGTGTAGGAATCAATTAATTATAATTCATGTAAATGATATGAAAATTGAGTGGAGCGGCGGTGTAATGGTACACGCAGTGTTCTATGAACCCAGCAACCAGACTTTGATGCCCGGCCACCGTTAATATCAGTGGCGAGTGATGATCTGTTCCAATCCTGGCTCACCCCTTCACCAGCCAAGATTGACCGGCGTAGTGAAGTATGGTCATAGAACCCCTCTCAACGACATGGCGTGGGGGAGACATTTACCCAGCAGTGCATGGACGAAGGGTTGCAAATAACGGTGAAAAGGTGTTTTCACCTGACGTTTCGGACAATGAACCTTCTTCAGAGAGAAGGCAACATTATTGGCCGACTTGTATTTGAAGATCACACGTCACCCGGTGGGACGCTCAGAAAACTGGGACACTGCAAAGAATTTGCACAATTTGAATTTCCATCTGAACAGATTCGAGCTCGTACAAAAAAGCAGTTGCATCAACTCACTTAATGACAAATTGAGTTTATATGTTACTTGTGATACCTCCACAATTCTGGCTGTCGTCTTATGAGGCTGGTTGTAATGACCCACGAAACGTCAGGGTACTCGAATTGTAAATGTTGTTCATAATCAACGATTTTTGGGTTTAGATCGCGTTTATTTATAAATGTGTCGTAACCCTCCACCACCCGACACGGCCAATCAGTAAAAATGTGTCACGTTGACAAAGACAAATAGTTCACTGCTTTAGCCCACCGGTGTGTTGAAGCAACAACATTTACAATTTGAGTACGACGTTTCGCTGGTAATTGCAACCAGCATCATCGGGCAATTCGCCAGAATGGTGAGGCTCTCCTGTGTCTCCCGTTCTTATATAGAGCAGCAGCAGGGTGACGTCATCATTAACTCATCAGGTGCAAAGATTCAAGGGGGCGAGTGATTGTAATTATATACTAGATTAGTAATCAGGCTATTGTTACGATGCGAGTTTTAGATTAGTAATCATTTGGAATGTGCTTTATTGTGATTATGCTACATTAGTAATCAGTTAGTGGTTGTTTCCCTTATAAGTAATTGTAATGTATCTTATTTAATAATACGCTTCCTGGCCGCACTAAGCCTGTAGCTGTCTGAGCGATTAAAGTTATTTCTGTTTCTCTCAATTTCAATCGATTCTCTAATTAGTCTTTGCCAGTAGTAACTAGTTTTACACAACACTTCCACGTTGTCAAAATCAATTGAGTGTCCCTGTTGGCATGCATGTTCTGCTACTGCCGACAGTTGTGTTTGTGATAGTTTAATATTTCTCTGGTGTTCTTTAGTCTTACACTAACGTTACGCCCTGTCTGTCCAATATAGCATCTGCCACATACACAATTAATCCGATATACACCTTCTGTTGATAATTTAGGTAATTCGTCTTTAGTGCACGTTACTAGTTGTTGAATTTTGTGTACTGTACCAAATCTTACTGTAATGTTTTGCTTTTGCAAAACACGGGCTAATTTATCAGTTACTCCTGAGATAAATGGTATTTTTATTGTTTTAATAATCTGATCGCTTTCAGCAGTGTTGCTTTGCGATCGTGATTTGGCTTTTAGTGCTCTGTTAATTTGAGCATTATTGTAGCCATTCTGTCTTAGTGCTTCTTTAACATGTTTAATCTCTCTCACTAGACTTTCACCATCTGACACTGTTTTAGCCCGATGTATGAGCGTCTTGATAAGAGAGGATTTCTGAGCTGGGTGATGATGCGAATCTGCATTCAGATAGGCATCAGTGTGCGTTGGCTTTCTGTAAACGCTGTGTGTTATTTTACCGTTTGGGCCATGCCCAAGTAAAATATCCAGGAACGGGAGTGTGTTATTCACCTCCATTTCCATGGTGAACTGAATGGCCGGGTTTTGTGCATTGAGATGATTTAGAAAATCGTTAAGTGTATCTTTACCATGTGGCCAGACAACCAAAGTGTCATCCACATATCTAAACCAAAAGGATGGTTTTAATGTGCTCGAGGCAAGTGCTCTGGTTTCAAAGTTTTCCATGTACAAATTTGCTATAGCAGGAGATAAAGGAGAGCCCATTGCTGCTCCCTCCCTTTGTTTAAAGAATTCGCCTCTCCATAAGAAGTAAGTGTTATTTAAACAATGGTCTGCGAGTTTCGGAATATCTTTTGGTAAACCTGTATTCTTTACCAGTGTATCAAGTAATTTAAGCGACTCGCTCACTGGAACCTTAGTGAATAGCGAAATCACATCAAAACTCACCAAAATATCATTAGGGTTAAGTTTAATATCTTTGATCATATTCACAAGATGTTCTGAATTTCTTATGAATGATGATGTCCTACCGATGTAAGGCTGAATTTGTTTAGTTACATATTTTGCTAATTTATAGGTGGCAGAGCCAATTGTACTGACTATAGGTCGTAAAGGGATGCCGACTTTATGGATCTTTGGTAGCCCATACAGTCTAGGTGGTTTTGAAGCCCTTGGCTTCATTAGGAATTGCTCATTTTTTGGGATTAATGAATTTGCAATGATTGCAGTAGTCTTACGTTCCAAAGTATTAGTTGGATCTCGTTTAATTTTAATGTAGGTACTTTCCTCTAATAAATCTTTAATTTTATTATCATAATCGTCTCGTGACATCACTACTGTAGTGCGGCCCTTGTCAGCTGCTAGGATTTGAATATCTTTGTTTAGACGAAGCTCTCTTAAGGCTTTTGCCTCGTTCGAGCTAATATTTACTTTAGGTACTTTACTATTCTCAATAATTTTGGCAACCTCGTGTCTAGTCATCTCTGCCTCATTATGTGGAAGGAGTCTTACTGCTGATTCTACCTCAGCAATTATCTCATCCACTGGAATTGTGCGTGGGGTAACGGCAAAGTTAAGGCCTTTAGAAAGGACAGAAATCATGTCAGTGGTTAAATCAGTGTTAGTCAAGTTCATTACGGTTTTGTTTTCAAATTGTTCGTTTTTAATAGGGATTTGTTTATTGTAAAGTCTAGAAAATTTGTTAATTTGGTTAGCATTTGTTAGATTAAACACATTATCAGCCGATTGTTGTGTTATAGTATCGATTATATTCCAATCATGCATGGACACACTGTTGCTTATATTTAAATGTAAATGCTTTAGCGATTCAGAAATGTTGGATAATTCACTCCTGTTGTGTTGTATTCTCTCTATTAATAATAATTCGCTAGCTTTGTGTAGTATTTTGTTAGCCTTAGAAGACTTTATGTGATGTGTTATTTTAACTGCGTTTGGTATTACCTTCGAATCTCTGCACCTTTTGAGGAACGCCAATGAAGATATCAATTTGTGGGTTTACTCTCCAACACACAACCGGTGTGCTGAAGTAGTAACTGATTGGCAATGTTCTGCTTACGTGACAAACCTTACTAATTTCCTGTGTCGGGTGGTGGCGGCGGGTTTAATGACACATTAATATTTCCGCGACCTAACCTAAAAAAAAATTATGTTACTAGAAATCTGCATCGTGTGTCGTGTAGCCGTGACCTTCGACCCCCCCCCCACCCGCAGGCACGAGGCCTCCTCCCGGACATGTTCTACTGCCTGCAGCTGCTGGAGGAGACTGGGATCTGCGTGGTGCCGGGCAGCGGCTTTGGCCAGAAGGACGGCACCCACCACTTCCGGTGGGTCCCACTGCTCCGTTGCCACGGCGTCGTCTTCCAGGCAGGCAATTGGCTGTTGCAGCGAGAGAAAGGTTGACGCTCGTGGAGGGAGAGGGTTGCCGATCTCACCGGGACTCCCCAAAATGACCTTGAATTACCATCCGTTCTCTGTTATTTCGGACCAACTACGACCGTATGGTGTTGACACGCGACAAGGTTTTGAGAGCGTTTTCTAATACCAGGCCGCAGGGTACCTATTTTTACCGATTTGTCACATGTGTGTAAGCTGCAACGACTAGATTGGCATTTGAATAGATCAGTGCGCCCTTCACCAATCTGCACTGACCGGCGTGGTGAAATATAGTCGGACAACACCCCGATGACTGGCACACGATCGCCAGGCCTTCTCCTGGCAGTTCGATCACCAAAGAGCCGCGTGTTAACATGCACATGCATGACCACGCGTGCGTGCTTACCGTTCATCCTCTCGCGTGCAGCATGACCATCCTGCCGCCCGAGGAGAAGCTGAAGATCCTCCTGACCAAGGTGACCGAGTTCCACGCGAGGTTCACCGAGTTCTACGCCTGATCGCCGCCACCCACCCAGGGTCGTGACCCCCCCCCCCCACCCCCGCCTCCTCCCCCCCCCTCCCCCGTCACCCACCACACGGCGTGACGACGCTCTGCCCCGCCGCGACCCACCTCGTGGGATCTCATCGCTCCGACGTCGCGAACCCGACTCCGCGCCCTCCGTCTCGGCACAAAAGAAACTGGATACTCCCGGGATCTCTCGAAGACCGTCTTGCCGGACTGGGGACGAGCAAGGTGGTGGACCCCGTAACCTCCGGAAGTGCCGCTTTGACCGCGGCCTGCGCTTGCCTTCTGAAACGAACTCCTGGCCGTGTCGGCTGAACGGCCGCTGCGGTTGAGATTGCCGGGCGAGCCGACGGAGCCGGCTTGCGTTGACTGCATCGCCTCTTTGTGTAATCGTGGTGTCCTGTGACGTGCGGTGTGTGGGGTCGGCTCGATGGCTTACGCGTCGCACGCACACACGCACACCAACGCTGTCCGTGCGCTCGCTTGCTCGCACAAGGGGAAGCGAACCTATCGCCAATGAATGTAGCGACAGCAACAACAACCACCACGTGCTGCTAAGCGGCGGTGAAGTCGCACGGCGCTCGTGCCAGCTGCGTTGCACCGGTTTCAAAGTCTTATGTAGCACGTAGTCAATTGCACACACAGAGACGCGCGCACGGACGCAGCCGGCCTCGCGCTGTCCCTCCCAACGAGCAAGTCCCACGTGGCATCGCCACTTCTCTCTGTCCTGCCGTAGAATCCCCCGCCAAACGCGGCTGTGTTGATGTCAGGAGGCCTCTACCACACCCACCACCCCTTGACTAAAGTTCGGAATAACAGAACCGGGTTGTGGGGTGCCCGGAACCGTGTGCGTGCACGAGGACGCGCGCCCCCCGCAGCACGGCGGCTCCTACGCGCGACGGCGCATGCGTCGATGCCCGCGTGCGTGCGACCGCATAACGACGATGCCGTTAACGCGCGTACGTGCAGTCGGGCGCACGTTCGGGCCCGCCCGCCCGCATGACACGTGCGGACGCGGTCGACGTTCGCTCACCAGCGCGCGCGGGTTTCTCCCGCTCTTGTGATTTCAGCAGCCAGAATTCGCCGCTGCTCAAAGAAACGGCTGGAACGCATCGTCGCCCGGGGGGTGATTCGTCCCATTCGGGGCAGTGGCGAAGTTGCCGCGTTTCCGTCGAAAATCGGACAGGCCGAGCAACGTTCGGGCTATACAGATAAATCGAGCCCTGTTGTGGACACGTGTTCGCTAGACGTAACGGGGGCCGGTCGAAAAGGTTTTGAGAAGGAGACGGGAACAGAGAATCGCACAGAGCTAATGGCGAGGCGTTTCGTGACGTCCCGTATCGGTGTGTAGTAAGCTAATGCTGTTGTTTGTAATGGTTGAAAACACTGCAGAGCCGAAGTGCCATGGTGAGAGCGTTTAGTTTACCAACCTGCTCTTTAGCTAGCCCTCTCATAATTAACACTTAACGAAGCTTAGTCACGTGCATTGTATTACAGAACTTAACTCGTAGCATTGTAGCCGCTGCGGAAACCGTGCACGGATCGGGTAGAATTATTTTTTTAAAGGGATTTTTATTTCTCGAGTGGAGATGATGGTTATGGTGATTTTTAACTTGACTGTCCCCACCCTGTGCGGTTATTCTAAACCGAGTACTCATTTTGGTGCAGTTTTGAGCCTCTATGGTGGCAACCCCGGAGACAGTTTTGAATAACCGGACTCTTGACTGTAGCTGCACAAAGACGTCTGGATTTTATTTTCCCCTTGTACCTCTTTTCCACTGTGCAACTGAGCCGCGCTGGGGCCACGCGGAGCCAGCCTGGCTCGGCTCAACGTTGTTTTTCCACCGCAGATGCCGAGCAGTGCCACTCACACCGCGCACGCAAAGAACGAGTCAAGACGCATTCAGGTGGAACGCGGTGACGCTGAGCTTAACCCTTTTCCATTCCGATGACGTACGTGTATGTCATAGAAACGGAATCGGAAGAAAAAAATGAAACTTTATCGGTACCGAGGCTCCCACAAGGCCATGCGGGGAGGACGTGTGGCCCAGTTTCGTGCCTGCTATCGTAGGGTGTGGTCGTGTCGCTACGGTTCTCCGCAGTGAGTACTTTAAAAACAACGGCGCTGTGCCCCTCTTAAGTAAAATGAACGCTGAGCCGCTTGTGTGTTCCAAGAATCAGCGGTGAACGGGACCCACCCTGCAACTTGCAGTCTTCGCGGAACGGGAAAGGAGTTAATTTGCACTGACATCGCCCGCAATGAATGCATCATTGTCCCTAGCCCTGCTTAACCCCAAGCCAGATTCAGATGTCTGGTGAGGTGAGTGTAGGCAACACGGTTTATAGCCAGTGGAAAACCAGATGTGCCAGTGGATCAGCGAGTATTGGTGTCAGAAAACAATTCCTGTTTTTGCAACGATTACTTTAGCGTACGTTTTACGCTGATGACGACAACGAACCTGTGCTTGCACGAGCGCGTGCCAGCGAGTCGCGCCATATAGCTGCAGACCGTTGTCTCTGTGGCCTTATTCACGCGCAAGACTGTTAGGTCCGACTTGTTGTATTCCCATAAGAGGTTTTTGGGTTAGATCGCGTAAATATATAAATGTGTCGTTAAAACCCGCCACCACCCGACACAGCCAACTAGTGAGGGTTGTCACGTAAACAGAACGTGGCCAATTCGTCACTAGTACAGCATCACCGGTGTGTTGGAGAGCCAGGCCACAACATTTACTCAGTTTCTAAATTTTGTGGCTTGGCTTTCCATGTTCACTTTACGCGACGGGTGGTGGCGGGTTTCAACAACACATTTTTACGCGATCGAACCCAAAAACCTCTATTATGGATGATATTGGTCGCGAAAGCCTCCGACGTGTTAAAACGTTTTATTCCACGCGCCTCTGGAGCAGCGCACACACCGCGTGACAGCGCGGTGTTGAAATTCTCGCGTCTCCAATATCCACGGCTCCTTGATGGCATGACGACACGGGCATATCCTGGCATGACGACACGGGCATATCCTGGGATGATCTACAAAGGAGGCGACCTGACGATCAACATTTCCAAACCATCCTAATCACACAGACGAGGTGTAAATGTTAAGGTAATCCGTCTGTGGTATTAGAAAGCACGGCGTATTTAGGGAATAAGTCAGTGGTTTTGCCACGTACACGGAAACTGAATTCGCCATCACATTCCCAGCGTGGGCGAAGAACGCAGTTCGTCCGAGTAACCTCCGACACCACCGTGGTGTTTTTATGAGCATTTGACCCCCTATCAGGGTGGGTGGACGAGTTACTTATACCTCAATTGCGTACGTGATATGGTTGACGCTATTGCCAAGGCGAAAGAAACTTGACGGCGAGACTTTTGTCTGCGCTCCGCTTTGTGGTAAACGTCCGAAGTGGCAGAGCCCGCCCCCCTCCTGCGGACGTCGCGAGGGGAACGAACAGCTGCGGCCACCGAGGTCTGCCCTCTTTAGCACAGGGACAACAGTTTCCCCTACCGCTGCCTGCTTCCCCGCTGCTGAACATCAAATGCGAAGAATCCTGACCACATTTCGATTTAAAGCTTTCGTGACTGCAGGGATTCATCTTCTTGGTTCTTTCGGTAAAGTCACGTAGAAGGGAAGTAATAAAATAATAAAAGTAAAACATAATAAAATAATTCTCACGACGTTTCGGCCACAACGCAAGCAGCCGTCCTCAGGTGAAAACCAAGTCTGTCGGAAAGGCAACGCAAGCAGCCGTCCTCAGGTGAAGAACAGGTCTGTCAGAAAGGCAACGCAAGCAGCCGTCCTCAGGTGAAGAACAGGTCTGTAGAGGCGACAGCGTCTTAGAGTCGCTGTCGCCTCGACAGACCTGGTTTTCACCTGGGGACGGCTGCTTGCGTTGTGGCCGAAACGTCGTGCGAATTATTTTATCATGTTTTATTTTTATTATTTTATTACTTCCCTTCTACGTGACTTTACCGAAAGAACCAAGAAGATGAATCCTGATCACGTTTGACAAAAGCGTACCGCGGTGGAAGCTGATTAGAAGCACGCAACCCCCGTAGGCGTCGAGGCACGTGCGCGTTCACCGTATCCAAAGTGCGATCGCATCAGACGTGACGCGCTGCGTTCGGCCCCCGCCAGTGCAATGTCAGCACCCGTTGCTTCTTTTAGAACCGTGCTTATATTAGGTGTGCTTATATCCAGGCTTCTACTTTGTTGGCTAACATTTTGAGCAACGACTCTTGCTCGTAAAGAGCATTGTTGGTCTGGTTTCTTTGCTTGTTATGAGGCGGCGGTTCATGATAAACGTAATTTTTATTAATCTTGATAAAAAAAAAACATTTTTAAATCCCTTTCTGTTGCTGAGGTGCCATTGCCTCACTCCTCAAGGAAGAATGACATCCATTTTTGCGACACGGTTGCGACGTGAAACGCAACAATCTCTTTACCGGTGTATTTGATTTTTTTGAAATCGATTAAATTTGATTTGTTTTTCTTGACCAACGCAAAGTGTTAATCCACGTCCTGCGGGAACCGCTTACGCACACAGCGATCCACTCGGTGGACCCGGCGTTATTTTATTTTAATCGACCGGAATAATTTTACGAAAACATCACCACCTTGTTGTGAGGCTGGGTGTGCAGTTACTGGGCATGTAACAATTGATCGATTAAAATTGATTCCCACGCTCAAGATACGTGCGTCGAACCATTGCGTTTGGGGCTCGATTAAACGGTGTGTACATTACGTGCAGATTTGGTGGAGCGGTTGCGCGTTGGTGCTGCGCATCGCTCTGTAAACTCGGCAACCCGAGGTTTGATTTCCCAGCCACGGCGAATATATCCGTGGTGAGCGATATCTGAACCGGTCATATGCGCCTCCTCCATCAACCCGCACGGTCCCGCACGGTCCAGCATGGTGAGGTCCGGTCGTACGACCAACATGACCGGCACGGCATGGTGAGTCCTTCATCCAGAATTGTATTGGCAAAGGACTGAATTGTGTTTGACATGTTCAAATCATGTGTTGTCATGGAGGATCATGGGAAACATAATTAACCGTAAAAAAGTCAGTGGACTGCTCTCACCAGTAACATCTGGTAACAGCAGTATTTATTTAACAGGCCTGACTTTGCCGATGAGACTCTAAGTCAAAACTGGCTCAGTGTTTGCCTTCTTAATGAAATGCTGCTGTTAGCAATTGATTCGTGTAAGCTGTTGGCAGATGGACTGGAAAAAAGTTACCGAATGTTTACGTAGCAAAATACTTTTTAATGTTTATTCACTCATTGATGTTGTTATTGCCCCTTTAGGCTAATCGAATTAACAATGCCGAACGTTAATGGACATTCCAGATGGATAATACAAATCGGACGGTACAAATAAGGCAAGACTAATCGTTGATTCTCGATTCTGATTATGGCTCTGAATTGTGATAATTCAGCAAACTGCTGTGTGGGCATGCGGTGTTGAATTGGTCCATGCAGTGTTACCGCGGTTCTTTGTGGGGTTTTGGCGATTGTGTATTTGCCCGGTGTTGTGCTCGTAATGGAGTAACATCGATTCGAGATTTGAAGCTTTCGTGACTGCAAGGATTCATATTCTTAGGTTTTTTCGGTAAAGTCACGTAGGTAAAACATCAAAATTAATAAAAATAAAATAAAATAAAGATCACGACGTTTCGGAGGCAACACAAGTCTCCGTCATCAGGTGGGACCGTCACAGCCAGATTAGCTGCATCAAGTGAGGCAATGATTCAAGATGTAATCCCTTAAAAGCGAGTTGAGGGGGGAGGAGAGAGGGGGGGGAGAGCTCAGTAACATCGAGCCTCATGGACAGGCGTCAACTCCACGGCCGAGTGGGCGTCTTTGTTTTTGCCCTGCACGAGTGCGCGACTTCGATCCCAGCTGACGGCCAACACCGGTGACGATTATCTGAACCGGTCGTGGGCCTCCCCTAGGTCGACTCAGCCTCAAATGAGTACCTGGTGCAGTGCGTAAACATCGCCACCGGGAAGAGACAAAGACGGTCGGGCGTGGTGCTGGCCACCCACCCCCTCGCGTACCGTGCCGGCCTTCATAGGTGCTCGCTAACAGCACTTGCCTATACAGGGGAGGGGGGGGTGGAAATCTGTATCTTTGTAGTGATGTAACGAAGTTGGCAATTTCCCCTCTTCGTAGCCTGGCACACCCAGCGCCTGTCTCGGCCCCCCGGCCCTTGAGTCTTGGCACAGACCACTCGCCTGCAGGCTCCATCGAGGCATCACTGCAGGTGTCCGTGTGTGGGGTGCGGTGGTTGAAGCACTGTGAACCTGTTAAACCTGTTAAACCTGCTTTCCGATTCCAGCCACGTCCGAAGCACTCGAAGCCAGCGATGTCAGAACCAGTCCTGGGCCTCTTCACTAGTTCGACCCAGCCTTAAATTAGTACCGGGTGTGATTTGTGAAAACATGGCCAGCAGGAATTGCCCCCAACATTCTCTATACAGGTGATTTGACATTTGAGTGTGTGTGTGTGCATGCATGCGTGCGCATCTCTGCAATCAGGGCCTTTTGTTGAGCTTGGAGGCTGGGCACTGGATCTTGTAGCCGACCGTGTACGCCTGTACGTACACACGTACCTGGTTTATCCTGCACACGCGGACACACACACGCGTTCAGAGAGCTGCAGGACATCGGCGAGGCTTTTCACTCGGTCTCGAGATCGTTGTAAATCCTAGGGAATGCGGCTCCACCACAGCTCTCGACGCATCACCAATGCGGATCGAGTCACCCTCCGTGCAAGGACTGGAGAAGTTTCAGATGCCGTCTGCCCCTCGCGACGTGCATCATGGCCGGTGCAATCCGCTCTGTTGGCACTCAGTTGCACACTGACCGCGATTTTAAATTGGGTTCTCAAGTGTAGCGAGTTCGTGGCCTTTACCCCGACCACCACCGACTGAAGGATATTTCTCAAGCCTCCTCCATCGTGACGCCGCTTTTACAGCTCGCTCAGCTCCACATCCACCCTGACCCCTTGCCGTGCCCTTTTAGGCCCCTCTACCTGGCCATACCCCCCCCCCCCATCACAAAGACGCAGATCCCCCGTATAGCCTTAACAGACTATTGGGGCAAGTGCTGTTAGCGAGCACCTATGAAGCCGGAACGGTACATGAGGCGGTGGGTGGCCAACACCACGCCGGACCGCCTTTGTCTCCCAAGTGGCAATGTTTACACAATCGCATCAGCTACTCATTTAAGGCTGAGTCGATCTAGGCGAGGCCCAGAACCGGTGCAAATAACCGTCACGTGTGCGTCCTCCGGGCTCACCTGTACTTTATATTCTTAGGTTTTTTTCGGTAAAGTCACGTAGGTTAAAATATTAAAATTAATAAAAATAAAATAAAAATCACCTGTACTTGGTGCAGAGCTGCACGCCAAGCGGGCCGCAGCGGTCCACGTAGCTCTCGCGCACGCCCTTGCGCACCGCCCGGGACCCCAGCACGGCCCGCGTCACCAGAGGACAGACCCTGTGCATGCGGCAGGCAGCGCCGTGCCAACGGCTCTCATTGTGTGCGCGGCGTTCTCCTTCGCCGCCCCGCACCTCCGATTGACGCGGTTGGCCACGGACGGTGCGGAATAAGTTCAAAGTGCATCACAGGCTCAAGCCGCGGCCACGTGTGCTGAGCCCGGCCCACAGACGCCTCGTTTTCATGAACGCCGGGAGCTGGGAACTGGGAGCTTCTGGGGCCTGGGTCTGTGTGACGCAACTCGACGTTCCAGCGGGCTCGGAGGAGGGCTGGATTTATGGAATATTTTACCAGGTAAGGCACACTGAGCTTGTATGGCTCTTTTTCAGAAGTGACCTGGCCACGAATGGTAGCTCACCGGAGTGGCTTATCACGTGGAAATTTATAGCAACCAAATACTCTAAACGCACGTTGATTCTAAGTGTGGAGGGAAAAATCGGAGGACCCGGATAAAAATCCACGCGACCACGGAGAGAGAGACATGCAAACTCCAAATATACAGCAGCAGACGTCAGGATCGGGATCAAACCCACGCCCGCCTGTATACCAGGCGAGGGAGTTAACATCTCCTAGCCACCGTGATGATGATGAGAGAGAGAGACACGCAAAATCCAAATATACAGCAGTCAAGGTCGGGATTGAACCCATGACCTGCTGCATACCAGGCGACGTAGTTAACATCTAGCCACCGTGATGATGATGATGAGAGAGAGAGAGAGACACGCAAACTCCAAATATACAGCAGCAGCAGGTGTCAAGGTCGGGATTGAACCCATGACCTGCTGCATACCAGGCGAGGTAGTTAACATCTCAGAGCCACCGTGATGATGATGAGAGAGAGACGCGCAAACTCCAAATATACAGCAGTCAGGGTCGGGATTGAACCCATGACCTGCTGCATACCAGGCGAGGTAGTTAACATATCCTAGCCACCGTGATGATGATGAGAGAGAGAAACACGCAAACTCCAAATATACAGCAGCAGGTGTCAGGGTCGGGATTTAACCCATGACCTCCTGCATACCAGGCGAGGTAGTTAACATCTCCTAGCCACCGTGTCACGCCTTGGGCCCCCTCAACGCCCTAAATCCCCCCCCCCCACCCCTCCCATCCCCTCTGAACCACTCTTTTACAACAAACGTCTTAAGATGCAAGCCAAGGTGCGCTGAGATGCAGGCGAGGCGATTCTGGACGGGAGTGGAGGAGGAAGGGGTGTGGGGTGAGAGGGTCCAACTCACAGCTTTTCACAGCGGAGGCCCTCGGTGCCCTCGGGGCACGAGCACGAGTTGTGTGGTCCGCACGTGGCCCCGTGCAGACACGGAGGAACGCACGGCTCCACCACGGCTACAGGGTGGGGAGCGAGAGAGGAGGAGAGGTGGGGGAGACGGGAGCGGTCACGGCGTGGATGCGGGTAACGGGGTCGCCGCGCGCTTCCACGGCTGCCACCGTGCGTGATGGTGGGCGGTGAATTTGTGCGGGGATCGGTACTCCGGATGACTGCCGAAGTGCCACTGGAGTGGTTCTGGTGATTGCGTGGGTGGTGTTTGGTGCAATTGCGCCGGTAGTGATGGTACTTGATAAGTGTTGTATAGTGCAGCGATGCCGGTGGTCGATGGTACTGTTGGTGAGTGGTGTGCTGACGGTGCTGTTAGTGGGTGGTGGTGAGTTGTAGTGAGTATTGCACAGACAGTGGTGGTGGTTCGTGTTGGTCTGTGTTGCGTAGCGCTTTGGTGCTGGCAGTGGTGTAGCTGGTAGTGGTGGAGTTGGTGCCAGCGGTGGTGGTGCTGGTAGTGGTGCTGGTAGTGGTGGTGGTGGTGCTGGTAGTGGTGGTGGTGCTGGCAGTGGTGGTGGTGGTGCTGGTAGTGGTGGTGGTGCTGGCAGTGGTGGTGGTTGTGGCGGTAGTGGTGGTGGTGCTGGTAGTGGTGGTGGTGCTGGTAGTGGTGCTGGTAGTGGTGGTGGTGCTGGTAGTGGTGCTGTGGTGTGGTGGTGGTGGTGCTGGTAGTGGCGGTGGTGCTGGTAGTGGTGGTGGTGCTGGTAGTGGTGCTGGTAGTGGTGGTGGTGCTGGTGGTGCTGGCGGTGGCGGTGGTGGTGCTGGCGGTGGCAGTGGTGGTGGTGGTGATGGTAGTGGTGGTGGTGGTGGTGCTGGCAGTGGTGGTGGTGGTGGTTCTGGTAGTGGTGGTGGTGGTCCTGGCGGTGGTGGAGGTGGTGCTGGTAGTGGTGCTGGTGCTGGCAGTGGTGGTGGTGCTGGCGGTGGTGGTGCTGGTAGTGGTGGTGGTGGTCCTGGCGGTGGTGGTGCTGGTAGTGGTGCTGGTGCTGGTAGTGGTGGTAGTGGTGCTGGCAGTGGTGGTGGTGCTGGCAATGGTGGTGGTGGTGGTGGTGCTGGTAGTGGTGGTGGTGCTGGTAGTGGTGGTGGTGGTGTTGGTAGTGGTGGTGGTGGTCCTGGTGGTGGTGGAGGTGGTGCTGGTAGTGGTGCTGGTGCTGGCAGTGGTGGTGCTGGCGATGGTGGTGGTGCTGGTAGTGGTGGTGCTGGTAGTGGTGGTGGTGGTCCTGGCGGTGGTGGAGGTGGTGCTGGTAGTGGTGCTGGTGCTGGTAGTGGTGGTAGTGGTGCTGGCAGTGGTGGTGGTGCTGGCAGTGGTGGTGGTGTTGGTGGTGCTGGTAGTGGTGGTGGTGTTGGTAGGGTGGTGGTGGTGCTGGTATGGTGGTGGTGTGCGGTGTATGGTGGTGTGGTGCTGGTAGTGGTTTTGGTGTGCTGGCAGTGGTGGGTGGTGGTCCTGGCAGTGGTGGAGGTGGTGCTGGTAGTGGTGGTGGTGCCGGCGGTGGTGGAGGTGGTGCTGGCAGTGGTGGTGGTGGAGGTGGTGCTGGCAGTGGTGGTGCTGGCGGAAGTGGTGGTGGTGCTGGTGGTGCCGTGGCCCGGCGTTGCCGCCGCCCTCACCGCTGTCGCAGGCGGCTCCCGTGTAGCCGTGGCGGCAGCGGCAGCGGTTGAGCCCCACGCAGGAGCCCCCGTTCCTGCAGGGCGCGCCGCAGCGCACCGGCTCTGCGGCACGGAGCGAGAGCGATCACGGTGCCCGGCGGACCACCGGGGTGCACGGGACCCCCGTCGCAAATACCGCGTGCCTGTGAGTGCGTGCGTGCGTGCGGTTCGGCGTGTCTCGCACGTGCTTTGTGCGCGCGCGTGTGTTGAATAATGTGGCTGCGTGAGCACACTTGTGTGCGCGTGTACGCGTGTGCACTCACCAATCTGACAGCGCGTGCCCTCCCAGCCTCCGGCACAGATGCACGTGTTTACGTCGATGCAGCGCCCAGAGTTGAGGCAGGCAGGGGTGCACGTGGCTGAGCAAAGACAAAGATCCCCCGTGTGGCCATCAACAGACTGATGCGTTGGCGAGTAGCACCTCCGAAGGCCGGCACGGCACACGAGGGGACGGGTGGCCAGTACTACGCCTGGCCGCCTTTGTCTCCCCAGCTCTGTTTTACACACTGCACCAGGTGCTCGTTTAAGGCTACGACCAGTACAGATAATCTTCGCCGGTGTTGGCCGTGAGCAGGAATTGAACTTGGGTCGCTGGGATCGTAGCACAGTGCTCTTACCACGACCCACACAGCCTACGTAGAATGCTCTTAGCAAGCGCCGATATTGAGGCTGACAGGGCGCTGTTTGCATCTGTGTTCATGCGTGTATGTGTTGAACTTCTTTCGCACAGTACATAGCCAACCGTGCTAATCGGAGGTGCGGTGGAAGGACAACAAACTAAGCACAACAACAAGCAGTTCTAAAGACGTGAGTTTGTCAATCTAGATTATTTAAAAGTGCATAGCTCCAGTGGCTTCCTAATATCGGAAGGAAGAGCGTTCCAGACGGCCGCAGAAGCGCTCGACGCGGTTACCACCGTCTTTGTTTGATTGGCAGCCAAAAGCTGCTGCGAGGATGACCACCGGAGTTTGCACGATGGTTTACGAGGCATAGCTACCGAGTGTGCAGGCGGTGTGACTACACCGGGGCTCATTGTTCCTGGAGACAACGAGTGGATGGGAAGACGGACGGACGTGTGGGGAGCATTTAATTAATAGTAAAGTGTTTTGGGTTAGATCGCGTAAGTGTAAAATGTGTCGTAACCCTCCACCACCCGACACAGCCAGTAAGGTCTGTCACGTAAACAACACACCAGTTCACTATGAAACATCTCCATTACCAGTGGCAAAATATAGTAATAGGTTTTTACCCTTTCAACTGGTACAAAAAACTGACACCTTCATACAAGGGATCATGTTTGCAAAAACCACAACACAAGCAGTCAGAATGCAAAACAAAAATCAACAACTCTGATAATGATAATGATATGCACTGTCCTTGAAGTTGCGTACGCCTTTTGGCATCATCTGGTCCAACACCAATGGACCAATCAACTTCAAGGACAGTGCACATCATTATCATTATCAGAGTTGTTGATTTTTGTTTGCATTTTGACTGCTTGTGTTGTGGTTTTTGCAAACATGATCTCTTGTATGAAGGTGTCAGTTTTTTGTACCAGTTGAAGAGTAAACACACAACATTGATAATTGAATTACGACGTGTCGCTGTTAATGACATCGGGTGATTTTATTCCCTGCACAGGGGGGGGCGGGGCCGTGCCAGCCACGCTACGCAGATGTGTCTGTGCGCGCGTCCATCCGTCCGCCCGTCCGTCCGTCCGTTCGTCCGCCCGTACGTACGCGAGAGACACTGCGGCCCCGTGTAGTCGGACGAGCACTGGCAGACGCCCGGGCCCACGCAGCGCCCGCCGTTAGCGCAGGGGAGTTCACACACGGCTGGGAGATGCAAAACAACAACAACAACAAGCATCTTACTCATAGGGTTTTTCCCCTTTTTTCTGGCAACAAAACTGACACCTTTTGTAAGGAATCATGCTTACATTAACCACAATACTTGCAGTGAAATGCAAACAAAAAACAATACTCTGATAATGTGTGCATTGTCTTTGAAACTGATTGGTCCACACCAGAGACAGCTTTCTTTAGAGCCTAGTCTCATATGGTGTTCGACCATATGACGCCAAAAGGCGCACAGTTCAAAGACAACGCACTATCAGAGTAATGAGAGCTCGGGGTGAGCAGCTACATCATGGGACCTCCTTTGCCAGTACCAAAATATACTAATAGGGTTGTATTGTGGTTAATGTAAGCATGATTCCTTGCAAAAGGTGTCAGTTTTGTTGCCAGAAAAAAGGGGAAAACCCCTATTAGTATATTTTGGTACTGGCAAAGGATGTCCCATGATGAAACAAGCATCTTCTTGGTTCTTTTGGTAAAGTCACGTAGAAGGGAAATAATAAAATAATAAAAATAAAACATAATAAAATAAAATTATCACGACGTTTCGGCCACAACGCAAGCAGCCGTGCTCAGGTTAAGAACAGGGCTGTCGGAAAGACAGCGTCCGGATGAACACCACCAAGCTTGGCAGCGTATATTTTAAATGTATAGTCTTCTCACCATCACAGTTCTTCTCGAACAATGCCACTTATTCACTCGAGTCACTCTCGGGCATCAGTCAGTTGCTTCCTTATCAATCTATTATCGCTACTACCACAGTCATTGTTCCAATGAACTTGACGCCACGGTTCCACCACCTTTCCCAAAAGATGGCTCCACCAGATTGACCTCGACTCCTTCCACCAGATGGACCGGCTCCTCTCATTCGTGAGCGTGTTCAATCACCGTCGAGCAAGGTGGGTTTAGGGGGCCCTGGGGCGACTCACCTGTGTGGCATCCTGGGCCAGTCCACCCAGGTGGGCAGAGACACACGTCCCAGCGCATGCACGTGCCCCCGTGGGCACAAGGTGGTGTGCACATGGCTGCACGCGGTACAGGTGCGTGTGTGGTACATGTGTGTGCAGTACACGTGTGTGTGTGAATGTGTGCGGTACGCGTGTGTGCATGTGTGCATGTGCGCGTGAATGTAGAGAGGGCAAAGGTTGGGGGAAGAATAGGGGATGGGGTACAGATTTCACATTGACACGTTTAGCATATTGTGTATAAAGACATCACGCACTTTTTTGTCCCATGCACATGTTTAAGTGTACAGCATTTTGTCTACTGCTGGATAAGGGCCTACCCACGTCGTACAGGTCATGGGGGTTATGTGACCATACTTCACCACGTTCTGGATCAGTGCCCGATGGCAAAAGCAGGGAGCATAGCTGTAGGAGCTTAGAACCACAGTACAACAATGTATTTTGCTCCACCGCCCTCTGCTACCCACGAAGTATCCCTGCGTCAGCCTATAAGTGTACGCGTACAGTATAGGCATGTAGTTGTGTGTGTGTATATATATTGTGTGTATAGGTATAGATGAGTGTGCAGAAGCATGTGGTTGTGTGTGTGTCTATAATGTGCATATGTGGGGAGCGGTGGCGCAGCGGTTAGCAGCGCTGCATTACAAACCCGGGGACCTGAGTTCGATTCCCACTTACGGCCAACACCAAGACGAATATCTGAACCGGTCCTGGGCCTCCCCTAGGTCGACTCACCCTCAAATATGTACCTGGTGCGGTGCGTAAACTTCGCGACTAGGGAGACAAAGGCGGCCGGGCGTGGTGCTGGCCACCCACCCCCTTTGTGTGCCGTGCCGGCCTTCATAGACGCTCGCCAACAGTGCTTGCCCCAACAGTCGCTTAAGGCTATACGGGTGATCTTTGTGTGTGTGTGTGTGTACGTGGATGTTGCTTGTGCTTGTCTATCACGGCGCTTCTTACCCGAGCAGCTGGGACCCGGGTACCCAGGGGGACACTCGCACGAGTTGGGCCCCACACACTCGCCGTAATTCTGGCAGGGCGGGTCACACACGGCTGTGGATCACAGGGGGGGGGGGGGGGAGAGATTTGTCCACATCTGGAGCTTGCCGACCGCTGCAAGGAAGCAGATCCACTCTCTCATTCCGTACGAAATTCCACACTCGAAATCCACTTCGCCGTACGGACACTGAAAAACCGCTGTCGTGGCACGGTTGGCATGGGGGCCCTGGAGCGAGGAATAAAATGCCGCCACCCCCCCCCCCCCCCCCCCCCCAATTTCACACCCTTCTTCGTGGCACGGAACCTGGGCCCAGGCGGAGCGCGTGGGCCGCGGTGCCGGCCTACACCACCGCCTACGCACGTGACAATAAGCGACGCCGATCGTTCCGAAAACATCTTTGGTCAAACGGAGCACGGGGCCATCCTCCGGCAGCGGGATCATCCCACCGACCCTCGCCACACAAAGTCCATCGCGCGGACAGCGGCGACGCCGCAGCTGAGTGACGAGCATCGTTCGCGGAGAAGGCTCCGCAGCGATACGGTCCACCACGCAGATGGCCTTTTTTAACGCATTGTTACAATACGGTACACTCCGGTGTTTATTGATCATCATCATCATCACGATCCATGGGCAGATAGCCCGTTAGGTGTCCACCGCACATTTCGTTGTGTTTCCACTTTCCTCTCATCGTGTGCCAATACGCTCACGTGGTGGGCACATCTCTCGTGATGTCGTCGTCAAGCCATTCTCTGTTAGGCCTTCATCTGTTTCAAAGTTTCTTCACATTTTTTATTTTCCTCTTGTTGTCTATCCTACATATGTGTCCTATTAGTGCCGGTTTCCTTCTCACCACTGCCTGCATCATCAAGTCTTACGTGCGACCTTTCTCTTACATCTACGTTGGTCACTCTTTGGGTCCAGCTTAGTTGCAGCAGCATCCTTCCGTAGCAATACCTTTCAAGGTGTTTGTGTGGCGTCCAAATGCGACCGCACGGCAATTCGCCGCATTGCAGCCGGCTCGTTGCAAGAGCCGGCCGCAGGCCACGTATGGCCGCATCTCTCACTGAAGAATTATGCCCGAGTCTCTGGTCGACTGCGGTTGTAGGCACGTGGCAATGGAGCAAGATAAAGACACTTTGCAGAAATTCTAGATTTGAAGCTTTCGTGACTGCAAGGATTCATATTCGTAGGTTTTTTCGGTAAAGTCACGTAGATAAAAAATTAAAATTAAAGTAAAATAAAAATAAAATAAAAATCACGACGTTTCAGAGGCAACACAAGCTTCCGTCTTCAGGTGGAACCGTCACAGCACGATAGCTGTATCAAGTAAATGAGAGATTATATACGGAGTGGTATCTCTTGTAATCTCTCATTTACTTGATACAGCTATCGTGCTGTGACGGTTCCACCTGAAGACAGAAGCTTGTGTTGCCTCCGAAACGTCGTGATTTTTATTTTATTTTAATTTTACTTTTATTAATTTTAATTTTATTTTTTTAGCTACGTGACTTTACCGAAAAAACCTAAGAATATGAAACTTTAAGTGTTGGAATTGGTTTTGCCACTCCCCCCGGTTAAGTGGAGAGTTTTCGATGTGTGTGTGTGAATGCCCGTATAGCTTTTGTTCAGCTGGATCGAGGGGGCTAAACGGAGGCGGCATGGGCTAGAGAAGAGATAGAGTGATGTGGTACAGGAGGATGTGGAGCTGAGTGGACTTGCCGATGACTGGTACCAGCGGTGTCAAGATCGGCCTCTGTGGATGAGGCTCGTGAAGGACGCTACTGGGCAGTTGAAGGCAGTCGCCCTCCAACAACAACGGAGGGCAGAGAAGCGACGCTCACAACAACGAGCAGAGCACCAGGTGGCTAAAACGCAGCGTGTTGGTACAGTAAGGGGGCACAGGTGGTGCAACGACCAGTCATCTCAGTCAGTCGACCCATGGTACAGTACCTGGGTCTGCCCTGTGACCTCCTGTCAGCGGGCGTTCGACACTTCACGTGGCCTCAAGGTGCACCTAGCCTGGCACAATCTCCGTGGTGACGTCACCGCCACTTAGTGGCGAATGGCGGTTGTTGTTGTACGAAGTAGGGAGCGGTGGTATCGCGGTTTGCACAACTGTCATACCACTGGAGAAGTTCGATGCCCGCTGACAGCCACCAACAGCAGTGACGATTATCTGAACTGGTCCTGATACCTCCCCGAGGTTGACTCAACCTCAAATGAGTACTAGGGAGACAAAGGTGGCCGGGCGTGGTGTCGGCCACCCACCCACTCGTGAGCCACTGTCCTCATGCAGGTGTTCGCTAACAGCACTTGCCCCAACAGTCTTGTTAAGCCATAACACAGGTTTTTTTGGGGTTAGATCACGTAAATATATAAATGTGTCGTTAAACCCGCCACCACCCGACACAGCTAACACGTAAGGGTTGTCACGTAAACAGAACGTGCCAATTCGTCACTAGTACAGTACTAGTGTGCAGTGTAGTGTATAGTAGTGTTGTGTATAGTAGTGTAGTGTATAGTAGTGTAGTGTATAGTAGTTTATAGTGTAGTGTATAGTGTAGTATACTAGTACAGCATCACCGGTGTGTTGGAGAGCCAAGCCACAACATTTACAATCCGAGTACGACTTTTCGCCAATAATTACAACCAGCTTCATCAGGCGACAGCCAGACTTGTTAAGGCTATACGGGGGCAGGGGGGGGCCGGGGGGGATCTCTGTCTGTACGTACGCTCGCACTTGCTGAGGTCATCCGTGCGCACGCGGAAGCCGGGCGAGCACGAGCAGTTGAAGCCGCCGGGGAAGTTGTCGCACTGCTGCTCACAGCCCCCGCGCGTGAAGTCGGCGCACTCGTCCACATCTGGGGGGACGAGAACGCACGGGTACGCGTGTGTATGCACACGTAGAGTACGCGTGCGTACGCGTAATGTACGCATGAGTAGTGTAGCTGCGCTATAAACCCGACGACCTGGGTTCGATTCCCGCTCACGGCCAACACCAGTGACGATGATCTGAACCGGTCCTGGGCCTCCCCTAGGTCGACTCAGCCTCAAATGAGTACCTGGTGCAGGGTGAAAACATCGCCACTGTCGGGCGTGGTGCTGGCCACCCGCCCCCTCTTGTGCCGTGTCGGCCTTCAAAGGGCGCCTGCCCCAACAGTTTGTCAAGGCTATACGGGGGATCTTTGTGTTATCAAAGGCAAAGATCCATCCCAACCCGTGTAGCTTGCACGGTGACCGCGACGACGACGACGATGATAACGATGACGATGATTATGACAGCGGTGGTGATGGTGACGACGATTACGACGATTACGACGGCGGTGAGAATGACGATGTCAATGATTCTGAGGGGCCGTCCATAAATGACGTCACGCCATTTTGGACGATTTTTTACCTCCCCCCCTCGTCACACGGCGTCACATTAAGTCAGACCCCCCTCAAATATGACGTCACAAAGCTCTGCCCCCCGCCCAAAACCATATTTCCATTTTTAAAATAAAACATGCTTCAAATCGCTTTAAACTATTGTCATTGTAGTGCGTATTTAATGTGGCGCTGCACTCTGATATTGTAGGAGAAAAACAATGATTAAAAAGTCTATTTAATTAAGTAGAACGTGCTATCTATATTTATTTAAAGTTGCGCAATTTTATGCGACGTCACATTTCTCAAACCCCCTCCTCGCCACACATCGTCACAAATGTCTGTCCCCCTGATGACGAGATGCGAAATGCCCTCGAGCCTCCGCCGGCGCGGCCGCGTAGTGAGCGAGGCGGCGCCCCTCACCGTCGCACGACAGCTTGTTGGGGTTGAGTTGCCACCCGGCACGGCAGGAGCAATCCACGCCGGCCTCGGCGTGCACCGAGCACACGTGCTCGCAGCCGCCGTTCCGCTGCTCGCACGACGTGATGTCTGGCGGACGCGGGGAGCGGGAGATGGGAAGGGACCATTGAACTCTCCGGACAGACCACAAACAGCATAACATTACCTAATTTAGCGTCTGTGTGTGTCTGTGCAAGTGTACGGCACGGGCTAGAGAAGAGATGGAGCGATGTGGTACAGGAGGTCGTGGAGTTGAGTGGACTTGCCGATGACTGGTACCAGCGGTGTCAAGATCGGCCTCTGTGGAGGAGGCTCGTGAAGGACGCTACTGGGCAGTTGGAGGCAGTCGCCCTCCAACAACAACGGAGGGCGAAGGAGCGACGCTCACAACAACGAGCGGAGCGCCGGGTGGCTACAGCACAGCAAGTTGGCACAGTAGGGGGCACAGGTGGTGCATCAGCCAGTCATCTCGGTCATCTCAGTCAGTCGACCCGTGGCACCTGAGTCTGCCCCGTGACCTCCTGCCAGCGGGCGTTCGACACTTCACGTGGCCTCAAGGTGCACATGGCCTGGCACAAGCGTCGTGGTGACGTCACCGCCACTTAGTGGCGAATGTCGGTTGTTGTTGTATCTGTGTGTGTGTGTGGGGAGCGGTACCATGTAGTGTTTAGCGCGCTGCGCTACGAATACGGTGACCCGAGTTCCATTCCCGCTTATGGCCAACACCAGTGATGATTATCTGAAGTGGTTCTGGGCCTCCCCTAGGTCGACTCAGCCTGAAGTGGTTGTACCTGGTGCAGTGTGTAAACTTTGCCACTAGGGAGACAAAGGCGGCCGGATATAATGCTGGCCACCCACTCCCCTTATTTGACCTTCATAGGTGCTCGCTAACAGCACTTGCCGCAACAGTCTCTTAAGGCTACACGGGGAATCTTTGTCTTTGGTGAGGAGTAGTATTGGCTGGATAAAGGGGCCTTAAAAGAGCACGGCATGGGCGAGAGAGTAGATGGACTGATGCGGTTGGGAGGATGTGGAGCTGAGCGGACTTGTCAATGACGCCAGCGGTGTCAATATCAGGCCTCTGTGTAGTAGGATGGTCGTGAAAAACTCATCAATCATTGGTTGTTGGGGACAAAGACCACGAACTCGCTATGCAGACTCCAGATTTGAAGTTGTCGTGACTGCATGGATTCATGCTATTTGGTTTACGTGACTTTACCGAACAAACCAAAGAGTATCGCTGCACAGACGTCTACGAAGGCTGTGGCCGGGGGATCTTGGTCTCGTGTCCGTGCATGCGTCTGCGCCGTGTCGTACGACTCACTGATGCACGTCTTGTTGTCCACGTCCAGTGCCAGCTCCATGGGACACCCGCACGCGTAGCCACCGGGCGAGTTGGTGCACACGTGCGAGCACCCCCCACTCTGCACCTTGCACTCGTCGATGTCTGCGCCACCGCACGCACAGTAGCAGCGGCAACACGGGGCTTGGGACGTTCCATTCTCCGAGATGCGGGGGGGTTGCGGGGAGTGGATCCGGGAAATATGTGCGGCTATCCAACAACCCTCACTGCTGCTGCTGCTGCTGCCTCCGCAGCACTGGAATACAGGCAGCCACGTGCAGCAGCAGCAGCAGCGTAGCCACCACCGTATAGCCTCGACAGACTGTTGGGGCAAGAGTTGTTAGCGAGCACACGCATGCACGCAGACACCTCTGAATAGCACTGTTGGCTATGTACGGTGTGAAAGGTTCAACACACATAACATACACCACACTCGATTACACAGCTACATACACAGACACATTACACAGACACATTACACACACACATACAAAAAAGGTCTCCCGTTTAGCCTTAACAGACTGGTCGGGAAAGTGCTGTTAGCGAGCACCTATGAAGGCCGGCACAGCACACGAAGGGGTGGGTGGCCAGCACCACGCCCGGCCGCCTTTGTCTCCCCAGTGGCGATATTTACACATCGCACCAGGTACTCATTTGAGACTGAGTCTACCTAGGGGAGGCCCAGGTACCGTTTCAGAAAATTCAAGGTGCTTCAAAAAAAGAATTTGCAACAACACCACAACAAATGTGCCTGGAGACCACCTGCAGAAGATTCCAGGGGTGCGTTGACAACGATGGCGAACAAGTGGAGACTCTTTGACTTTTTGAAGCTATTAACATTTACACTTGTTATCACGTTACAGGACATTATCCGTTACTTTTTCAATTTATAAAACGATAGTACTATTTAAGTGTCAACATTTTCTTTGAAGCACCCTGTATACCAGAGTTTAGGTGTGCCTACACACCCACCCACGCACCACCACCACCACCTACCCACCCACCCACGCACCACCACCACCTACCCACCCACCCACCCACGCACCACCACCTACCCACCCACCCATGCACCACCACCACCTACCCACCCACCCACGCACCACGCACCACCACCACCTACCCACACACCCACGCACCACCACCACCTAACCACCCACTCACGCACCACCACCACCACCACCTACCCACCCACGCACCACCACCACCACCTACCCACACACCCACGCACCACCACCACCTACCCACCCACGCACCACCACCACCACCTACCCACCCACGCACCACCACCACCACCACCTACCCACCCACCCACGCACCAAACCACCTACCCACACACCCACGCACCACCACCACCACCACCTACCCACCCACCCACCCACGCAGCACCACCACCACCCACCCACCCACGCACCACCACCACCATCACCTACCCACACACTGCCGCTTGTCCACGTGCAGCTGGAATCCGGGTGTGCACGAGCACTTGTAGCTGCCCTCCGTGTTGCTGCACGCCTGGCTGCAGTTGCCGTTGAATAGCGAGCACTCATCCAAGTCTGGGGTTGGGTGGTGGACGCAGAGGGGGTTAGGGGCCGTCCATAAATGACGTCACGCGATTTTGGAGGATTTTTGACCCCCCCCCCTCTCGTCACACGGCGTCACAAAAAGTCAGACCCCCCCCCTCAAATATGACGTCAAAACCATATTTCCATTTAGAAAATAAAACATGCTTCAAATCGCTTTAAACTATTGTCAGTGTAGTGCGTATTTAATGTGGCGCTGCACTCTGATGTTATAACAATTCTATATTTATTTAAAGTTGCGCATTTTGATGTGACGTCACATTTCTCACACCCCCCCCCCCTCATCACACATCGTCACAAATGCCTGACTCCCCCCCCCCCCCAGGTGCGTGACGTCATTTATGGACGGCCCCTTAGCTCGGTTCTGTGGCGCTTCCCAAGGTTAAAAGCTGGAACGCGTTAGGGCTGTCCATCTATGCCTGCATTTATGTTGAACTTGTGGGAGGTGCGGGGGAAGGACAACAAACTAAACACAAAAAGCAGTTCTCAAGAAATGAGTGTTTAATCTAGATGATGATTTAAAACTGCATCGCTCCAAGTGGCTTCCTAACATCAAAAGGAAAAGCGTCCCAGACAGCCGCAGAAGCGCATCTGAAAGCGCGCGATGCGGTGACCGCCTTTCTTCGATGGCCAGCCAGAAGCCGCTGCTGCTGCTGCGAGAATGACCGGAGTTCGCCTGATGATCGTGATGATGATGATGCTGCTTTACACTCCTCGACGAGATCGGCGAGGTATCGCGGTCCATTTGTGGCGAGCACTTTGCGCGCAACGAGTGCGACCCTGTCATTCCGCGCGTGCCCGAGTGAGTGCGCGAGTGCCCGGGGGAATCGCACCGATGCAGTCGCGTGCGTCGGGAGCCACCACGTAGCCCGCGTCGCACTCGCATCGGAAGCTGCCCGGCTCGTTCACGCAGAGCCTCGCGCAGCCGCCCTGCACCACCGTGCACTCGTCGATGTCTGCACGCACGCACGCACAACAAAGACGAAGGTTTCCCCCCCCCCCCTGCTCCGTGTAGCCTAAAAAAAAAGTTCTGTTGGAGAGTAGCATCTAATGAAGGCCGGCACGGCGCACTAGGGGGACGGGTGGCCAACACCACACGTGGCCGGCTTTGTCTTCCCCAGTGGCGATGTTTATACACCGCGCCAGGTACAAATTTAAGGTTGAGTAGACCTAGGGGAGACCCAGGATCGGTTAAGATTATCGCCATTGGTGTTGGCCGTGAACGGGAATCGAACTCAGGCCACCGGGTTCGTAGCGCAGCGCGGCTTTAGAACTTAGGCACAGACCTTCAAGTCGTGATTCCGCGCCTCCGGCGAGCACGCCCGGGCCAGGAACGGTGCGAAAGAAGTTCAACGTAGATCGTACGCAAGAAGAACAACCACCACCGCGCCATCCCATCGTCATGGACATCATGCACCACCGCCAAACCTCCATGGCTACCCACCCACCACTGCTCCCAGTGGCGTAGCTAGGATATTTTGCGCCCGGGGACGAACTATAAAATTGGCGCCCCCCCCCCCCGTTTAATCACATACCAAAATGTAATTACATGACATGTAGGCTGTGTGTGGCGGGATATATAAACTTTTAGGTTGAGGTGTAGATTCGTGCAGTAGTTTCAGGCTGCCGCGCCCGCCGCAATAAGTTATAATGTAACGTCGTAAGCCTCATTTTGGCGCCCCTTTACCTTGGCGCCCGGGGACACATGTACCCCCCTGCCCCCCCCCCTAGCTACGCCTCTGACTGCCCCCCCCTGCTCCCACCCCTCCCTCCCGGCAGTGCTGGGACTCTACCAAAGCAGGAGAATCCATCGCCGTTGAAGCCCTGGAGGCACTGGCAGAAGTAGGAGCCGATGATGTTCCCGCAGCGCGCGTTCGCGTCACAGCCGTGCTTCCCGCTCGCGCACTCGTCCTCGTCTGTGTGGCAGAGACGGGGGGGGGAGGAGGGCACGTGATGAATGTGTCTCTTCTCAATATGATGCCCGCGGTCGTGGCGGTGGTGATGTGCGAGGGCTGTGACATCGTGGGTGGTAGCAATTTGGTATCACGATCGAAGCGAGGACGACGATGGTGGTGGTGATGGTAGTGGCGGTGATGATGGTGATGGTAATAATAGAAAAAGGGCGAAAACCCTATTATTATATTTTGGTACTGGCAAAAGAGGTCTAATGATGATGATGGTGTTGGTGGCATTGAGTGCGTGTGATGCCCGTGATGATGGTGGTGCTGTTAGTGATGGAAGCGTTGGAGGTATTGATTGTGCACGATGTTGATGATGATGGTGGTGGAGTTAGTGGCTGTGGTATTGCGAGTGAATGCGCGTGATGCACCTGATAGCAACTAAGGCGAAGATCACAGTGGTGCCGGCAGTGATTGTGCATGAGGCTCATGATGATGCTGATTATGACAACGATGATGATGTTGATTATGCAGCTGATCGTGACGACGACGACAATGCAGATGACGATGGCGTCGATTCGGAAGACGCTGTTTGCCTTCGCAGGAGGTGCCGTTGCCGCGGTAGCCCGGGGGACAGGAGCAGCGGTAGCTCCCGAGTGAGTTCTGACACACGCCGCGTCCCTGCACAGAGCCCCGGCCTCTCCGCACACTCGTCCACATCTGCGCACACGCGTACATACACACGTACACACACACACACACGCGTACATACACACGTACACACACACACGCGTACATACACACGTACACACACACACGCGTACGTACACACGTACACACACACACACACGCGTACATACACACGCACACACACACACACGTACGTACACACGTACACACACATACGCGTACGTACACACACACGCGTACGTACACACGCACACACACACGCGTACGTACACACGTACATGCACACACACACGCGTACGTACACACGCACACACACATACGCGTACGCACACACACACACACACACGCGTACGTACACACGCACACACACACACGCGTACGTACACACGCACACACACACACGCGCGTGTACGTACACACGCACACACACACACGCGTACGTACACACGCACACACGCGCACGCGTACGTACACACGCACACACACACACGCGCGTGAACGTACACACGCACACACACACACGCGTACATACACACGCACACGCACACACGCGTACGCACACACACACACACGCGTACATACACACGCACACGCACACACACACGCGTACATACACACACACGCACATACACGCGTACGTACACGCAGCAGCTTCGTGCACATTAGGGGGCAGCGCTTTCCCCTCCCGACGCGAGAGTGCAGAATAATGTTCATCACACGGCAATCGGACGGATATTTTCAATGCTCACGGTAGGAATCTAGTCCGATTAGCTGGAAACCCGAGTTTAATTTTTACGGGGTTTTTGTGTGTGTGTGCAGATGTAGTGGGTAGCAGTTAGCACGCTGCGCTACAAACCCGGGGACCAAAGTTCGATTCCCGCTCATGACCAACACCAGTGACGATTATCTGAACCGGTCCTGGTCCTCCCCTAGGTCGACTTAGCCTCAAATGAGCACCTGGTGCAGTGTATAAACATCGCCACCCGGGAGATAAAAGCAGCCAGGCGTGGTGCTGGCCACCCACCCCCTCGTGTGGCGTGTCGGCCTTCATAGGTGCTCGCTAACAGCACTTGCCCCAACAGTCTGTTCAGGCTATACGGGGATATTTGTCTTTGTTTGCAGTCGTTCGTGAGATGAGTGGCCATCAACTCGCTGGACCTAAGAACCAGGTGAAGAGTATTTGGCTGCTATACATTTCCACGTGATAAGCCACTCCCTTGCGCTATCACTTGTGGCCACGTCGCTTCTGAAAAAGTGCAAGAAAGCTCAGTGGGCCTTACCTAGTACAAAAAAAATAGTTCAGTTTTATTTTGTTTGTTTAGGTGTAATTAAGGGCAGTTGAACACCATGTTTGAACCAAATTGTCTAAGTAAAGCGGAATCATTCCACTCCGTAAAACACGTGAAACGAATATTTCCTATGATGCCATGTTTTTTTTTGCTTCGACAGCCTACTGTGAACACGTGCGCGCGCGCGAACATGAGTGCGTTTCACGCACGCGAGTGCACATGTGCGAGTGCGCGAACATGTGTGCGTTTCACGTGCTATTTACCGATGCACGCAGCCCCTTGGGCACGGAAGCCGCCCTGGCAGACGCAGGCGTAGCTGCCGAGGTTGTTGACGCAGAGGTTGCCCAGCTCGCGCCGACACGTCTCCTCGAAGGTGCACTCGTCCACGTCTCCGTGGCGCCACGGCGAGGTCGGTGGTCGGGTTTTGGGGGTTGGGGGGTGTGCGGAGTGGGACGGGTTCAGCGGAGATGGGCAGAAGCGACAGCGGCGAAACAAACGCAAAAAAAAGACATTGGGCCGTTTAAAATCAGAGGGAACAGGACTCGTCATTAGACAGGGTACAGGAGAAAGTAGAGGACGCAGGGTACTGAGAATAGGGGATATATGATGCATGTATGTTGAAGTTCTTTCGCACCGTACGTAGCCAGCCGTGCTGACCGCAGGTGCGGGGAAGGACGACAACACGAATGTATGCCACAGAGGTATTTCCAATGGTTTTTTTTTGGGTGAATTAAACACATTCCTGCGGAGGGAGCTGGTAGGAACGTTGGGTTGCTCGGTCAATGACCAGGGTCAACGGTGGTGTATTCCACACATATGCCCGACTGTGAGGGCGGGCACAAGCCGGCGTGAGTAGGTTAAACGTTGAGTTTTATAAGGGCACCACGGGGTGACCAGCCCCTCCCCACCCAGCTCCACCCCTCCCACCCCCCACCCAGCCCCACCCTCCCCACCCAGCCCCTCCCCACCCTCCCCACGCAGCCCCTCCCCTCCCCACCCAGCCCCACCCTCCCCACCCAGCCCCTCCCCACCCTCCTCTCCCCACCCAGCCCCTCCCTCCCCACCCAGCCCCTTCCTGCACGACGGACGGACACAATAATCCCCTGTGGGCAGGTGTAACCTGGCGGTTCCTACCAGCACAAACATTAATGTACAGTCCCTTTGTCAATCCACTGCTGGATGAAGGCTTCCCTACGCTCTGTCGGTCAGCAGGGAGTTGTTTGACTGGACTCACGCTCTGGGGGGGGCGGGGGAGGGGAGGTGTTGGGGACTGGTTCCGATGATATCGGTTCCGATGATATCGCTCGCCACTGGCGTTGGCAGCGATGGGGAATCTAACTCGGGTCGTCGGGTTCATGGTGCTCCTGACTACAGCACTCCTCTCATGCCCGTGCCGACAAACAGCGCTTCGTGTCAGCCGGAACAGTCCGGAACGCTGTTCCGGGAACATTTCTGGAACGCCGCGTAATAAAGAAATGCGGCCAATGTTTCAATTGCAGCGCCGGAGATGTCTGGATCGCAAGTCGGGTGTGGTGAACAGTTCCCTCCGGTGTGGTGCCAGGCAAACGCGAGTGCGTCGCCTGCGGTGGTGGTGGCGGTGGCGGTGGTGATGGTGGTGGCGGTGGCGGTGGTGGCGGTAGCGGTGGCGGCGGCGGTGGCGGCGGTGGTGGTGGTGGCGGTGGCGGCGGTGGCGGTGGCGGCGGCGGTGGCGGTGGTGGTGGCGGTGGTGGTGGCGGCAGTGGCGGTGGTGGTGGTGGCAGTGGCGGCGGCGGTGGTGGCAGTGGCATCGTGGCTGCGTTACCGATGCAGGCGCGGCTGTCCAGTGAGAGCACGAAGCCCGACTCGCATGCGCACGAGAACGAACCCGGCGCGTTGCGGCACACGCCCCTGCCGGAGCACGCCTGCAGCCCCGTGATCCGCGCCAGCGCGCACTCGTCCACGTCTGCACGCGCGCACACACAAAGATCCCCCGTATGATACAGGTTTTTTTGGGGGTTAGATCGCGTAAATATATATAAACGTGTCATTAAACCCGCCACCACCCGACACAGTCAACTAGTAGGGGTCGTCACGTAAACAGAACGTAGCTAATTCGTCACTAGTACAGCACTAGTGTTTAATGTAGTGTATAGTAGTGTAGTGGATAGTAGTGTAGTGGATAGTAGTGTAATGTATAGTGTAGTGTATAGTGTTGTAATGTATAGTGTTGTAATGTATAGTAGTATAGTGTGTCGTGTATAGTAGTGTAGTGTATAGTGTAGTGTATAGTGTAGTATACTAGTACAGCACACCGGTGTGTTGGAGAGCCAAGCCACAACATTTACAATCTGAGTACGACGTTTCACCAGTAATTACAACCAGCTTCATCAGGCGACAGCCAGATTTGTATAGGTGCGCAGATGTGATGACAACACTTGTGCACTCTTCTTGTGCAAAGTGGGGGGGGGGGGGAAGGATTAATGAATCAACGTACTTCATGCATGTGCCTTATGCGAGCCCATTGATCTTGTACTTCCATCCCCCGTATAGCCTTCACAGACTGTTGGGGCAAGTGCTGTTAGCGCGTAGCACCTACTAAGGCCGACGTGGCACACGAGGGGGTTGGTGGCCAGCGTATGCAGCAACGTCGATTTGAACTGCAATGCTCGACCGCCTGACAAGGCCAAACAAAGCAAGTTGTCACGTGGGCAAATATGGCAATTGATTTAGATTTTTTTTTGGCAAACCGGTACGTAGATTGAAAAGCAAGTGAAATTTTGAGAGGTGGGTCAAATCATTTTTTCGTCTCGCAGGACATTCATTGGCCGCGTTGTCTTCAGCAGCGTAGCTGGCTGTGTAGCGCAGCGTCGCTCCACATTGTGGTGAGTGACGCTGCATTGTGCTGCTCTTATCACACGTATGTTGGACTTCTTTCACACCGTACGTAGCAAACCGTGCTAATCGTAGGTGCGGGTGAAGGACAACAAACTAAACACAAAAATCAGTTCCAAACAAATGCGTTTTCAATCTAGAGTATTTAAAAGTGCATAGCTCCAGTGGTTTCCTAATATCGGAAGGAAGAACGTTCCAGACGGCCACAGAATCGCACCTTAAAGCACGCGATGCGGTGACAACCGTCGTTGTTCTAGCGCGGTCGTGTTGCGCTTCACAGTGCAGGACTTTGCTGCGCCGTGTTCAGCGGTGCGGCCGGCTGCGTCACTGCACGTCGATCTGCTGCGTCGCGTCACGCGTTGCTGCACCGCGCGGTACTGGTGCCACACTGCGTCGTGTTGCATCATGCTGTGCTGCGCTTTGTGCCGTCGTGTTGTACTACATCGTGTTGTGCGGTACTGCAAGGCGCTGTCGCCGCGTTGTGCCGCGTTGTGCCGCTGCACGCACCCTCGCACCCTGCGGGCCCCATGATGTAGCCACGCGTGCACTCGCACAGGAAGGAGCCGATGCGGTTCGTGCAGTTGGCGTGGAGGCCACACGGACCCGGTCCCAGCGAGCACTCGTCCACGTCTCCCACGGCAATGCAAGAACACACGGGGGAGGGGTGGTGGGTGGGGGGACCGGGAGGAGGATGAGAGGGAGGGGAGAGGGGAGACACAGGGAGAGGTAAGCGGCAGAGATGCAAGGGGAGATACAGGGATAGATAACAGGGGAGAGACAGGTCGAGACGAGATGGGAGTCAGGGAGAGAATAAAGGGGAGGTAATTTAAGAGATGACAGGGGAGATACAGCGATGGGAGTGGAGATGAGGGGAGAGGAGAGAGTGGTAAATGGGTCAGTCTGTCACTGGGTTTGCAATTACAAGTCGATGCTTCCTCCGCTCATGCCTCTCTCACTGGGATTACAATTAGGCGCTTCGTTTGAGCGATTCAAGTGTTACACCAGCAAATATTACCTGCTGTGACACATGGCGTAAATATGGAATTGAAAAAAAATAACCCATCAGTCGAGAGAACGTCCAACGGGGACTAAGTCGAGAGAACGTCCGACGCACCCAATAAAGAATGGCGCAGGGTGGTTGGGCTTGCGATAATTGGGCGCGAAACAACAACAACAACAATCCGAGACGTTGGCTGTCAAAGTTGGGGGGGAGGGGGATGGTGTGGGGGACGACGACACACGACTGGAAAAAAACGCCAAACGCGGAGCGACACCAAAAACGACGACGGCGAAACGAAGAGGCGGGAACGACGAGAGCGTTGGTTTTTTTCTGCAATTCCCGGGCCGACAAAGAAAATAAACGGAAGACCATCTCCGCGCGTCCCGTTACCGACGCATCCCGGCCCCTGGGCTTCGAATCCGGCGGGGCACGTGCAGTTGTCCCCCTGGCGGGTCGTGCCGTCCGGGCAGCCGCAGCCGCCCCCGTTCAGGGGCACCAGCTCCCCGGCGCACGGGTCCAGCTCGCCGGGGTTGACCGCGAGCTCCTCCACGGTCTCCACCGCCGTCTCCGCGGCGGTCGTCCCGTTCCCCTCAACTGGGGGAGCTGGGCAAGTGGGGAGGGTCAGGGGTTAAGAGGACGGAGGTGGAGCAAGCTCTGTAACGTCGGGAGCGGTGGTGTAGCGGTTAGCGCTACGAACCCGGCGGACCTGAGTTCGACTCCCGCTCGCGGTCGACACCGGTGACGATTATCTGAACCGGTCCTGGGCCTTCTCCTAGGTCGACTCGGCCTCAAATGAGTACCTGGTGCGGTGTGTAAACATCGCCACCGGGGAGACAAAGGCGGTCGGGCGTGGTGTTGGCCACACCACCCTCTCGTGTGTCGTTCTGGCCTTCATAAGTGCTACTCGCTAACAGCAATTGCCCCTTCAGTCTGTGAAGGCTACGCGGGGGATCTTTGTCGTTGTCTTTGTGTTGTTAATAAGTTGTGAATACATAGCCAAGGACGTGCCAGAGCTTGCTAGGTCTTCGAAAGCTGGGAATTTGAACCCCCCCCTCCTCCACACTAGAGATACTTTTCATTCACCTCTGTGCTCCCCGTTGACTAAAAACGGCTCTAAACTTCGTTAGAATTGGGCTTCACACACCCCACCAATGCAGCCACGCGGCGCAGTGGTGACAGCGTGCGGGCGACTTGCATTCGGAAACGGCTGCGAGTTACAAAGTCCTGAGCAGCGGTCGACTCGCTCGTTCATCCCTCCAGGGTTGATTTTTTAAAACATGAGGACTGCTTTGTGTGTCGGGAGGACTGCCGGAGGATGGGGGGAGACGTGCGATGGTGCTGGAGGGGGGAGCGGAGGGAGAGTTGTTTCGAGAAAAGTGGAGAGGTTGTGGCCGAGTTAGGAACGGGGAGGGGGGGTGGGGCTAACGCCGTTTCAGTCGGTGACCGGACCTTGACAATTGGACCATCTGGGAGTGATTTCGGGGCCAGAGGGGAAAACAAACGAGAAAGCCTCCAAAAAATCTGGTATGTGCACATGGACACGCGCACGCGCTCACGCACGCACACATGTGGGACTGCGTCCCACTGCCGGTTGTCGGTTGATGGACGGAGAATTATTTCTGGTCTGGTCTGCGCTGCGCTCTGCTCTTACGACCAAGTGAAGTATTTCCATTCGCATCGGCAAATTTTTACTTTTCCCATTTAAAAACATCGTTTGAACGAATTAATAGAACCATCTGATGAGAGGAGAACTGAATAGTAGTATTAGCGGAGTGACGCTTGAGAGGCATTTAACTCCGGAACATAATTCCGCACACAAAAATAGAACTTAAGAGTTGTATGGCAGGAACCAAAAGATAGTGTGATCGGCCAATCATATATCAAAGAAAGTTTCGTGGAGTCTCAAGACTCCTTTTCAAGAGGGTCCTGCATTGGGATGGTTTTGACGAGCGCTTGGCTACATGTGGAAGGAAAAAAATGCACGCACGCACGCACATAAAGGATAACATTCAACATCCGCACAGATGGATGTGAGAATCTACTTGCTGTACTGCCAGTGGTGTGGCATGGTTGTTGACGTGTGCCCTGGTGCAAGGAACGAAATGGAACCTCCTCTACGTAACTGGGCGCCTGGGCCGCTCCGGCCCATTGGCCGTGGTGCAGTTGCACCGCCTGTACACTTTTCATAGCTGCAGCACTGGGTACTGGCATTTTCTGGCCACCCCGACAGCATCGCGAAGTTCGAAATTTCGCTCATCGGCGTGATCCACCAACCGATCACAGGCCGTGTGTGTGCTGGTGACGTGTGATTGATGAGGGCGAGTGGGTGGGGTGGATGGTGGTGGATGATGGGTGTTGGGAGATGGAGGTGGGAGACGAGGTGGAGAGAGACACGTACCCTTGATGGGTTCTGCTGCGGTGTCTGCCACGCTCCGGATCACGTCGTCGATGTCGGCCAGTTCCTGCGTGCACACACGCCAGCGCGCGTCCGCACGCACACAAAGCTCAATCAGGACGCGAGCAAAAGTGCACGCACAACAGAGGTCGCAAACGGGTTTCGTTCCCTACCCGTACCCTACCCGAAATGAGTGACAAACGGTGACTCACCAGTGACTCACAGCCTACCCGTACTCGTACCCGGCCGCACCAGGGTCGCAAACTGGTAGCCGGGTATCAGGTAGGGTACGGGTATCGGGTACCCGTACCCGGCCAGGTACGGGTAGCCGGGTATCGAGTAGGGTGCGGGTATCGGGTACCCAATTGCGACCTCTGACGCACAAAGCCGCGCTACGGTAAAACCTCTCGAAGACGGACCCATGGGGGGTTGGGGAAGATCTCTTTGTGTTCTGGATGATGTCTGGCATCCTGTGGGTATCATAAGCAGAGGCAGGCCCGTTCAACATAGGAAGCGCAATGCCACGTGCGTGTATCATGAGAACAGTTTTCCCACAAGCAAGGCACGGCCAGATGGCTGAGGGGTCGAGCGAGGAGCTCGAAATTCGAGAGGTCGCGAGTTCATATCCTGGCTGCGGGTTGACTCAGCCCATCATCTCTCCAGGGTCGATAAGTGTGCGCTAGTTCTTTGCGGGGAAGTCAACGTTAGTTGTCCTATGGACACTCTCCACAGGGATAGGAATTCATCTTCTTGGTTCTTTCGGTAAAGTCACGTAGAAGGGAAGTAATAAAATAATAAAAATAAAACATAATATAATATTTCTCACGATGTTTCGGCCACAACGCAAGCAGCCGTCCTCAGGTGAAGAACAGGGTGTCGGAAAGACAGCGTCTGAATGAAACCACCAAGCTTGGCAGCGTATATTTAAGCTGGGTTAGAGGAGGAAGGCGCCTTGACAAAGGAATTTGCTTATCAACAGATGAATTAAGCATATTTATGCAAAATGCAGATATGGGATTAGTCACTACTTGTGGAATGTGTAGGTGGTGGGGGGGGTCTCAAAGTCATTATGCTCGTGTATTATGTAGGATTAGCAGTAATAAAGGGAGGGAATTTTAATAGTAAGGAGCTGCAGCAGTAACAGTTCTATTTCTGATGGTCTGAAATCCTTCTTCTTGGTTCAATTTCCTCCATCGTGCTCTGGGCCGGGAATCACCTCCGAGAAAACAAAGAGAGGAGCTCTCTGCTTCTCAACGTTTGTTTGTATAAGAATCGTGAACAGCTGCACACTGGCGGAATGTCCCCGTGCCTTCACCCGCTCATACTCCAAGCCCCTGGTGAATGCAGCAATCTTGTCATCCCGGGAGCATTTACGTACGCACGTGGGGGGGGGAGGTAAAAAGTGCGCGTGCGTACAGGGAGGGGGGGAGGGTATTCTTAGGTTTTTTCGGTAAAGTCACGTAGGTAAAAAATTTAAATTAATAAAAGTAAAAAAAAATAACAACGTTTCGGAAGCAACACAAGCTTCCGTCTTCAGGTGGAACAGTCACAGCACGATAGAAGACTGAAGCTTGTGTTGCTTCCGAAACGTCGTGATTTGTATTTTATTTTTTATTTTACTTTATTAATTTTAATTTTTACCTACGTGACTTTACCGAAAAAAACCTAAGAATATGAATCTAGGGGGGGAGGGGTCAAGTATTGACATATTTTTGCGTACCTACTAAATGGATGGCCCCTTATCGATCAAGAGACACAGCAAGGAATTGTTTTGCTCACTATTGCTTTTCCACGCAGGTATTTATGGAGCCATTAAGAGCAGCAACCCCGATTTACGTCGGGGATGCGTTCTCGAAATGCGCGACGAGTATTGAAAAAAACGACGTAAAATCGAAGCGATTTTTTTCCCCCTCTCCAAATCATCACCAAAATCACCCAAATTCTTGTTCTCCGCTTCAACAAAACAATGCACTCCGCGGTAGGTTTCTTTCGATGCGCGACAGAACTCTTTAAGGCTGAGTCGACCTAGCGGATGCCCAGGACCCATTCAAGTATCGCTCGCCACTGATGTTCGCCGAAGGGAATCGAACCCAGGTGGCGCAGCTTCGTGGCGCTGTGCTCTAAGCACTACGATACATAACAAAGACAAAGTTACCCCCAATAGCCTTAGCAGACTGTCGGGGCAAGTGCTGTTCGCCAACAGCACCTACGAAGGCCATCAACACGCCCGGCCCCCTTTGTCTCCCCTAGTGGCGACGTTTTTGACGCACCGCACCAAGTACTCATTTGAGGCTGAGTCGATCTAGGGGAGGCCCTGGACCGGTTCGGATACAATCGTCACTGGTGTTGTCCGTGAGCGGGAATCGAACTTGGGTGGTCGGGTTTGTAGCTCAGCGTAGCGCTAACTGTTGCTCCACCGCTCCCCACACAATACACACACGATACACACACACGATACACACACACACGATACACACACACACACGATACACACACACACACGATACACACACACGTGTCCTCTGTCAAGTGCTTGCATATTGTTAATGCAGTCACATGATGCCGTGTACCTATTGTGATGGCAAATTAGTGCTGCTGTATCATCTATTGTGTGCTGATGTGTGACCTGTACGCCCTTTTCCCTGTTTGCGCTGTGCCATCGCCTGTTGTGTGTGCACTGTTGTGTGTGTCTGCTGTGTGTGTCTGCTGTGTGTGAACTGCTGTGTGTCTGCTGTGTGTGAACTGCTGTGTGTCTGCTGTGTGTGAATTGCTGTGTGTGTCTGCTGTGTGTGAACTGTTGATTGTCGTGTTTAGTTTGTTGTCCTTCCCCCGCACCTCCGATCAGCACGGTTGGCTGCGTACGGTGCGAATGAAGTTCAGCATACAGTACATATGTCCTGTATGTTCTGCCGTATCATCTCCCATGTCATGAATCTTCTCCTCTTGTGCCCTGTATCTCATGGTTTCCAGTATCCACTAATCTGCACCATATATCCTTTATGGCCCATGCCCTCTGCTGTGTCCTGCTTTCTGTACCGTGTATCCTCCACGTGCTGTATCCCATGTGTCCCCGCACCTCTGATCAGCACGGTTGGCTAGGTACTGTGCGAAATAAGTTCAACATACATACATCACACGTCCCATATTCTCAGCGCCCTGTGTCCATTGCTCTGTGTCCCGTAATCCTGTGCGATGATGAGTCCTGTTCCCTCTGCCCCTCTGCTCCGTGTCCCGTATCCTCTGTAAGTCGGATACTTCGTGGTGTCCTGCATTCCGTCCCGTATCCTCTGCATCCTTTGCTCTGTCCCGTTTCATTCGCGCCCCGTTCCCTCTGCACGATGTCCAGCGTTCCCCGTGTTCCTTTATCCCGTCTGATGATGCGTCCTGTTCTCCCCTCTGCTCAATGGCCTGTCATCCCTATCTCTGTTGTACCCCATGGCCTGTCATCCCTATCTCTGTTGTACCCCATGGCCTGTATCCCCTTGCGCTGTGCACTGCCGGGGTCCTGCCTTTGCCTCCATCTATCCACCTACCTTGGCCGACCATCCCTGCGCCACGGGTCGTGGTGCTGCAGGCAGCTGCTGCTGTGCCTCGACAGTAGACGCGCACAGCACCACGCAGAGAAGCAGCAGCATCTTCGTCGTCCTCTTCATCGTCTTCATCATCATCCTCCCCGCGCACACAGGCGCAACCAGGCGGAGACAGCTGTAGCTCCAAACACAGCAGCCAGGAGCAGCAGCAGCAGCCAAACTCGAGCCGGCGTAACTGCGCGAACGCACGGAGTCAAGCCTCTTTCTTCCCGATGTTAAAGAGTTGATCCGAGTGACGCACGAGTTGATCAATGTGACACGCGTGAACGACTTGAAGCTTTCGTCTTCTTGCCGCGTCTCCTTTGATTGCGTTACTTGAAACAGGAGATGATACTTGAGGATTCCACGCGATGATGCTGCGTTGGCGTTGGTTGATGATCGCGAAGGCGCTTTGCGAGACAGAGGCGAGGGCTAAGCCGATGTTGGTGTTGTGCAGCAGGCAGCTGTAAGATTATGCCGGGACAGGACTAGGATTCGAGGCTGTGGTTGATGTTGTTGTTGGGTGGTTGGTGTTGTTGTTGGGAAGAGGGGGGGCTGAGGAATGGGGTGGGATGGTAATTGGGGGAGGGGTGGGGATGTGCATGCACCACCACCACCACCAACCCCATACAACTTCATTCTTACAACTTTGAACACAACCACCACCACCAACCCCCCATCGGCCACATGCCCTTCCAAGCATTCCTGCCTCGACTCCCCTCTGAGACTCTCCTCTGAGACTCTCCCGCTCATAGGAAGTGCATGGGAGGCTGTTTGTCGTCAGGCTGACGATGTCCATGACAACAAACACCCGCTCTGCGCTCGACATCGTCAGCTCTCGGAAGCTAAGCTAAGCAGGCGTTGTGAACCTGGATAGCGAGACGGTGCTTCTGATGGGGCGACCACCACCACCACCACGTGCCTGCCTTCGCTAACCTGACATGACCATTTTGGGTGAAGTATGGTGGAAAATATCCCCCACCACCACCCCCCCGCTCACGATCCGCATGGCGTTGGCATCCCCACATTCTAGATTTGAAGCTTTCGTAACTGCAAGGACTCATATTCTTAGGTTTTTTTCGGTAAAGTCACGTAGGTAAAAAATTAAAATTTAAAAAGTTAAATAAAAAATATCATGCTGTGACTGTTCCACCTGAAGACGGAAGCTTGTGTTGCCTCCGAAACGTCGTGATTTTTATTTTATTTATACTTTTATAAATTTAATTTTTTACCTACGTGACTTTACCGAAAAAACCTAAGAATATGAATCCCCACATTCATCAGTGGATTTATATCGTATCGGGTCACTGCGACGTATGTTTTCACGATACGATAATTTCCACGATATGACGATTATCGCGATATCGTTTCCCCATACGTTACGTAATTGCGTTTTGTATTGCGATCGCTGCCGCCGTGTTGTACTTGCCAGTCAGAATAATAAAGATTCGATGGCGAGTTCTTCAACCGCAGTTCACCGAGAATCAGAATTTGCATTTCGACTGGAGGAATCCGATGAGCTATGAAGCTCTTTTTTACACGCAGATGTCCAAGATAATATTATCACTACAAATACAAAAGTGCTCGAAATGCAAGCTAAATGGAAACCATCAAACCGATCATCACTGACTCCATGTGCTCACCACGAGGTCCACACACACACACAACACGTGTGACCAACTATTATCGTAATGAATTGGCAATTACAATTAGATAACACAACTGCGCATCATAGCCAGAACGCTGAAACCGACACCCATCCCCCCTTGGCTCCCTGTTCTGACGAACATTCTTGCAACCAAATATCCGCAGAGATTTGCAAACTGAAAGGGAGTTCGCACGTTGTCTTGCCAACTACAACCACCACCAAGACCTCACCAACGTCCATCGCCGCCACCAACTAAAGTCCCGATACCCCCTTTCTGGGATGGATGGCGCTGCTGTCCCCATACCCTAGAATCTCACCCAGATGCGGAGGAACGCCGGGCGACGAACAAAGAGTGGAAACAACGCGCACGACCGGAATAACAAACACCTCCAATCGAGACCCAAACATCATCGCGACTCCTGGCTTTGATATTCCTGCTCCTCCTCGAAGACACCAGAGTTACCATCAACTGTATCAGAACATCAACAGGCCAATGCGCACATCACCAACTTCATGCAACCCAAGCTATGGCCCGTATAGTTAAACCCACAGTAAGTCTGCGCTCCTTCAAGGGAGGAATCACAAAACTACACGAACGTTCCGCTCCTGAAGCGCTCTTTCGTCGTGGCGAGCAAATCTCGACATTAGCAATTCACTCCTGAACCGCATTGCTTCCATTCGCAACAATAGAAACATAGAATGGAAATAATAAAATAATAAAAATAAAACATTATAAAATAATTATCACAATTATTTTATTATGTTTTATTTTTATTATTTTATTGACTTTACCGAAAGAACCAAGAAGATGAATCCCTGCAGTCACGAAAGCTTTAAATCGAAATAGAACATAGTTAATTGGCCGATTAAGCTAAATAATTGGCTAACGGGCCAGTGAAATGATTGTTGATTGCTCAAGCGGTGATTGTTGATTGACCAGCAAGTGATTGGTGATTGAACCACCATCAGGTGGAGTGGATGTCTAAGTGGAGGGAATAACAGGTTTGGTTCACTTGCCGCACAAAGCCAGACTTGTGTGCGCTGTTTGCAGCAATCGTCCTGCCCTACTCTGGAACCAAACCGGGTGAGTTGTTTGTTTTGTACGGATACACACTTGTGTTCTGCAGTTTTCGCATACTCCACAGTACAATTGCATACCTGTCAACCCATACGGGTTATTCTCATATTCTTCTACAGGGAAAATGAGTTTTCAGGTCCATACAGCGTACAGCCGTTTCAATGCGGGCAAACTTTGTTTTGTCTGTTTGTGTTTCTCCCTTGTGATGGGACTTGGTAGGATGAACGTTGAGATTTGGAAGGGCACGGGGTGACCAATAAGGTCTGAATTGGTCTGTAATAAGGTAGGGCACTCATGGGGTTTGACAGCTATACAATTGTAAGTTTATAGGTCCTCAATCGGGGTTTCATTTAGGACTGTATAGATTATTCTGGAATGTTGCTTAGGCTGGCCTAAGTAGCGGCGTTAAGGCACGACCACTATAGGTGCAAGGTCCGTCTATCCATAACCATACCCAGTATCACTGCCTACTTGTTACAAACCAATGCAGACCTCATTGGTCACCCCGTGCTCTTGATAAATCTCAACGTTCAACCTACAAAGTCCCACCACACAAGGGAGAGACACAAATTGACAAAAACGAATGTTTGGCTCGTATCGAAACGGCTGCACGCCGCGTGGACTCTGGTGAAGACTCAACGTTCCCTGTACACAAATTACGGGGTAAACCGTACGGATCGACACATGCGTTATCCTTCACGTGCCGTGCTCGTTTAAAGGGCGTCTTGGCCAGGGCACAAACATCGGGCGAGGTTAAACGGGGGCGACGGCCTGCATCGAGCAGTGGATCGATCACGGCTGATGATGATGATGGTTGCGTATAAAGACACTTGACCACTTCACGTGAGCGGAACGTTACGATGTGCAGCACTTGTTCTGTCGACATTTAAGCAGAGGTGGGACAAAGTCATTGTTATGCAAGTCCAAGTCGAGTCTGAAGTCATCAAATTCATGACTCGAGTCTGACTCGAGTCCAAGTCACATGACTCGAGTCCACACCTCTGCATTTAAGCCACCAAGCTGCTGCTGCCGCTGCTTGCTAGAGATCGCCTTGCAGTCGGAATGTTGACCCAAGCCCAGTGCAGGTTGGTCCAGATGTCTTGTGACCCCCCCCCCCGCCTTCCAATTAATTGACCCCCCCCCCCCTAACATTTTTCCTTCTTTCCATGTTACTTTCTCTTTTCAAATAAAGTTTATTTTTAACGCTTTTTTAGAGAATTCGACGGTGGTCACAAGATGTCTAGGAGCACCCCCGTACAGTACTAGCTACTGTACAACTATCCATAATAACTAGCTGTACTACCCGGCTTCGCCCGGGACTTGTATCCACCACGGCCGGCCGCCTTTGTCTCCCCAGTGGCGATGTTAATACGCTACAGCAGTTACTCGTTTGAGGCAGAGTCGACCTAGGGGAGGTTCAAATAATCGTCACCGGTGGTGGCCGTGAGCGGGAATGGAACTGGGTTCGCCGGGTTGGTAGCGCAGCGTAGCGTTAAGCACTACATCCACCGCTCCTCACACACCACACACGCACAGACACACACACAGACACACACACAGACACACGCAGACACACACAGACAGACACACACACACAGACAGCACGCTAATCACTACACTACCGTTTCCCCTACACAACACACGCGCGCGCGTCCATAGGTACACATACACGCGCTTGCTGCAGACACACACGACTTTCAGGGTGCGTACGGCAGTAAACGACTGAAATAATAAAGCGGCAATGCTGCGCAAGGAACGCCTTAGACCTGCAACACATTTGTGTAATGCGAGCGTAAAGACACAAACTCATACAAACACATACACAATATACACACACACATACATGCAGACACACAGACAGACACATAACACACATACATACACACACATACATACACAGAAACACATACACACACATACATAGACACACACATACATACACCCAAGCACATGCACACACGTACATACACACATACATACAGACACGCAGACATACACATAAAGACATAGAAAAAAACCCACATACATACACACACACACAAACACATACACATACATACACACATACATACAGACACACAGAGATACACATAAACACATACACAAAAGACCCGGCTTCGCCCGGGACTTGGATCCACGATGCCCGTCCGCCTTTGTCTCCCCAGTGACGATGTTCACACACGACAGCAGTTACGCGTTTGAGGCTGAGTGGACCTAGGGGAGGGCCAGGTCCGTTTCAAATAATCGTCAGCGGTGGTGGGCGTGAGTTTGAATCGAACTGGGGTCGCTCAACCAGCTTAATGACTATTTGTACAAAGAACATATAAAGAATCGATTATAATAACCAGGCTACAGTCCACATTATAGACTGCCAGTACACGCAGTCAGCTTCATAAGCAGGCTAGAGTGTACATGATAGAGTGGCAGTACGCTCACCGAGCTTAATAAGCAGGCTACAGTCTACATGATAGACTGGCAGTACGCTGACCCAGCTTAGTGACTATTTGTACAGTGAACATTTAAGTAATCAATTGTTGGCGCGTTGGGTTTAAAAGTAATATAAATTGCACACATTGTGGTGGGGGTGGAGTGAAGAGTAGGACAAACTTTGCGGAATTTACCTCAGAGTGGCGTGGTGGGTGTCGAGGCCTAGTAGCGTGCAGAGCCTGCGGCCTTGCCTAAATTGTCCACCCGGCAGAGGCAGGGTACGGGTGGCGTGCCTTCCCCCCCCCCCCCCCTCAGCGCTCCAACAACACTGTGTAATGGCTATTATTTAATTATTTACGGAGCCTATGAAAGTGGTGAAGGCGTGGCTAGCCGTTGGCAGGGGCAACCGCCGTCCAATGAAACTGCAGCCCTTGGCGAAGGCATCGCTAGCCGTTGCCAGGTCCAATGAAAGCGGCGAAGGCATCGCTATCCGTTGCCAGGGGCAACCGCCGTCCAATGAAAGTGCTTATGGTCCGAAATCCACACACACACACACAGACGGACAGACAGACATTCACGATTTTATATATATAGATTGATTTAAAAAAATACCCCCCCCCCCATCATATTGATTAGTTTTAATTAGGATAAAATAAGAGATTGATGTGGTTGATGTGCCAGCGTAATTAGTGGAAATCGACGGACCGCCTTAAGCCGAAATGGAAGCAGCTTCTTGTCCGTGGTTCGCAGTGTTCACCACCTTGTAATCAGTAACAACAACAACACAACCACCACGATTGCAACACCACTACCAAGCAATGTCCTTCACTACATTCGCAGAGTTTGAGGGTGCGGCGGGGGGCACTTTCGCCGAGAAGACGTCACCAGTGTTGCCCGTGTCGTCACACATTTGAAACCATCGCGATGATGATGATGGTGGTCGTGGAGCGGTGTTTTCACATTTGTCTTGTTATGGCCCAGCGAGGCCTTTGCAATTTGAAGAACTCACAAACTGCTCGCAGAGAGAGGCGAGCTGATGCGCACGCAACGCTTACCTGTCCCAACCCCATTACAGACCAATTCGGACCTTTATTAGTCACCCCGTGTCCCTTTTAATAAATCACGTCGTTCATCCTACAAAGTCCCATCGCAAGGCGAGAAAGACAAACAAATAGACACGCATATTTTTTTAAACCAAATTTCCCTGTACAAGAATACGGTTAAACCGTCTCGGTTGACACGGTATGGGCACGTCTGACTTCTACATCATGTGTGTGTCCAGTCAAGGCGCACGCTTTTCAACCAACCCAACCAAAACAACCCAACCAAAACGAAAGCTTTAAATCGAAATTTAACCGCCACTACAGGGTGGGATTCCATAAAACTTTAAGATCCTTCAACAAGCTCTGTGATAAGAAGGCTCAGCTAATCGAGTCTCTCACCTTTCTGTAGAGATGCCGTGACTCTAAGGTAATACCAATCCTCTTGATATGCAAATTCTTTTGTCAAGGCGCTCTTCTTCCCCCTCCAACCCAGCTTAAATATACGCTCCAAGCTTGGTGGTGTTTCATTCTTCACCTGAGGACGGCTGCTTGCGTTGTGGCCGAAACGTCGTGAGAATTATATTATTTTATTATGTTTAATTTTTAAATCCTTTATATTCAGTTCACTTGCTTGCTTGCGCGCTTACGACCGTGCAAATCTTTGGGTCGTTTTTTAACCCACTTCCCGTGATCCAATCGAGCTGACATTTTGCACACAGACTCGTTGTGCGTGACAATTTATTTTCGTGAACTTTTTTTTCCATAACTTTAGACTTTTTAGGACAATTTTTTTTATTTAATTACCAATTGCTTAATGGTGGCAGGCAATCATCTGACCCATAGGTGGCAGCCATCTCAAGCCAGAGGACGAGAGGACACTAGCCGCCACGCATATAAAGGATTTATAGTAAAAAAAACTTTGTTTTTACGGGTTAATTTTGTATTCTTTTATTATTTCCCTTCTACGTGACTTTACCGAAAGAACCAAGAAGACAAATCCTCTACCCCATGGCTTCCCGACGGAGAACGAAGACCTCGGCCGGGGCCCGTAAGTCTGGCGGTGGCGGCAGCGTGAGTCGAGGAGGCGGCGTGAGAGCGGCCGCCCAGGCGCGCGTCTCCCTGGGGCCCGCCGGAGAGGGCCTGGACCCCGCGGACCGGCGGGACAAGCTGGAGGTCTTCCTGCAGGACTTCGACAGGGAAGGTGCGGGGGGGTTGTTTGGCAGCCGTGGTTCCGTGGTGGGGGGGGGGGCAGTCGTGGTTCTGTGGCTTGGTGATGGGGGGGGGGCAGCCGTGGTTCTGTGGCTTGGTGATGGGGGGGGGGGCAGCTGTGGTTCTGTGGCTTGGTGATGGGGGGGGGCAGCTGTGGTTCTGTGGCTTGGTGATGGGGGGGGGGTAGCCGTGGTTCTGTGGTTTGGTGATGGGGGGGGGGGGGGGGGCAGCCGTGGTTCTGTGGTTTGGTGATGGGGGGGGGGCAGCCGTGGTTCTGTGGTTTGGTGATGGGGGGGGGGCAGCCGTGGTTCTGTGGTTTGGTGATGGGGGGGGGGCAGCCGTGGTTCTGTGGTTTGGTGATGGGGGGGGGCAGCCGTGGTTCTGTGGTTTGGTGATGGGGGGGGGCAGCTGTTCTGTGGCTTGGTGATGGGGGGGGGCAGCCGTGGTTCTGTGGCTTGGTGATGGGGGGGGGGCAGCTGTTCTGTGGCTTGGTGATGGGGGGTTTGGCAGCCGTGGTTTCGTGGCTTGGTGATGGGGGGGGGGCAGCCTACGTGTTTATATCGTGGTATCGCTATATGTCAGCAACGCTAATATGTATAGTCTACACATGGAGTACATATGCAGCGAGTTCAACCGAGTCGCAGACGTATACTTGGAGGCAACACATTTATTTAACTCCAACACATGGGGTAACTTCCCATTAACAGAAGAACAACCTATGGTGGTAATCACTAGGCTAACTACTACGTAACTAGTGTAGTTTTTTGGGGTTAGATCGTGTGTGTATACACACAAATGTGTCGTTAAACCCGCCACCACCCGACACAGCCAATTAGTAATGGTCGTCATGTTAACGGAACGTGGCACATCCAGTATACAACTCGCTGCGGTTACGCGTCACCTATTGTATTGTCTCGATTATAAGACTCAATATTCGTTTCTCTCCTCGCTTGGATCTTTAATAACGAACGTTGCGCGTGTTGTGTTGTGTGTCCTGTCGGTGTGGTGAACTTCTTTCGCACCGTGCGTGGCCGAGCATGCTCGTTGGAGGTGCGGGGGGTGGGGAAGGACTACAAACGAAAAGCCAGATTTGAAGCTTTCGTGACTGCAAGGATTCATATTCTTAGGTTATTTCGGTAAAGTCACGTAGGTAAAACATTTTCATTAATAAAAGTGAAATAAAAATAAAATAAAAATCCTCTCACTTGATACAGCTATCGTGCTGTGACGGTCCCACCTGAAGACGGAAGCTTGTGTTGCCTCGAAACGTCGTGATTTTTATTAAATTTTTATTTACTTTTTTAATTTTATTTTTTACCTACGTGACTTTACCGAAAAAACCTAAGAATATGAAAACGAAAAGCCGTTCGTAATAAATCAGTTTCCAATGGTGATTGATAATGCGATAGGAGTGACTGTGAGTGAACATTGAATCCACATGGTGACCGATGTGGACTGCCTCCTTACCACCACTGATGAATAATGGGCCAAAGTTACATCTCCCAGGTGGGAATTTTAAGTTGCCAAAATTTACCCAGAAACACGTGTCCCCGTCACGTGTCTGAGATAAATGGGTGCTGACCATGCTTTGTAACAATTGGAGTGATGTGCGGTGCAGTGGTTATAGCACATTGCGTCGAGTTCAAATCGCGGCCACGGCTCCCATCAGTGGCAAGTGATATCTCAATTGGTCTTAGCCCCCCCCCAACCCAGCTTGGTGAAGTATGGTTACATAACCCCCACAACCGACACAGAATCAGAAGCCTTGGTGCAGGAGTGGATTGATAAAGTGCTTTTCTATTATATATAACAATTAATTTCTCGACGAGGCACGAGTATTGTTAAACGTGTAACAATTTGGTTCACTGGCGATTCGATGAATTGTTAAGATTGATTTTCGTGTCTTGTTTTACGGTCTCATTCGTACAGTTGTATTCGTTCCATGAGCACAAATGTAACATTACCATACAGGTCAATTTCGAACATAATACGGGGGTCGTGCACCGCCCTTTTTAACGAATTCACTGCTGGGCGAATGCCTTTTCCCATCTCTTCAATAGAGAAGGTTATTTTACCGTCCCACTGGTCAATGCGGGTTGGTGAAAGCGGGGCGCATAGACGTGGGAGCGTAATACGGCACAACAATGGGGTTCCGCTGCGCTGCCAACTGCTTGCGAACCACGTGGCCCACGTCGCGATGAAACCTTTCGCATGACGAAATATTGTGGTGGGGTTTGTTTTTTGTGTGGCTCATTTGTGAGTCCACGTAGCGTATCTCTAGCGACCTCTGCCGCTGGTGGCTGGCTTGGCTCTGGATTCTTGCAGAGCCGTCCAAAGCGGCCGGTAAAACTAACTCGAGGTCACAATTCACGTGCCTGGGGGGGGGGGGGGTCAGACATTTGTGACGGGTTGGGGTGAGAAATGTGACGTCACATCAAAATGCGCAACTTTAAATAAATCTAGAATTGTTATAACAACACTAATTGTTAGAACAACACTCCTACAACATCAGAGTGCAGCGCCACATTAAATACCCACTACAATGACAATAGTTTAAAGCGATTTGAAGCATGTTTTATTTTCAAAATAGAAATATGTTTTTTTTGGGGGGGGGTGGGCAGAGCTTTGTGACGTCATATTTGAGGGGGGGGGGGTCTGACTTTTTGTGACGAGGGGGTGGGGGTTCAAAAATCGTCCAAAATCGCGTGACGTCATTTATGGACGACCCCTAATGCAGACATTGGTGTCGGCTGGGCGGTATGCACCCCCCCCCCTCACCCTGTGTGCCCTCTCCCCCGCCACCTTGTGCCCCAACCGCATGTCCGTGCTGCAACACAAAGTGTTGGCTCGGAAGCAGCAGATCCAAACCCTGACGAGCTCCATGCTGGAGGGGCTGAACATGTGCTACTCGCTGCGCATCTCCTCGCTGCCAGCACGCGTGCGTGCCATGAGCCTGCAGGAATACAAAGGTGAACCTCCCTTTGTTCTCGAGTTATAGCCATCTTCTTGGTTCTTTCGGTGAAGTCACGTAGAATGGAAATAATAAAATAATAAAAATAAAATCATTCTCACGACGTTTCGGCCACAACGCAAGCAGCCGTCCTCGGGTGAACACCAGGTCTGTCGGAGACAGCGTCTGAATGAACCATTTAAAGTTATAGCCATTTAAAGCTTTCGTGACTGCAGGGATTCATCTTCTTGGTTCTTTTGGGATGTTGGCTATCAACAAGGCAACTCCTATGACTAATTGGGAATGGGACGCAAGCGTAGGATTGATCACCCTGTCGCTGGCCGCCTTTGGGGAGGGTGTATAGTGTGAAAGGCCGAAACACCCTAGGAACCAAAGGTACACTACTGACGATGCGCTCCCCAAATTTCACCAGGCTCACTGTTCATGAACTCTTGGAAGTGCTTGCACAAAGGATGGTAACATCTCATGTTGTGTTCTTGGAATCGGTAAGTCACGTAGATGGGGAAAAACACATAATTAAAAAAAAACTTTTATTTTATTTATAAAAAAATATATATTTTATTTTTTAATGTTTCATTATTTTATTATTTTCCATCTACGTGACTTTACCGAAAGAACCAAGAAGAAGTTATAGCGAGTTGATGGTCTCGGCCTGGTCCGTGAATGACTGCACAAAAAAACCCACCAGCACGTGGCACCTGTTCTGCACTCAAATGTGTGGATATGGTTCAGCTCTGGCGCTGATAAATGTCGGGCTTCTACTATCGTACGATTGAACATTATTGTCTGTAGCAGCAGGGGCGAGGTGAGATAGTGCTGCAATCTACTACGCGCAATCAATCAAACTTTCTATAGTATTCATGCAAAACATGCAATGCAGAGTGCTTTATAGGCATGAACAATAAGTGAAATTGTAGGCAAATTAAAATCGCATTAACACATTTCAGGCAAAGGCATAATAAAACTAACACTGAGAGAATCCTAATTTAAAGCAAGTTTTAATAAAAGTTAGTTTTTAGATTTAGTTTAAAAGTGCTTAATGATTCTGAAGCCCTCAGATCTCCTGGCAGGCTGTTCCACAGGCGAGGGACCATATACACCAAAAGCTGCTTCTCCGTAGGTTTTGGTGCTGCCCTTTGGGACGACTAAAGACCAATACCAGAGTATCTGAGGGATCTTGTTGGTTCATTTCTTAAAAGCTTGGAAGACGTATACATGTGCCAGATCATTCAACGACTTGAAAACCATTAGGAACATTTAAAAAATCAATTCTATGACTGACTGGCAGCCAGTGCAAAGATTGTAAAATGGGTGTTCTGTGGGTGCTCTTTCTGGTTTTCGTCAGTACACGTGCTGCTGTATTCTGAATTAGTTGCAGTTTACTTGTTAATTTTTCGGGAAGAGCATTACAGTAGTCGAGTCTGCTGGTGTCTTGAAGGCATCTCAGAAGATGCAGCTGTGATATCCACTTCCGCAGGCCATTCTCTCGCTATGCTACGAGAGATCCGACATAGATTCTTCATCTTGTGGCGTGAAACTGATTGGACAAATAATTGGGATCAAACTGTGGGGAAAAGTTTAAAGAGAAATTATTATCCATAACACAGGTTTTTTTTTGTGTTAGATCACGCAAATGTAAATGTCTCGTTAAAACCGCCACCACCCGACGCAGCCAATTGGTAAGGTTTGTCACGTGAACAGAACATGCCGATTCGTTAATAGTACAGCACACTGGTTATGTTGGAGAGGAAACTCGCAACGTTGACAATTTGAGTACGACGTTTCGCCAGTAATTTCAACCAGTATCATCAGGCGACAGCCAGATTTATATGAATATATAAATTTCGTTGAAATTATTAGCTGAATTAAATGCCTTAAATTGTATTCTGTCTGCCTACAGCTATGAGTCTTGGGAATGAGCAATTGGAGCCTCCACTTGAGGTGAGGCCCCTCCCATCTACATACCAAACTATAAACTATTTTTTATTTTACCAGGTAAGGCTCACTGAGCTATATAGCTCTTCTCTTTTTTTAAACGCAACCTACCACAAATGATAGCTCAACGAAATGTATATCATCCAAATACTCAATGCATAGTAATAGGGTTTTACCCTTTCAACTGGTACAAAAACTGACACCTTTATACAAGGCATCATGTTTGCAATAACCACAACACAAGCAGTCAAAATGCAAACAAAAAGAAACAACTCTGATAATGATAATGATATGCACTCTCCTTGAAGTTGATTGGTCCACACCCGAGACAGCTTTTCTTAGAGCCTAGTCTCCATTGGTGTTGGACCAGATGACGCCAAAAGGCGTACAACTCAAAGACAGTGCACTATCAGAGAATTGAGAGCTCGGGGTAAGCATTTACACTGAGACATTTCCTTTACCAGTGGCAAAATATAGTAATAGGTTTTTACCCTTGTATAAAGGTGTCAGTTTTGTACCAGTTGAAAGGGTAAAAACCTATTACTATATTTGCCACTGGTAAAGGAGATGTCTCGTAGTGTAAATACTCAATGCATATTTATAAATGTGGAGGGAAAAACTGGAGGACCCAGAGAAAAATCTACGCGACCACGGGGAGAAGATGCAAACTCCAAATATGCAGGTGTCAGCTTAGGGATGGAACTCAACAACTTCTTGTACACCAGGCGAGGTAGTTAACATCTCTCCACCGTGGCGCCCCAACCCATGTATGTGATTGGATGTTGCACTGTCGTATTTGCCCCGCGTGTGTGGTTGGTTGTCTTGTGTGATTGAGCAGGAGCTACTGGAGGCCGATATGGTGCTGGACAAGGCAATGCGGCTAAGGGGAAAACGCGTAGGTGGGTAGGGGCGAGCCCCATGGAGCAATGTTCACATGGGTCCCTAGGTCCTGGTATATGGTCCCTATGTCTTCGCCTGGGTTCCTAAGGTTTAGCATATAGGTCCTCGCACCTACTACACCGGCTTTCTCCATCCTTTCCGCACATTCTACTCGCATCTGTCTTCCTCCCTACTCCCTCTCCTACCATTCCTACTCCTGTTTCACGCTGCCTCCAATTCCACAAACCTCCGTAAACGTCTCATCTGTTCCTTCCTACCTCTCCAATCGATCCATTTTTTTTTGCTTTTTCTGTCTGACCCTGAAGCCACCGGTGACTTGAGCTGTGTAGATTGTTGTGTGATATCCCCTCGTGTGTTTGCGTTCCCATGCGAAAGCAGTGAAGAGTTCCACCGGTATCTAACCTGCTTCAATCAAGGACATTGATTATTTTATTTGAGGAAGCCATTTACTTTTTAAGGGACGGGGGGGGGGGGTCGGTGGTGTCGTAGTGGTTCGTACACACTGCGCGATTGAACCTGGTGAACCGGAGTTTGATTTCGAGCCCCCGATCCCCTTAACGTGCGTTTTTATTAAACAAACCAAAAAAAAACATTGTGCAGGCGGTGTTAAGCTGGAGAAACAAGTGACGGTGCAGGGATCGAGCAGAGGAGCGACCGCAGGAGAGGAAACGGAGAAGCTTGCTGCCCAGGAGGGATCCAGTCTGCGCAATAGAGGCTCTTCACGCAAGGTGCCACTGCCCAAAAGTCGTAGAAAACTAGAACTAAATTTTTTTTGTTTAATGTTATATATAGCTCTTCTTCAGAAGTCACCTGGCCACAAATGATAGCTCAACTAAGTGGCTTATCGTTGTAGAAATTTATAGCAGCCAAATATTCTAAAACGCTGTTTCCTAAAAATGTGGAGGGGAAAAACTGGAGTATTCGAAAAATCTACGTGACCCGGTTCTGGTCCTTCCCTAGGTCTGCTTGGCCTGAAATTGGTTCCTCGTGTGGTGTGTAAACATCGCCACTCGAACCATAAAGGCAGCCCGACGTGGTGCCGGCTACCCCACTCCCTCGTGTGCCCTGCCGGCCTTCATAGGTGCTCGCTCCAAGCTCTGCCCCCATAGTCTGTTCATAGCTGTATGGGGGATCTTTGTCTTTTGTACGTGTTAATGAACTGAATTAAATAAAAGGTAGTGGTGAAGTTACTGCTAATTAATTTCATGCTTAATCATCATTGAACATCGTTGTGGGATTGGATTTTTTAAATAAAAACTTAATGATGTTACTTGCATTCTCCGCAATGCTCAATGAGAATTAATTATCGAGCATTGTATAATTTTCCATTTCTAACAGAAATGTTCCTTGCCATTTTAAACATCGAGTTGGTTCACCAGCATTGGTTTAAGCAAACCTGACTGAGACACTGAATGTCCAAACCGGGTTTAGAGTTTTCTTGTGTTGAGCCAACGCTGTTGAAAAGAAGACCCGTGTGTGTGGTTGGAGAGACAAATATATGGTAAGGAGTTGCTAATATGTTGTTAATTCATTGTTAAAACTGTTGGTCTTCAACACTGACCAATGGGATGACTAAGGCCCACTATTACTGTTAGCCTCTGCCTCGCCAGCAATGAATGGAATTCCTCTTTCCTGAATCACTCGGAGAATTCCTGTTGCGTCATCATGCGATTAAACGCTGCTCCGCATGGATGGATTGTGCGAACGGAGACAAAAATATCTGGTGTAGCCCTTAACACGCTGTTGGGTACAGTTCGATGAGCGAACGCCTAATGAACGTAGTAGTGGTGGTGGTTATGGTGTGGCCAACACTAAACCTAGGCCGCCTTTGTCTCCCCGGTGCCGATGTTTGCACAATGCCAACGATGTTAATTCTAGATTTGAAGCTTTCGTGACTGCAAGGATTCATACTCTTAGTTTTTTCGGTAAAGTCGCGTAGGTAAAAAATGAAATTAAAATTAATATTTCTATTATTACTTTTATTCATTTTAATTTCATTTTTTACCAACGATGTTAGTTGTGGCCGGGAATGGAACTCTCGTCGATCGGTGCATTTGTATTGCAGTGCACCAACCGCTTCGCTACCGGTCCTCCCCCGTCGTGGCGTGTGAGACTTGGTATACACGACTCGGGCACGTGGGATGAGCACCGCTGCACATGATGCGCCGTGTGAACACGTGCGCACATGCAGACGCACGCCTCTTGCACAATGGAAAAAAAACTGGAAGGAAAATGTTCCACGCGCGTCTGACCCCACTGCCCGAATTTAAAAATGTGCGTGACCTAGTGTTTGATTTCAACCATCCACCCACTACTCATTGTGCTACCATTTAATGTATAGCTCAAGGAAATGTGGTGGAAGGTGTACATGTGCCTATGTGGTGGGCGAGTGTATGTGCGATGTAAGTTGTGTGTGTTGGGGTCTTTGAAGGGAAAAGTACATGATGGGGTAGATGTGAGTTTTTTGGGGGTGTATATGTGGTTTTTAAGTATATAATGGAATGTGTACTTGTGGTGGTGTGTGTGTGCATATTAAATGAGTGTGGTATGTAGATACATAATGCAGTGTGCTGTATGTTTATAGAAAGTGTGCAATGGTTTGTATGTGATTGATGTAGACTGCATCCTGGGTGAGTGATGGGGGGGGGGGGTTGTGTGTGGTGAGTGGCGAGCGGTAGCGTGCTGCGCTACGAACCTGGTGACCCGTCTTTGATTCCCTCTCCATGGGCAACGCCGGTCTTCATTATCTGAAGCGGTCCTGGGCCTCCCTTAGGTCGAGTTATACCTTGTGAGTACCTGGTCCAGTGTGTACATGTCGCCACTGCGGAAACTAAGGCACGTGCTGTGCCGGCCTTCGTAGGTACTCATGAGCAGCACTTCCCCGAACAGTCTGTTAAGGCTAAACGGGAGACCTTTTTTAAATCCTTTATATTAAGTTCACTTGCTTGCTTGCTTACGACCGTGCAAAATTTGTGGTCGTTTTTTAACCCACTTCCCGTGATCCAATCGAGCTGACATTTTGCACACATACTCGTTGTGCGTGACAATGTATTTTCGTGAAAAAAATGTTTCCTAAATTTTACACTTTTTAGGAAAAAATTAAATATATTTAATTACCAATTGCTTAATGGTGGCAGCCATTCATCTGACCCATAGGTGGCAGCCATTCATCTGACCCATAGGTGGCAGCCATCTCAAGCCAGAGAACGAGAGGACTCTAGCCGCCACGCATATAAAGGATTTATAGTGAAAAAACTTTGTTTTTACGGGTTAATTTTTGTGTGTGTGTGTGTAATGTGTCTGTATGTAGCTGTATAATCGAGTGTGTGGTGTATGTTCTGTGCACGTATGTGTGTTTGAACCTTTCACACCGTACATAGCCAACAGTGCTATTCGGAGGTGCGTGTGTGTGTGTGTGCGCACGCGTGTGCAGCTCCCCGCTGGCAAAGTGAAGTCCACCTCTCTGGCCACCAAGCCAAAGAAAGAAAGGTAAAACTCCACACGCGAGCGTCGCCACCTCCCGAAGCCCCCGTCACGTGGCGTAGCGGCTCGACATCCAGCGAAGCACGCTCCACGAAATGTAGCGGCCAGCGCACTGGCTGGGGGGGAGATCTCTGCCACGGTTTTGAGCGCACGTGGCCGCATGCCTGCCTGACATTCTGTACGGATGCCAAGTGCTGAGAGCCAACATTCACAAGGCTCATCGCAGGAGCGGACTGTACAAAGAGTTCTTGGTTTACGCTACTTTTATTTGTTCACGTGTTTTTATTTAATTATTACTCTTTCAATGTTGGGGTGGGGGAGATGGAGAGAGTGGGGGGGGCTGTGTGTTTCTGCTGTACGTTGCGTGGTGGAATTTTAGTTGCTCGTGGCGACGGGCAGTCCAAGACGTGCTGCACGCGGCCTGAGCCAAAACCGTCTTGGCTCTCGGCTTGGCCCTGTGGCCTGGGCGCCGAAGGAGATTATGTTGAGAATGTTCACGGGGACGGCCCGCTCGTATGTTCATGCTATATTGATCAGCTACTGCGTGATGGTAGAAAACTTGAAATGCAATTCTTGAGCCAGGGTTTCATTTTCAGTCGTTGTAACATAGCCAATTTGCGTTTCTTTAATCACATTTCTACGATGGGTGTTTTTACACTTGTAGCGAGTTCAACCGAGTAGCAAATGTAGACTTGGAGGCAACACCTTTAATTAACTCCAACACACGGGGTAACTTCCCCTTAACAGAATAACAACCTATGGTGGTGACCACCAGGCTAGCTACACTAGTTAACACGTGATTAGCTACTACGGACCGGGACCAACAGCTCGGGTCCAGGTCCACGTGTTGGAGACTCGGTAGAACGTAGACGAAGGTTTCTTCCAGGATGAACAACAACGCCGGTCCCTCTGGGGGACCCGGCTTATATTCTCTGCAGCGTGTCTGGCTCCGCCCTTGGCCACGGTCCACCTTCCAGAACCCTCGGTATGGATCTGGATCCCAACCACGTGACCACCCCTAGCCCCCACTTGGGGCCCCTTTGTAGACTTAACTGGTCACGTGGCCTCTCGGGTCAACCAGAGTGCCATGGCCTTTAGTAACCTCATTCCTCCAGTGGCACTCCCACACCTTGTCCAGTAGGGCTGGCACTACACGCCAAGCGTGGTGCCACCCAGCGCTATCCATCAGCGCTCACCGGGCCCATCTAGGGCCAGTACGACACCCACACCACGTGGTGTCCACGGTGTCGTTACACCACACGCCGTGCCTCTCTAGGGCCGGCACTGCACAGTGACATCCCGTGATGTCACTACACACGGATTGGTGACTTGGGCTGAGACCATAAAACCGTGACGGGCAGCTGCCTCGATTTTCTAACCCAGGACTTCAGCGGTGCCAGCTCTGCGCTTTGACCTCCGAGCCACCCGGCCAGCTCCCCATGTGTTGTTACTTTAAGTAAGAAGCCGAGCATTCAAACGTCGAGGATGATGTAGCCATTTTTTTTTTATAAACCCAGAAGTGAAAATGTCATTGCCGACTTCACAAGAAGAGTCTTGGCAGCAACTTCGGGGGGTGGAGGGGGTGCAACTCTCCTCCTACACGGGGGCATTCGCATGCCCAATAAACACAGAGCGCATTCCCACACAAAGCTAACAAGTGGAGCAATCGTGAATGTTCTGCTCTGGCAACAGAGATTTTAAGTTGGATGCTTGTAGCTTGGCGCAGCCCTGCAATTTCTTGTTCGTGCCTCCTGCTGGCAAAACAGCTTACACCTCGAGAGAGTTCGAGAGGCATTGGGCCAAATTGTCTACGGCTGGACGAAGTGAGAGTAACCCTCATACTTTAGCCCACTGTGCGCGAGGTGCTAATTGACTCATTTATGGTGCACCCATTCTATTAAGTTGGTGGGGGAAGAGGAGAGGAGATTTAAGAAACCCACACCATTGTTTAAACTGCCATGCCGAGATGAGACTGAACAGGCAATCTGGATTGCAAGTCAGTCCAGTGGACTAACCATTTCACCGCGCTACAAGGCTTGCATCCCTTTTGTAGCTTGGAAATGGCTTTATTCCATTTTTATAAAATTATGGCTTTTAAATCTGTCGGTGCCTGCAACACAGTTTACATGCCCTTGTTAAATCAGCCTGTCACACAATCAGTGTAACACTGCCCCTCTATTGCCGTAAAGCAATACTGCACTTTAACAAATATGCAATGCAAGATGATTCCTTGTATCTGTGACCTTAGCTGCAACTTCTATTAACTGTGGGAGCTGTAGGGTCGGAAAACTGTTATCCATGTGGCCCTATTCGTGTATCTGCATTTTTTTTCACGGATGATAAGTGGAGCTGATTGACACATTCATCCTCTTGTCCGTGATTTATTTTTTATTTTTACCTTGCGTGTAAGTGGAATGAATTCACAAAAGCTCGTATATAATAGAAGTAGCGATACTTTTTTTTTAGTCCATAGCACTGCAAATAATAGGATGTCTGCACATGTTAAAAAATTGCGGATGTATTTTCAATGTTTCCATGCCTTGATTTTCAGAAGCTCCCAGAAAATGGACAGTGGTTACTCGACTGTGAAATTTAAAAGAGGACTGTCCAGCAAATCGGCCTCATCATTAGGGGTGCGCACACCACCTGCATTTGATCCCAGGTAAAGGTGGGGTATGTGTGTGCACGCGCGCGCCCGTGTTATGGAGCGTAGTATAATTGCTCATACAAAGCCCCTTGATTCCGGTTTGTTGGGTTTGATTCACAATGAAAAGGGCAGTAGAACGCAGTACAAATCGCTGCTTGGCCTGGGTCCGCTTCTGTCCAAAATGTGCACCTGGTGTGGTGCTAACATTGGCACCGGGGAGACCATAATGGCTGGGAATAACGGATGATGGTTGGCACCCAAATATCCGGATTAACACGCAGGCTTTCGGGGGGTCCCAGCCTGGTTAATTGGCTTTTGAGGCTCCCCCCCCCCCCCGCCTCTCATAAAATGTAGCATTGTGATAAATCCTATGGGTAATTTTGGAATTAAAACCATAGCATCACTGTGTGTGTTACTAGCACTTATGTGCCAAAAATTACGTTCATTTTAAACACACCGCCAATTAGCACGGTTGGCTACTTACTGTCCGAAAGAAGTTCTACATAAAAACTCGAACTAAAATAACTAAGGTAAATAACAAATCGTTTTTTTTACACATTGGCCATGGGTGGTAGTGAAACAGTCAAGGAGGGGGGGGGGATTTAATTTACAGAGGGGGGCTCCACAAAATTATAGCAGCCTCAGGTCCCCATGAAGCTTAATCCAGCCCTGGTCCGAACACCACCATCACGTTACCCGTGTGATCTTTACTTTACTAGGTACTCTTAACAAGACTTGCCCCAGCAGTCTACACCACTCTCAATGGTTGGCGATAGTGATCTTCGGTCCAGTTTAGATGAAGCGTCAACTTTTTACCTGTGGCACACGACAGATAAGGGCGTAGAGTAAAGGATATAGTAATGCATTGGGTAAAATTATTTGGCAGAGATGAGACGGGGAATTAAGAGGGAAGAGGATGGAAAAGGAATATAAAAATGGAAACAAAGAGTTGGGAAAGATGAGGATAGCATGAAAAGTCTGCATAAGGGCCTCAATGTTTGTGTTCATGAGGTGTAGTGTGAGGGGGGGGGGAGATTCAGTGGGGGTGGCCACACAATACATGTGATTTACGGGTGGCATGAGCTGTTTTAGATAGACAAGTTTTGTGTGTGTGTGTCTATACATGCGGCTAACCTATTTCTACTCAAATTTCGCTAAATGCGGTTTTAATTTGCTCGCATGTGGCTTTGCGGTCTGACGTGAGGACAGCAGTGTGTGTGTGTGCCGTGTGCGCGACTCGCCCAGCCGGCTGCTCTCGCGCAGTTTCACTTTTGTGCGCCCTTTTCTTGAAACGCATAGAGCCAAGGGAAACCCTCCTATGATGTGTTTTATTTTCAACAATGACGAATTTATGAACGATCACTACTGCGTCCCCTTGTGCATGCCGTCTGGAAGGTTGGCCCGTACGCCCCACATGTTCAGAACGCGCGCGGGGTCAAAGCTCCCGCGCGACTCCATCCGATTGAGCGGCACCAATGTAGAAGGGGAGACGAGCGTGTCACAGGTGAGATCGCTCAATTCCCCCCCCTCTCCGCCTGTCGCGGAGCGATTTGTGGTGTGGTGCCCGGCCACAGCATCCATTTGTGATTTGCTGAAGTAGGTCCTCACTTGCAGCATTTTCCACACTTTTATAATCTACATGGAGGATTTACACTATGAGATCTCTTTTACCAGTGGCAAAATATAGTAGTAGTGTCATCTGGTCCAACACCAATGGGGGACTAGGCTCTAAAGAAAGCCGTCTCGGGTGTGGACCAATCAACTTCAAGGACAGTGCATATCGTTATCATTATCAGATTTGCTTCTTTTTGTTTGCATTTTGACTGCTTGTGTTGTGGTTATTGCAAACATGATGCCTTGTATAAAGGTGTCAGTTTTGTACCAGTTTAAAAGGGTAAAAACCTACTTCTATACATGGGGGATCTTTTGCCTTGGCGTAAAAATACTCGTGTGTGATTGCATGCCTAAATAGTCACGTGTGTTTTTTATGGGTGCAGAAATTGCTACTTGGTTATGTTTGTTAGTGTGTGTGTGTGTGGTGGGGAGCGGTAGTGTAGTGGTTAGCGCGCTGCGCTATGAACCTGGCGACCCGGGTTCGATTCCCGCTCACGGCTAACACCAGTGACGATTATCTGAACCGGTCCTGGGCCTCCTCTAGGTCGACTCAGCCTTAAATGAGTACCTGGTGCGGTGTGTAAACATCGCCACTGGGGAGACAAAGGCGGTCGGGCGTGGTGCTGGCCACCCACCCCCTCGTGTGCCGTTCCGGCCTTCATAGGTGCTCGCTAACAGCACTTGCCCCTACAGTCTGTTAAGGCTATACGGGGGATCTTTGTCTTTATCTTTGTGTGTGTGGTGGGGAGCGGTAGTGTAGCGGGTTGGCTCGTTGCGCTACGAACCCCGACCACTAGAGTTTAATTCTCGCTCATGGCCAACACCACCTACCGGTTATCTAAACTAGTCCTGGGCCTCCCCAGGTCAATTCGGCCTCACGAGTACCTGGTGCAGTGTGTAAATTGCCACTAGGGAGACAAACGTGGGCTCTCATGGTGCTGACCACCCACCCCCTCGGCCTTAATAGGTGATCACGAGCAGCACTTGCCCCAAAAAGTCTGTTAAGGCTATATAGGATAGCTTTGTCTTTGTGTGTGTGTGTGTAATATATGAACCAGAGTTCTATACTTGGCAATGGGTAATGTCAAAGTTTAGTGATATCCTAAGCCAGTGCTGGTTCTCCTCTCCACTGGGCCTGCGTGGTGAAGTAAGATCAACCAACCACCATGACCAACACTGGGACGGATGTAATTCAGCACTCCATGACTAAAGGGTTGCAAATTCTCTTCTCCATGAGCCTCTCCAGTACATAATAATAATAATAATTTCCAGCCCTTCTCATTCCACTGTGGGGTTGAAGGCCTCTCAATAACCTGTTGGTCAATGGAGTTATTTGACCATGCTTTGCCATGCTGGTCAATGGGGATTGGTAAAGTGGTGTTGGAGGCCATGATCGGTTCACATATCACTCGCCACTGATAGCAACTGCAGCCAGAAATTGAACTCTGGTCGCCAGGCTCGGTGTAGTGCACTAACCACTGCACCACCTCTCCACCAGCACATCACACCACAGTCAAATATTAATCGCACAGCATTCAAACAGTTTACCCACGCATTCCCTTCTTTTCCGCCTTGCTCATTTTAAATAATTATTTTGTAAAGAGCCATGTTTTGAGGCCCAACAAACTGATACAAGGTCCTGAGAATGGAAGATTTACTCTCATTATTCCACTGCTGGGTAAAAAAAAAACTGCCGTGGCCCAGCAATGTATAATCCACCAGCTATTACCTGCACACGAGTTTCTATACTCCATCTCAGACCCATTCAAACCCTTGGCTGCCACTCCACCGTTAGTCTCAACCATCGGCCGGCATCCGTTTATAACGACGTTTCCTGCCCAAAACTACCTTTTCTTAATAGTTTAAATTACGTCATTTAACCTTCTAAGCTTATCAAATCCATGCTCCTCTTTCAATGCGATTCTGAGCACAGTGTCGGAGATGATTTGACCAAAAGTTGTCACCAGACCCGTTTCTCCATGATGTGTCCTTGTTTCCAGTTTATTTGACCTTTTCTTGTTTACTTCTGATCTTCGTACATTGTTGTAGTATGTATGTCTAGTGCAGGTGTCGGCAACCAATATAACAAAAAGAGGTGTGTTTTGGAAATCGTAAAATAACCCTCTATTTTAAGAGCCGCAAAGCATGTGAAATAACGCCACAAAGCAGCTCCTTAAAAAGCCACATGCGGCTCTGGAGCTGTAGGTTACCTACCCCCTGTTTGTAGTGCATGCGTTCGTGTGCAAATGTAATTGTATGGGTTTATCAAACCGCTGGCTAATTACGCGTGGGTTATCTTTCGGGTTAAACTGCTTCGCTGGCAGCATGAGAGTATTTCCCCTTTTTTTCTTAAGCAAAACAAATTGCACTGGGCTATAATTGCATATAGAATTGCACGGTCTGTAAATTACACGTAAATTATACACAAAGCACACAGGCAGGGATGGTACTTGCTGCATTAGCCCACGTGGATTCTTTGCGTAAACACACCTGTCAACCCCTTTATCCAGTGTCTACCTTATTACAGACCAATTCAGATCATATTGGGTCACCCTGTGCCATTTATAAATCTCAACGTTCATCCTACAAAGTCCCACCACAAAGGAGAAACACAAATAAATAGACGAAAATTGCCTGTGTTGAAACAGCTGTACACCGTATGGACCTGAACAAAATTTTCCTGGACAAGAATATGAGTAAACCGTATGGATTGACAGGTATGCGTAAGTTATGAAAGTATACTGAAAGTGTCCATAGAGAATTGGAGAAAATCAGCGTTGAGTGGTAAACCTAATAGTGTTTACAATCGTTTTCAAAGCCATATTGTCTTGCTGTCTTTGAATTCAAATTTAAGTGCCAACCCAGATGGTTTAATTTGGCTATTACACGGATACATGATTTCCTTAATTGCCTAAGCAACCGTGATTGTGTGAGCAGTTAAAACACTTGCCATCACTGCCCACTGGAGTCCATATTTCTTTAAGATAAATAATGATTAGACCATTTTAGAGGCTGGTATTTTTTGAGTAAATTTGTCGCAGGTAGATTGTTGTGTGGGTGGTGGGATTTTTCAAATTCTGCCTGGGGTGCATGACTTTGTCGAGATCTCCTCGGCAGGATGTGAATTTTATGACCATCTTGTAGCACACAAGCTGGTAGGTTGGCAGGGGGCCCAGGCTTGGCGTATTGTACGCCATGTGGCTCGCAGAGAGATCTTGTTGCGTCCACGCCAGCGGTCAGCACCCCCCCGAACCCCTAGCCGAGTTGGTGCAGCAAGCCAAGATGATTTGTTTACAGCTGCACATTCTTGGTTGACTTTTTTAGTCGTTGCATATGGATTGAAACGTCTAAAACAAATATATATGGACCCTTGAACAACCTAAACTGATTGGCGTCCATTTAAATGCAGCTGCCTTTGATATTTTTAACATGTTGTTTTCTGAACATGGTGAATTGTTCGTATTGTACGCAATGTGAAACCGCGTTGTGCCACCGGTTCTAACCCTCGAGTGCAGTGGAGACCACTGCCTGTTGTTAAATCCAAACAAATAAATTTGCATACACTATGTATAAATATAATAAAATATAAGTAAAGGAAGTGGTCGAGAAAAAAACATGGAAATATGTTCATTGTAGGAATAGCTGTTTGGCGTTTTTACAGAATTTCCATACTTGATTTGAGAACCAGGTAATTCAGTCCACGGGCCAGAGCAGATACCAAGTACCACCTTAGCAAAACTTGAATGAGTATAGATGTATTTGTGGCTAATGAGTGAATTATTGGATAACCCACTTCTTAGATCCATTTTTGATATGCAAGATAACACTCATTTAAAATGGTCGTCACGTCATTCACTATTGTTGGCCACATAAATTAGAACTATTTAAAGTTAAAAGCTGCTACCTCAGGTGGTGTGGACAAGTGCAATCTATGGTCTATGTTCGTGGACTAATTTGACGTTTTATAGTTTCTGATGTGTCCAGTGTGGACCCGGTGAGCATTATCCCCTCTGCTATGCACGATTGGATTTTGTCAGGGTGCTCCATTAACTCTCACACGCAAAATATTCCTAAAAGGCATCTACCAAATATCCCAGTACAGGACCTATATGCAAAAAGTCAACTCCAAAGATTCTGTGAGGGTTTCTTTTCATAGATACATTACATTTTCACATGGATGTAAGATGTATTGTTTTAAACTATTGAAGCAAGTATGCAATATGGGCAAGTGTGTTGCTGAGAAAAATGCTAAACTTGATGTATGTTTAATCTTTTATTTAAATGTGACTTACATTTCTGTTTTCTTGAATATCTCCTGGGTGCTGTTGTGTGGTCTATGGGGTAAAATTGCATGAGACAGGCTCACATTGGACTTGCTTACAAAGGAGAACTGCCTGTTGTCACAGATGGATGGCCAGATATTTAAGAAAGTGATACAACTCAAGATGATGGGACGCACATCCAATATAATTACTAACAGCATGGAAAAGTGTATTTATCTTCATGTGAACAGCAGCCCTTGTGCAGTGTTGCAAGTCCACATATTTATGATGAGCCATAAGTGTGCCATGCACTGGCACTTGCTGTTCGTTTGAATTGAGAGATGCATTACATCATAGGACGATGAGGAAAATGAAGAGGACTCTTTTTCAGAACTTTTGCAGCAAAGGGGGGAAATAATGTGAACAAAATTGGTAACTGTGCTCGTATAATCATCAGCCATGATCATTCCACTGTTCGATGTTTTGGGGATGCCTTCATCGCCAGCTCTAAATATTCCGCAATGTAATCATCCACCAACCACTTGCATGCAAGTTGATTCAATTGCTCCCATCTCTCCTTGTGGATTTCCTCTCCGATGCATTACACCCCTTGGCAGCCACTACCATCATGAGCCATACATTTATATATTTGCACGGTCTTTGTGCGAAACAGCAGGACACGAATAAAAAAAAGACATGAAAATTATAATTCAAATGCTGCCTGTTGTCACTTTGGATGTTGCCTCACGTGATTTTGTACGTTCGTGTGTGCGTATTGGGCAGGACAAACTCTCCGTCCTCTGCCAAAAGTCTGGCTCCAGTCCGAGCTAGCCAACACTGGGCCGACCGCCACCTGCCCTGTCCTATGCCTCTCTTAGCTCGGCTGAAGATGAGCCAAGAGAAAGAACACTTCTTACCGTCAACCACCCTCCAACCCACACCACCTTACCACACCCCAACCCACTCGCTGCTGTTGGCTTCTGTTTTCTGGACTTATGCTCAACTGGTCCGGAGAGACATGCAGGAGTGGAATGCAATACCATGACGAAACGGCTGGTGAAGAAGCACTCGCAATTACATTTTGTTATCCGACTTCCTGCCTTGTAATTGTTAAATTATATTATGTGATTTAAAATTAGAAGTGGTAACACGATAACTCTTAGTGTGTCCGTTATAAGTGTTTATGTTACTTGCTCACTTTTGTCTGCAAAAGCAATTTTAAGCAGGTTCATATTCTTGGATCTTTCGGTAAAGTCACGTAGAAGGGAAATAATAAAATAATAAAAATAAAACTATACAATGCTCACGACGTTTCGGCCACAATACAAGCAGCCGTCCTCAGGTGAAGAACAGTGCTGTCGGAAAAGGCTCTGTTCTTCACCTGAGGACGGCTGCTTGTGTTGTGGCCGAAACGTCGTGAGATTTTTTTTTATTTCCCTTCTACGTGACTTTACCGAAAGATCCAAGAATATGAATCCCTGCAGTCACGAAAGCTTTAAATCGAATTTTAAGCAGGTTGTGAATGCGAACAATATTTGAAAAATGCCACTGTAATTGAAAAATATCACTGTGGTACTCCACGAAGCAGTGCAGTTTTGCCTGGAAGGCACCTTGATCATAGTGGTCGAACGAAAGTGAAAAATGCTTAAATTATAAACCATTTCCCTATTTTGTCACACTGCTCCCTTTCTGTTTTAATTTCAAGTGTAATGAGGTTTTTGTGTTTTTGTTGTAAGCGATGGAGTGTGCGTGTTTTTTGCATATATACAAATAAAGGTTTTATTTTTTAAGTGTGAAACGTTGATGAATCAAATCCAACTCTAATCGCTGCTGCTATTTGTATTTTCTCGAAGATCCCAAATGGGTGGTAAAAATCCATAGAAAGAATTGATGTGTCCCTTGGTAAGTCACTGGTATTTCGCAAAAGTAATTGTACTAAGTCCTTACTTGCAAGGGAGCTGTGGTGCAATAGTTAGCACACAATTTACAATTGATGCGATCTTCTAGCTCTGCAGCTGAAACAATGAACAAGATTCTGAAATCTCCCTGGTCCTCAGTCCAGCCAGTAGTATAATCGGAAGGACAACCGTTGTTTGGCAGGTCACGTATCATGGGGAAAAAATTGGAGTACCCACACTACCCCAACACGACTGTTCAGTATTTAAGTCGAATTAGAATTATCTCTGGAGACTTTAACCAGCAGTATCATGTCACCATACAAAATGCCCTTTCGAGGTATGTGTGTGGTGCTTATTCTTAACAACTGATGTACAGGCATCAGCTGCTGTGTGGCTGCAGAGCCAGATATTAAAGCATTTTGCAATGTTTGACAAACGCCCTTAACTGCTGTATTACGGAGTTTGTGGGGCTGAGAAGATGTTTCTGTGGAGTAGATTGCTTCGGCGAGCATTTACTCCAGCCCCTAGAAGGGATTTCCAGATTGTCAGTAGAACACGCACTGCATTAAGTCTGGCTCAATACGTGGAAATAAGTGACGGGGCAAATAAACCTCCGTTTCTACCTCCTTTCCTGCACTTGAATTCGCAATTACAGTGGACTACACGAGTTGTGATAACTTCTCTCCTGTACCATTCCTTTTTTATTCCAATGTTCAGTACAATGTATATCCGCCCTGACCAATTATAACCACTCTCACTCGGTGTATTATTTGTGCATTGTGAAACTTTTTGTCGAAATAAATGCTCACAATCCCAAACTTTTCATGGACATTGCCTCCCGTATTTCTAATATCGTCTATATTCGCTTGCACCTGACTTACGGTATTGAGTTTTTCCATGTTTAAATAAGTTTAGACTCGTCCAGTAGTAACATTTGTGCATGGTGTAACTTTAAGCCCAATAGTATTTGCACATGTGCAGTATTCGTCACTGGCTTTTCAGTAAAAAAAGATGATTAACCTTGACTTGAAGCTTTCGTGACTGCAGGAATTACTCTTTGGTTCTTTCGGTAAAATAACGTAGAAAGAAAATAAATTGAATAATAGAATACGACGTTTCAATTTCAACACAAGCAGTCATCAGGTAGAACTACATTTGAGAGAGAGACAAAACACAGACACGGAGACAGAGAGACTCATGTAGTTCGACCTGATGACTGCTTGTGTTGTAATCGAAACGTCGTATTCTATTTAATTCATTTCATTTCCATTTGACTTTACCGAAAGAACCAAAGACTGATTAACCTTTTGGAAATTGCTCGGTTATTAGTTACGTTCTTTTAAAAGTGCTCACAGCCAGGCTAACATGTATTCGTTCATGATATTTGTTTTCCTAGAAGACACTGAATTTGGCAGGAAAACGTGCTACATGCAATTGGTGATTTGTGTTCAAACGCACTATTGTAAATTTTGCGTGGAAACATTGTGTGCACATGACAAATGCCAGCCTGATGTTTATGATTCTGTTTTTTTTAACAGTAAAATGCCATTTTTACTACGTCAAAAATGTAAACATGGCATATTTTATTCTACCAATTTATTTATAGTCTCAGCTTTAAAAACAAAAGTAGGTGCTACCGATATGTACAAATGAAGTGAATGTACACAGGACCTGGGTCCCTCTCGATATTGGATTGATCATCTTCGGACATGAACCCTGAACATTAAACATTCTTTAGGTGTTGATTTGAAGCTTTCGTGACTTCAGGAACCCATACTCTTTGGTTCTTTCGATAAAGCAGAAGAACTGATGACGTACGTACGTCATCAGTTCTCCTGCTGTTTGTTTCACCTGATGACGGTTGCTTGTGTTGCGATCGAAACGTCGTGATCTATAAATTTGCTATGAACGTCACTTTACCGAAATAAACTAAGAGTATGGATTAGTTAGGTGCCTTAAGTGTGGTGGTACTTTCAGCTTCAGGCATTAACACCCTCCCGCTGCCCCCCTTCCTTAGGGGCCCAGGCCCCCCCCGCCCCCCTTCCTTAGGGGCCCAGGCCCCCCCCGCCCCCTTCCTTAGGGGCCCAGGCCTCCCCCCCGCCCCCTTTCCTTAGGGTCCCAGGCCCCCCCCCGCCCCCCTTCCTTAGGGGCCCAGCCGCCTCCCCCGCCCCCCTTATTTGGGGATCCCTTCCCCCCCCACTTTTTCGAACGGTAACATCGATCGCCATGGCAACGGCGCGCGCCATTGCCATGGCAACGGCGCGCGCTATTGCCATGACGTCAGTCGGATCGACCCGAGCTCATGCGCGCGTCCTGCTTGAAGCTGCTCGCGATCATTTTAATCTTTTAGGGGTTTTTTTCTCGCGAAACAACTTTTATGAACATGTTTTTACCCATCTCAGGTTGTTCTCGACGAGTTGGCCATCTTCGCGAGATGAAAGAAGCGAAAAGGTTATTTTTTTATTTTACGAAAGTTTTGAGAATACGAAACAATCCCCGTTATGTGTGTTAACGCTACTCGCTAACTTATTTATAGTTTAGCTGCGGCGGACGAACGATTCGCGTTAACTATTTCCGTCGTATCATCGCCCCTATTTAAAGATGTCACAATGATCCCTCCTGAAGATGATCGATTAGATCGGTCAAGTAAAACTGGCCATGTAACACAAATATATCTGCGCAGTGGGCCGTGTTGGTTCAGTCCAACTCAGAACCCAAGCCACGATTATGAAAGCTTCAGGAGCTTAAAAGTTCGTGTCGTTGTGCCATGTCTTCTCCTCCAGCTGAAGGAGGGCAAGGCTCTATTACTCCGATGGTCCAAAGTTCGTGTTGCTAACGACGAGACGAGGTCAGGGAGGCAGTGATTGATCTCCTCCCCCTCTCATCCTCCAACCAGCAGACGTCGGATCGAGTCTTCGAACTCGTCGATGAACGCGGCCGAAAGGGGCCGCGACCCACTCGGGAACTCTTGGTCGCGGTCCCAGTCACCGACGAGGATTCCATGGAGCCCTTCGGCATGCGCCGTGCCACCGCCGCGGTCTCTGTGGAGCCCAGAGCCCCCTGCCCCATCCCCCCCGGCTCCATCCCCCCAGACTCCATCCCCCCAGACTCCATCCCCAGCTCCACCTCCAGCCCCCCCACCTCCATACCCAGCTCCACCTCCAGCTCCATCCCCACCTCCAGCTCCACCTCCACCCCCCCAGACTCCATCCCCCCCGGCTCCATCCCCAGCTCCATGCCCAGCTCCACCTCCAGCTCCACCTCCAGCCCCCCAGACTCCATCCCCCCCGGCTCCATCCCCAGCTCCATGCCCAGCTCCACCTCCAGCTCCACCTCCAGCCCCCCAGACTCCATCCCCTCCGGCTCCATCCCCAGCTCCATGCCCAGCTCCACCTCCAGCTCCACCTCCAGCCCCCCAGACTCCATCCCCCCCGGCTCCATCCCCAGCTCCATGCCCAGCTCCACCTCCAGCTCCACCTCCAGCCCCCCAGACTCCATCCCCCCCGGCTCCATCCCCAGCTCCATGCCCAGCTCCACCTCCAGCTCCACCTCCACCCCCCCAGACTCCATCCCCCCCGGCTCCATCCCCAGCTCCATGCCCAGCTCCACCTCCAGCTCCACCTCCAGCCCCCCAGACTCCATCCCCCCCGGCCCCATCCCCCCCGGCTCCATGCCCAGCTCCACCTCCAGCTCCACCTCCAGCCCCCCAGACTCCATCCCCCCCGGCCCCATCCCCCCCGGCTCCATTCACAGCTCCACCCCCAGCCCCCCCAGCCCGCGCATGCGCAGTGTCGGCGCCGCCGCGGCCCCTGTGGAGCCCCGCGCCCCCCCCACCTCCACCAGCCCCGGCCTGCGCATGCGCAGTGCCGTCGCCGCGCCCCCCCCAAACCATTGTCGGTGCCAGGCTGAGCTGGGATATGAGTGCGCTCTTCTTCCCCGACATTCCGGTAAATCGACTCTCGCTTATTTTCCCCGCGCTCAACGTTTATTCGTCTCGCTTCGCGGCGCGAAACACTCTTCGCCTTTGTTTTACGTTTCGTTTAACTTTGACGGCGCTCGCACCGCGGTGCGTTGCGGTGCGGCCTAGCTCGCTCGGGGCATCCTCGGCCTGGCCTGAGTCGCCTCTGCGGGCGAGGCTGCGCCTACCCCCGGCCGGGTTGGGTCCCGGCGTACCGCTGTTTAAATGGTGATGGCGGTGTGAGGGTGGTGGTTGGGGGGGGGAGTCGGTAATGGTTGTAGCGGGCGACGCGGACCATCGCCACACACACGAATCGACGTCGCGTCTCTCGGCGCCCCGGTCTAACGGATGGATTGTCTTTGTCTCTTTGTTTCAGGCCAAGTCCTTGTCCAAGTCGGCCGCCGGTAAGTGGCGTCTAGACGCGGCACCGTGAGCTCCCCCTCCCGAGGAAGGAGGCCATTTTCTCACCGCTGTCTAATGGCGCAGAGACTAAGTCCCAAAGCACAAACAGCCTCGCGCCGGCCCCGATTTAGCGGCGATTTAGCGGCCGCGGGGTCGGATGAACGCGGGGTTCGGATCCCCGGTACTCCGGGAGGGGGATGCCGCCGCGAGAGGGGCTGTGCGCTGCTCGTATGACGAGATAGGCGGCCTCAAAGAGATGGCATTTGTGCCGCCGCCTGAGAGATTCTGACTTAGCCTCCAGCGCCATTTTCTGCGCCTGGTTCACCTTGGAAGAGGCGTCTCGAGGCCCTCTCTGGCCACGTTTGTGACCCCCACGGCCCCGTTTTGGCCTTTTTTTTCAAGCGGCGTGTCTCGCGACGCGGTCCTCGGCTTTGATTCGTGTCCAGTGGCCACGTTTCAGTCGTGGCAGATGAGCGGCGGTGCGGTTTGTGGGAATGGTGCTTGCTCTCTGTGTGTGCTCCCCGTGTGTGGGGGGTTTTTGTTCACCCGAATGGAAATGTGCTCGTTTATCTTGAAAGTTTTCATTTGGTCGGGTTATATCATTTTGTTGTTGTTGGCAAATGTGTAATGTAGTTAATTGGATATTAAATTTATTTTGTAAGTTTTTAGCAGTTTTTTTAAAATATTTTGAGTTATTATTGTCAACCCACAGCAAACTTCATGCTTGTGTTTAGCCGGCTTTACACTTTTATACAATTACACAAGTTTTGAGCATCTCGTGCAATCTATTATCACATTTTGACCTAGTTTGTGGTGAAGTACGTGGGGTTTTCTGCCACGTGTTTGTCTCGTGTGTGAACGCGGCCCTTTCGCAGGAGATTCGCGCAATTTCACTGCCCTTCTCGCTAGTTGTTATATAAGCAACTAGACAATGCAGGACTGGTCTGCATTGACAGATCAGGTTAATATGCGTCTGCACATTAATCTTTACATTTAACCATTTGTTTTATACACCGCACCTCGTATAATTATAGTGCATATTGTGGAGTAAATTTTTTACTTTAAATGTCCACATCGATACAATTTAAAGGTACAGCTTTCGTTTACTGCAGACTAAAAAGTTTGTGCCTCTACATCTGTTGGTAGGTAATGTTTTCACTTTTAATAAAGTTAGGTTATTTTAATGTTCATGGAATTTTCTTTGTAATCTGTTGCAATTTTTAGGATTAACGTAATTGGTCCTTTACTTGGGTACTTCCAGTAGACCAGCTATCGATAAGTGACGTGTCTAATGTGAGAAAAACATAGCAGTAGAAGTTGCGAGCTCCTTCCTCTCGCACAAACCACCCAGTCCTTTTATCTGGACAAAGGTATTTATTTCCACGTGACAGTAATGATAAGAACACTTATTACTCATGTCGCTTTACCACCTGTCCATGGGCTAAGTTTACGTCGTAATTTCCAATAATGCTGCAATTCTTTTTTCTCTTTACCATTGTTTTAGCATTTTTTTTTCAATGTGGTAGATTGGTCAATGTTAAATTTTACCATCATTTGTACATTATCGGAAGTGATTCTGGATAAACAATTTCATGAGCCGCTTGGCACGCTGAGTTTTGAGGCTGATTATATTGCCATTGTAGTCCAGACATATAAGCTATAGGGAGGGGCTATTAATAAATTGGGATTTCATGTTTCAGACGTTTTAAATCATAAGCATAATTTACTGGTTTGTGAGAATCTCCTTTGGATAGTGTGTATTTAATTTGTCATTGTTAAAACATCTCGCGTGAAAGAGGTATTGGTGTGCACGGTTTATACTTAAAATTTAGGAACATGTTGGAGCGCATGGAAAATAATATTGCTTGGAATGTATGCGAGAAAGCACTTTCATTGACTTATTTGGTCCAAAGCCTGAAATTTACTTGTGTGTTTGTGTTCAATATTTCAAGTGGTTATTTACTTGGTCATAGTCAATCAAATTAACCAAAGTTTCAAGAAGCTTGGAGGTCACAGCACTGTGTTGGCACCTCTTAGATCCTGGGTTTAAATCCAAGAATCTGCTTGTGATTAAAGCAGCTTCTCAAGTGTAGTCGGTTGACGATCACAGCTGAGTCACCAATGACTGCACTTAAATAGCTTGTTTGAAAGTACTACCCCCTAGTGTGGATAATAGGTAACTTAAAGGGATCTCAGAAGTAGTTTTGCGATAACCACTTTCATGGGATGTTCTTGGCAGTTTGTACAGAGTTCTGAATGGATTGGTATTTTCGTGACATGACTAATTGTACAATTTAGATTAAATTAGGGAAAGACAATATATTTTAAAAATCTAAAGTTCTAATTGACAAACAAAACATTTAATGTTGATCATCAAAAAAGGGGAACAACCTATTCTTACATTTAATATTGATGTTTAAATATTCTCTTTACTTTTCCTAAAAGTTTAGATTTTATTTCATACAGAGGGCATAGCTGTAACCAAGTTGTGTTTTTTTTAAGGCACAGTAGTGTCATAAGTGGCTGGCCACGTGTGTTGACCTATTTGACGTAGTGCACCCTTGTTATTTTGAATTGAATCTCTGCGTTATAATTGTGACATGTTGGTAGATAAGAGAACCACAGTGCCACATTATAGCCTCTGTCCTGCGTTGTCACAGAAGGACATCGTGTACACAGTTAAAAACGGCGAGTAATGAGTTACATATGAACACTTAGTGACAAGGATGTTTTTAGGGTTTTGACAGCTTGCTGTTCCATTGTCAAATAAGCGCCTTGTGTATTAAGGACTTGGTGATATTTTTATTATATTGTATAGGCAGTGAATACCACATCAGTGGTGCAAAGAAAAAAGTACGTGTCAAAAACCCTACACCATAGTGAATGGCAAAAGTGCTCGTACATATAACGGACACTTTGTCACGGGTATACTTTGCACAGTGATAATATGACAATAATAATTGGTCTATGATACGACATGTTGACATATATTTAAGCTAGGAGGAGGCCAGTTCTCATGAGGGGCTGTGCATCCAGCAACTATTAAAGCATTTTTAAAGATTGTCAGAATTCCGTGTTTTCTTTTTGTATGTTGGTAGCGTAATTACTGATTTAGATTTTTTTGCCTGTTTTTTAACTAGCTGGCCACAGGGACTCCCACAAGAGTCACAACCACGCATCGAATAAGCACAGGGACGTGGACAAATACAAGCACAAGTCCGAGCAAAAGACTGACAGTAAGGCTGACAGTAAGGCTGACAGTAAGGCTGACAGTAAAGTTGACAGTAAAGTTGACCGTAAGACTGACCATAGGTCTGACCACAAGTCTGAACACAAGTCTGAACACAAGTCTGAACAAAAGTTTGAACACAAATCTGACCACAAGTCTGAACACAAGTCTGAACACCGGTCTGAGCACCGGTCCGAGCACAAATCTAAACACAAAGACAAGGACAGAGAGAAGGAGCGCGATAAGGAGCACAAGTCCAAGCATGGTGGTGGTTCGATGGGTTCCAAGGAGCACAAGGAAACTTCCCATACGTAAGTTCTCACCGACACATTACGGCAGAGGTGTCTTGTTAGGCTGCATTGTAATTAAGCATTCATATTTTTGTTGGTAATGCAGAATGTAAGGAAGCAATAAAATAAAAGCACTTAAGTAAATAACTCAGCACCGGAGCAAGCCTTTTTTTCCATCTTCCATGTTGTCCCTCATATCACTGCACTGTCCCAGCATTGCTTTATCATGCGCTTCGTGGATAGCTTGTGAAAGAGTTGCCTGTGTGGGTTTATCGAGGGACACCGTACCTGCCTGTTAATTGTGGGTGTCCTGTTGCAGCAAGCATAAGGAACATTTGGACAAAGAAAGACAGAAGGACAAGGAACTGGACAAAATCAAAAAGGAAAAGGTAAGTTTGAATAGCGTTTATTTTGTCTTTAGCGACGTTTAAGTATGTTAAAGGAATTATTTACTTAATCTTTTGATAACTCGTTTTAGTCCATTGTCCTATTGGTTGTCCAGACCAATATTATTTAACAGTATTTGTTAAAGAAGGTAAACACTGTCTAATCAGGTGATGTGTGTATCTGTTTCGCAGCCTTTTGTAAATGATGTGAAGATAAAGAAGGAGAATGGCTTCAGGTAAGTAAAATTTTAGCGTATAGTACACGTGCATTTGTTATCTTTAGACTGCAAATCTCAAGTGCTTAAAAGTACTTGGTGTCATTGGTTTATTTCTAACCAATCACTGAATTTGGTGCTGTCCATTCTTCATCTACAATATAGGTTTCCCTCCCTTTGTGGATTTGTGCAACCTTTTTCAACCCAAAATTCGCTGTATGCGGTTCAAATTCACCCCTCCTGCAGCTTTGTGGTGTGATATGGGACAACATTGTGTGTGTACCTTAGGTGGTACTCGGCAGGCGACTGCCTCGTGTGGTTTTGCTTTCTGCGCCCTTTTCATGGAACGCAGTTACCGCGTACAACGAGGGAAACTTGCATATGCTGCACACAATTTGAATAATTTTCTCTGTCAAACACCCAAATTATTGGATAGTGTGCATAGGATGAGTGCGCTTAATGCAGTTGTAGATTGTGGGCATGATATGCTCGTGAGACAAGCTGAGATTATGAAACCGTATTAATTCTTAGTCATATCTGTGGCAATCAGTCTCGCACTTTATTGCTTTTTGGGGAGTTTGACTCATTTATTTTCCTGTGCCATCCCACGTAGTTCCCCAGTCATTAAGCTGGAGGAAGACGATGGCTATGGGTTTGGAGCCGCTGTGACGGCGCCAGCACGTGCCAAGCAGGAAGCGCGTGCTCGTGAAGATCGCATCAAGAAGGAGTCAAAACCGGAGAAGCGCTTTCGGGCCGACTCCGATGATGATCAGCCGCTGTCCAAAAAGTGAGTTGCTGAGTTTTTGTTCTTGCTGTAACTTTGTACCCTGAGCCACCGTAGTCGTCTTCATGGTATGGGTTCCTTGCCCCGCTGGTGTTGCAAGACATCCAATTTACCCCTTCACCTCTGGCACACCGTAACAAAGTCGGTGTGGAGCCATGACCAAATTGATACACCGGGCCACATTTAAATCTACATGGTAGCCTAGCAGGGTTGGGCTAATTACACTGTCCATTGTGTTTAACATCAGTCATTAACAACTTAACCACAGTATCACTACGTTATCTACGTGTCTCTGCATCACACGTTGTGTGCGACATTTCGCGGCACAGCTTTGATTTCTTTAAATGGAGAAACTGCTCGCAACGGCCTTGCTCTGCACGGCCCTGGCATAGCTCAGATGCACCAGTGGAAACCGGGTTTAGGTCTCAATGAGACTAATGAGCTCTTTCCAGTTTATTTGCCATGTGTCGGCAATTTAATTTATGAAAAAAATATCTGCGGACATTTTGTTTGTCCCCGAATTATGCAAATGCACTAATCTTTTTGTTTCCAGTATATTAACTTGAGAAAAGCTCTTGACCCATTCAGTATATGAGTAGAGGTTTTCCTTGAAAAAAAAATATATGCTTTTCATTCACCACTTTTCTCCTTTTCATTCTGCCCACAGGCTCCATATGGTCAAGCAGATAAAAACTGAGAAAACGGTTGACAGAAAATCCACAAAGAGGCCACATGACAGCCAGGTGAGTTCTCCGCTTTTTTGTGGACGTCATCTTGGCTGCCACTCGTTCGGGCACACACTTGAGAACTAAACCGCACTGACAGTTGCTGACCGCTGGTGCTTTTTGTGTTACGTGGCAGAGAAAGTCAACAAAGAGAGAAAAGGATGACATTCCAAGCAAGAGAAAGAAGAAGGATGAACCGGAAGAGAAATGGAAGTGGTAAGGAAACTGTTTGCTGAGACTGCTTCGTGGGTAGACTACATTGCGTTGCTCAACTCTATGGGAGCAAAACATTAACTCTGTTGCTTTTGGAGTAGTCTGATGTGAATTGTCCTTTATACCTAGATCATGTCCGTTCAGATTCTCCAGTGTGACGTCTGTGTTGTGAATGCTGCTGGATCAACACTCAATAGTCATAATTTAGAACCACTGGACCCACCCTCCCGTTCTCCTGGAAGTATATCTTTCAGACATGGGCCAGGAGGTGGGGGTGTGAGGTACACAGCGTAACATGCAAGTACCGTTAATTTTGACAGTCTGCAGGCGCACGTCGTCAAATGTGCTCGTTGAGTGCCTAGAGCATTGATCTCGGTTTAAAACCTTGGGTCGTCCACAGCAGCGTTCAACTCTGTTTAAAGTTCTCCCAGGCAGTGTTGTAAAAGACCCATCCCAGATGCTGACCTGCACCCTAAACACTGCAGTCCCATCCCACCTCCAAATCGGTGCCAGATCGCCGTGCACGTCACGCCCCATGCCTGTTGTGGGAGTCTCTTTGCCGCTCCGAAGCTCGTTCCTGTGCCCCTGGGGATTTTGGTGGAAAAGTGGCGTTTGTCACTCATTAATGCGTAATGAGCTGTTTCCTGCGCAGCAGGTTTGTTTCAGCTACACGGACCGCGTTCCCCTGGGCTTGTATTAGGTAGCGGGCGCGGTGGTTGTTGGTGATCACAGTGCCGGATTTAATTTTTTATTACTTTTCTGCCTTGCCGAACGGTGCGTTTCATTTATGACGCAAACAGCTATCCCTCGGCATATGAAGGCACGCGATGTTATGGAACGTTTTTGGCAACCTGCGGAACGATGCGTTTGGCAGAGTTGTGCACCCGTCGTGAGAAGTAAAAAAATATTTGCTTCAGGAAATTACGTTTTGCGGTCATGGGAACCATGTAAGATGCTGCGTTTAAAAATTACGCCAGGCTTGTGAAAATTGCCATTTCTAGCTGAATTGCACAGGTATCATGCGGAGGCCCAAAGCTGGTTGTTTTCCACCCTCTGTTTTTATTTGGAATGTTTTATTTTGTAATGTATACAGTCATATTGGGCCTCACATTTGTTTTAGAAGATATGCTTTGTAGGATTTTTGGGTTCAGCACTGTTATGTGTTTTGTGGCATTCCTTGCTGTCTGAACAAGTTGTCAGTGCACATTTAGAGAAAATTATTCTTAAATTCATGTAAAACGCTGCCTTTGGTTAAGTGTCCATACATGTGTATGGCGTAACATCTCTAGAAGGTTCGAGAGCTTGGCCTTGGAAGAGTTGCGACCGTGTCTTAATAGTGATGCCACTTTGGTGGAGATTACATCTACATTGGCCCCCAAACACGGGTCAGGCAGAGGGACCTCCAAGTGTGCCTCGGTTCACGCACATTCAGGAAAATAAAGCGATGCAATCCCTGAATGGGACGCCCGTTGCCAGCATGCGGTTGGGCTCAGCGCGGTTTTTGGACGCATGTGGGTGTGTATTGCTTGTGCCTGGCGCTCCAGGTGGGAGGAGGAGCGCTACACGGATGGCGTCCGATGGAAGTTCCTGGAGCACCAGGGCCCTGTGTTTGCACCGCCTTACGAACCGCTCCCAGACGATGTGCACTTCTACTACAATGGTTGGTCACACCGATTCTCATAACATCTTTTGGTAGATGCAGCAATATCGATGTGTTATTTACACTCGCAATACATGCATCAAGTTGTGTGTGCGAGATTAGGTTATAATTACATGGGCTTCGGCCCATGGGGTCAGGCAGAGGACCAACTGTGCCTCTTCTTTTGAGAATGACTTTTGAGCTATCTATTTGTTACAGAGCAGTGGTATTTAATAGCTTGACTACATGCTACAAAAAAAGTTGACTTTATTGTGAATGGAGAAGGTGGTGCTTAATGCCTTTTTGGAATGCGCAGCGCATGAACCAATTGCCAAAAATTATTTTGAGTTTGCTGTTGACACACTGCCTTTGGCATTATCTGCTGTCAATGGGTAGCAATGAAAGTAGCAAACATTTCCCCCCAAGGGGAGTACTAAAAGGCTGATGGTGTGGTCACAGGCAAGCCAATGAAACTGAGCGAGAAGTCAGAAGAGGTGGCTACCTTCTACGCCAAAATGCTGGACCACGAGTACACGAGCAAGGATATCTTTCGGAAGAACTTTTTCAAGGACTGGCGAAGGGTATGACCTCTAACTTGTATGATGTTATCTCTCCGCTTGCTTACCGCCTGTTTTTTAAAAATATACAGTGGTACCTCGGTATACGTCGTTAATTCGTTCCAGAAGGTAGGAGGACTTATCCCATAAGAAAGAGGGAAAGGAAATAATCCATTCCAGAGTATAATAAATGATATTGTATATGGCATATCATACATTAATGGGGTTGTATAAAATAATTTCGACACTAATTACTAAAATGCATACATAAATTAAAATAAATGCATAAATAAAAAAAAAATGTAACGTCAATTTACCTTGCTGAGAGGAGTTGAATGAATTTGCAAAAAATTCACGTTAAAATTACAAAAAACACGTGAAAATTCACAGATTATAGCAAGGGTTGTGCACTGAACGAGTTCTAGTGTACAGGCAGACTGAGGAGCGGCGCTTTGTTTCAGTCGTGAACGGGGTCTACGCGGTGACCCATCCTGATCATACAAGTTCTAGCAAGCGCGTCCTATCGCAAGCAAGACGTCGTATCCCAAGACTTTTTTCGCGTTAAAACACGACGTATACCAAATTCGACGTATTTCAAAGCGGTCGTATACCGTGGTATGACTGTATATTGAGCCTTTTTATCCCAATTATATTTAAACAGTTCTGTAAGTTTATTGTTTATTCCTGTATACAGAGGGCAGTGCAACAAAATACATGGTTGTACTGTGCTCTGCTCACGTCTATGCTGCCTGCCTTCAAACCCGTACCCACAAGCGTGTCGACGTATGATAACGATTAGGGTAACGCGGTTTTGAAAATGAATTGTTTTCTTGTGATGTGAGATAAGGGTAAATTATTACGCAAGGGCCCAGTTTGCTGTTTTTTTTAAGCAACGCACTATAATCCGTTGAGCAGAATGGGGGAGCGCTTGCGGTGGTTTTTGGTTTGACACTGCGTGCGTGTCTCTCTCCCTGCGTGCGTGTCTCCCCGCGTGTGTCGACATAACAGGAAATGACGTCAGAGGAGAGGAGCATTATCACCGACCTATCAAAGTGCAACTTCAACGAGATTGATGAATACTTCAAGGTCAAAACGGAGGAGCGCAAGAACATGTCCAAGGATGAGAAACAGGTGCAGTCATTGGTCCTCATCCCTTCAGCGCAAATGCTTGGCCACCAGCAGCTCCCAAATAAATAAAAATGTTTACAATTTTCAGGGTTGAAGGAAAGCAAGTTGCTTTCATTACTTGTGTGTTTTTTTACCGCATGCGTAACAATTGTGTCGGCAGTATTAATCACTTAAAAGTATCTGGGAATGGTGCGTTGGTCGTCGGTCTTTACACTTGTTTGAAACTAAGCTGATGGCATTATCGCTGTATGATAACACGGAGTGTTGAGTGTCTTTTCAGTCTCGTATGTTTATCAGGACGGTCCTATGAGTGTTTCAACAATATTTTTTAATGAGCATTTTATTTGTGGAAGAAAACCATAGGGTACCTGCAGAAAACACATTTATTCTAGGAAATAACACTCAAAATGCGTACACAGATCGGCCATGATACCTTTGGCTGTGCTGCCATTTTGCGATTACCTTGCAGCTTACCGATTAGTACGGTTGGCTACGTACTATGTGAAAGAAGTTCAACATATATGCATAGTGGGATTGGGAGTCTCCTCACTCTGCATGAATCCCTAACCTTTGGCTCAAAAGTGCTGGATTACAGGCATAATATCCAACCACTGAACCATTGTCCACATGGGTTCCTGGTTGCTTAGCCACTTGTGTGCGTGCACTATCGACAGATGCTCAAGGAAAAGAACGAGAAAATGACGCAGGATTTCGGCTTCTGCCTCATGGACTCACACAAGGAGCGAATCGGCAACTTCAGGATCGAACCTCCGGGCCTTTTCCGTGGTCGAGGTGACCACCCGAAGCAGGGCATGCTGAAGAGGCGTGTGTTGCCTCAAGACGTGATCATCAACTGCAGCAGGTGAGTGTCGCACAGCGCGCATATTGAGCAGCCGCACCTAATGATGTATGCCCGTCTCACGAGACATCTCGTGCCCCACACTGGTGGATTGTTACCAACGGGGTGCAATTGGCGCACGCTTCCTTTTTTAAGGGACTCCAAAATCCCAGTGCCGCCACCGGGCCACAAGTGGAAGGAGGTACGACACGACAACAAGGTGACGTGGCTCGCCTCCTGGACCGAGAACGTGCAGGGCCAGGTCAAGTACGTCATGCTCAACGCCACCTCTCGCATCAAGGTGAGAGACCCGTAGTCCTGTATTGACCACCCCCCCCCCTCCCCAACCTGTTACGACGAACCAAATTAATCTCAGCGCTTGGTTCCATCAGCCAAAAAGCCTCGAGTACCAATCGTTTTCAGCAGCAGGCTTTAAGCAAGGAAACCCTGGACTGGTTTTCAACTTTCTCATTCTCATCAGCATGGTTGTAGCCAGTAAAGCAATGCTTCGTGGCTATCCTCTGTTAAAGGCAAATGTCACGTGAACACTGAGCTCCTGTGAAAAGTACAACAACATTGTACAGATGAGAATGAATGTAATTCACAGTTCATACTCTTAGTTGTCATCATTGTGACACCACCACTGGCAGTGGTGTCCATATACCAGTGTATGAGAGCTTGACATTTTAGATTTGATAAAAATTGTGACTATATACATCAAACAACTTTGAATGTTTGCGATTTTTTTTAAATGTTACACGTGGTAAACGTGAAATCATGTGAATGTTTTGCGGTGAGCAGGGCGAGAAGGACTGGCAGAAGTACGAGGTGGCTCGTAAGCTGAAGACTTGCGTGGAGAAGATCCGGAGCCAGTACCGCGATGACTGGAAGTCAAAGGAGATGCGAATTCGCCAGCGAGCCGTCGCACTTTACTTCATTGACAAGGTATGTGCCGCTGATGGGTCATTGGCATTAATTGACCACACTTTGCCACATCAGTCGCTGCAGGTTGAAGCTGGGATGAATAAACCATGGAGCATGGAAGTACATTACAATAATACATTTTGCCTGCAATTTCTTGCACTGCCTGCAAAGTAAACCTGCAATCCCACCGCCATATAACAACACCTTTTATATGGTTGTTGCCCATCCAAGCACTGTACAGCCTTATCCTGCTGTGCTTCTGAGGTCTGATGAGATCGAGCACATGCCACCTGACTTTGACATAAGCTACAGAGGTGATAGATATAATAAATATTTAGTATATGATCTAGAAAGTAAAGACAGTAAAAAAGAGTGGGCAATACCGGTGTAAATTTTTACCTAATGTATTTTTAACAAACGTATTTTTCAAGTGTTATTAAGGGAGGGGGAGACACTCTGCTGATGATGGTGAACCTGTGTTGCAGTTGGCGCTGAGAGCAGGTAACGAGAAGGAGGAGGGCGAGACGGCGGACACGGTGGGCTGCTGCTCGCTGCGCGTGGAGCACATCAAGCTGCACGAGAAGATGGACGGCCAGGAGTACGTGGTGGAGTTCGACTTCCCTGGCAAGGACTCGATCCGCTACTACAATAAGGTCCCCGTCGAGAAGAGGGTACGTTGCGCGGGCGCTCGTGCAGTTGCGTCGCAGATATGGGAGAGAAATGTTTCTTTTTAACGTTTTGGCGATGTGGGATTTGGAGTGAGGTGCACAGAAAACTTGTGTTAAGTTCGATTTGGTTCTCCTTTGTGAAAACGCAAATAGAATTTGGACTTCGGCAAATTGTGAACGCTCGCTAGAGAATTTCTATGTCGTGTAACCAAAGATTGTTCAACGGCTTCTATATACGTGTGTCCTTTGTCTTGTGTGCGAATAGGTTTTCAAGAACCTGCAGCTCTTCATGGAGAATAAGCAGGGTGGGGATGATCTCTTCGACCGTCTTAATGTGAGTAATGTCCAGTTTAATTAGTTGAAAATATAAGGTTCCACTTGTGCAGTAGCGTTGCAGATATTATGCTATCTCGTAGTATTTGCTGCCACATTGAAAGCATGTTTTATTTTGTGAAGCAAGCTGCCATCTTTTTATTTTTGTGAAGAGGTGCTAAATCTGTAATTTTTTTCCCCACCACGCCATTCTCGACAGACGTCAATCCTGAACAAGCACCTTCAGGAGCTGATGGATGGACTGACTGCCAAGGTTTTCCGAACCTACAACGCCTCCATCACCCTGCAGTGGCAGCTGAAGGAGCTCACGAGCAGTACGTTCGATCCCTGCCCACTCCTCCCACTGCCCATTTCCTTTACTGCCCCCATCAATAAGGGATTGTGGGAAAATGCTAAGTTAGCAAAAAGATCTACATTTTTTAAACACAAGATCGCCGGCTTGACATCTCAAGTAAAGGCAGCAACCCTCCGTGTCAGCTACTCATGAATACATTTTTCGCAGCCGAGTAATTATCCTACCACCACTCGACTTAAGAGCATGTCCAGTTGGCTCATAATTTCTCATTGCTAGCAGGGATCCATATTGCCCTACTAAGTTGCACTTGTGCATATGTGACGGCTAGCCAAATTTTATTTTAAACGATTGGAGTATGGCTATGTTTGATTTGTGAGATTGCTCTGGAGAGTGAGATTTCCTCGATTATAATCGTGTGTGGGTGGTTGTTGTGTTGACGTGGTGTGCAGCGGATGAGAGTGTCCCTGCCAAGATCCTGTCCTACAACCGGGCGAACCGCGCGGTGGCCATCCTGTGCAACCATCAGCGTGCCGCGCCCAAAACATTTGAGAAGTCCATGGCCAACCTGCAGGGCAAGGTGAGCTACCATGGAGAGCAGGCAATTGTACTTTGGTACATTTGTGCTCTGAAGAGCATTTGAAGCATGGAATGGAGTGGCCCTCATTTAGCAGTTGATCGACAGATGGGCTCTGCGTGTACAGTAATAATATTGTTCACTGGAACTTTTAGGTGCCTTCAGCAAAATATAGCTTGATCATTCAAACTTGATGTTGATAGTTGTGCAAGGACAGTGAACCCTCCATTTAACGGACTAATAGGGGGGGGAAGGGGTGTCCGTCGAATCCGATTGTCCATCAATGGCCAAATGAGGTATTTTGAGCACTAAATCGCACCCTGCCACACGCACACTACTTAGTGATAGTTCAGTAATGATGATTATAAAATATCATCGTGCTTTTTTATGTATGCGATACTGTACTTTTAAAGACCAAAGTACTGTAAATGTATTGTAGAACTCATTTTCCACTTTTATCCTATTTTGACCTATTTTAAACAATAAAACACGTGTAGTGTAATAAATACTGTACCCATTAAGGGGACAAATCTAATATTGACTGGACTGATTTCCCCATTACTGGACTTAGTCCATTGTTTTGTTTGGGGCAAAGTCCGTTGTCTCATCTCTTTGGACAAAACTCTGGATTCAGCAGATTTTGTCCATTAAATCCGAGGTCCGTTAAATGGCGGTCCGTTAAACCGAGGGTTTACTGCAGTGACAAATATGATTTTAGAGCCTAACCGATAATGTTTCATGTCGTTGGGTGACTGCGAGTTTCAAGGAAACTGGACCCATTTTTGATAAAAGTTGCCCGTCTTGTACAGATCGACGGCAAGCGGGAGCAGCTGGCTCTCGCCAAACGCGAGCTCAAGTCGGCCAAGACTGATTTGAAGGTCCGCAAAGACATCAAAAGCAAGAAGTAAGTCAAGTGGCTCCACGGTACACACTGCTTCACAGGCTACCACAAGTTGTGGCGCATCTGGCTTCCTGAGGATCGAAACTCCCAATCCTCGTTTGCGTTGTGTTGAGTTGCTTTTAGTGGCTATCGGCACTTACACGTGTAGAGTCCCTCTGGGTCTTATTATGTATGGCTCATGCTGCTCTGGCCTGGTGTGCAAGTCTCATCATGGGGCAGCTGACGATTAGAATTAGGTTCTTCCACTTATTTCTCTGATCAAGGGTGTAATCCTTTTTATCTAAAGTCCTCCCTTTTACACTTAATTCACATCTTGTGTGAAAAGCCACATGGCAGTGCCAGGTACACTGATAGCAATCTGTTGGCCTCCATTCTTTGAGATTTTCTTTGTACATTCCGTTGACACTTGGGTGGCGTCGGTGTTCCACTTGGCGGTGTTTCACGTACGTGTGCGCTTTCGTTTTCGGCGTTCGTCTTTGTGCGTGTAGCTCGCATTCTCACCGTGTTCTGGCATATTGGTGGTGGATGTGCTGTGGTCACCGGTGACATTGTCGTGCGTTTATGACAGGGTTGTCGAGACCCGCAAAAAGGCAGTCGAGCGCATGGAGGAGCAGCTCATGAAGCTGGAGGTGACTGCTACTGACAAGGAGGAGAACAAGCAGATCGCACTCGGCACCTCCAAACTCAACTACCTGGATCCTCGCATCTCCGTCGCATGGTAATAAAACATGATAGTGATGCTAGTGTCACAAATTATTTCTATTCGTAGAATATATGAAGTAGAAGTGTTTAATCGAGCGTCTTTGGCCAATAAATACACTTGCATGGGAATACTGTCCCCTTTTGGGGTATTTGACTATACAGTAAAACCTTGGTTAGCGAGCATAATTCGCTCCGGAAACGTGTTTGTAATCCAAAGCGCTCGTATATCAGTTGTGATCACGTGACGCTCTACAGACAAAGCGTATACCTACTACTCGTATTGCAAGACCTCGCTCGTTTATCAAATTCATATTTATTTAAACAATTAGCTCGTCTTGCAAAACACTCGCAGACCAATTTACTCGCAATCCAAGGTTTTAAAGTACGTTCAAGTTTCCACTTCCCCAGCTGCCTTAGCCCACAATTAGGAACAGGGCTTCCTTACAAAATGACCAGATGTAGTTGAGTCGCCCTTGTGTGTGTGTGTGTGTGTACCTGTGGTGCGTGTTGCAAATGGTTTCGCATACCTGTTGCGTGCGAATGCAGGTGCAAGAAGTTTGGTGTGCCCTTGGAGAAGATTTACAACAAGACTCAGCGAGAGAAATTTGCCTGGGCCGTTGACATGGCCGAAAAAGATTTTGAGTTTTAGACGACATGGATTTTATGAAATGACAGCGGTTTTATTGATCGCACCGATCCGTTTTAAACCTTGAGCTTTTTATATATATATACACCCTGCTTCGTCTGGAGATGAATACTGCTCAACCCCATAATTGTACTTTTGCCACAGAACCAATTTTATGGGCTTGAGTGGTGTTTTTATAGATGTCACCTAGCCAAATTTAAAGACTCAAAATAGTCTGAAGTTAATGACTTTAAGAACAGCCACACACGTTAATTGCATTAACCTGTGTGACTTTTTAAAGGTCGCATAAATTAATTGCATTGTTTTTAATTTAGCACTGTTAGGAGAAGCTTTTGTTGCTTTTGAAAACAAAGTTGGATATACATTGGCATTAAAAACCTAAAAGTCATTTCATTTGAAAAACGCATTAAATAGTTCAAATTCATTTTTAACATTTACTATAAATTACAAAATCCACGGTAATTAATTTTTTCAAGCATGATTTAATTCAATAACCCTCTTAGCGATGTGTTAGTGCTATTTAAGTTTTTTTTTTTTCAGACTGTGAGCCCTATGCGAGTTTATGGAATATTAAATGTTTTATAGTTTGCCGAATATTGTACAGTTTAAACCTCGATTGTCCATAAACTGGGTCTGGGGGTTTGTTTGGATTGTGAACTTTCTTTGCAAATACAGCTTGTTAAACACTTTCAAGGATTTTGAAAACATTTTTTTCCTGTTTCTTTTCAAATCAATTGTGTTCAATCCACTTGATGCCGAACACGAACCGCCATTTTGGAGAGCACCAGTTTCTGCATGGATGTTCTCCTAAGACGTATTAAGTACGCCCGGCAGACGGACAATACTTGGAGCACCAGAGAGGAGCATCTTGTCCTGTGTTCACGAGATGTACAACAAGCTTAAAGCCCCCCCCCCCCACCGTGTATAGGCGCGACAGAAATCTGCCTTACTTCACTTGGAGATTATGCCTGCCGATTGCCGACTTGAAGCACAGGTGGCTGGTCTGGCTTTGCCTGGTGCTTGTTGAATATTAAAAAAGGCAGGTGTGGCCACAATGGTTTGGCGAGGAGCTTGCTACGTGTTGCTATGGTGCTGGTTATGCGAGTCGAAGCGTGCGTTTTGTGTGTTTGCCCATTTTGGCCAACCCAGCCGCAGCTAAATTGAGCAAACTTGGATTTGGGGAGATCATACACGCAATTAATTAATGTTGAACATAAATCCTCCCTAGCTCTGTAAATATTGCTGCAGGATCGAAACAACGGTACACAGAGACTGTCCTTTAGAGCTCAAGGAAGACATTAATGGTAATAGTGTGTTTTCTAAATTGTGTTCCACAAGATGAAAGTGCTATCGTGCTATACACATGAATGTTGGTCTCGTGGGGGGGTCTATACATTGGGCCTTTATCAATGAGTGTTGTCACTCCGGCTGAAGCTACATTAGCATCGCTTAAGAATTTGCTGTACCGTTTTCTCATTTTACAATTTTATAAAGTTTACGGTGGTCGCCATGTGCGTAAAAAATATGACGTGAATTTGACTGATGCCCGGTGTTCAGAACAGGCGGGGTTGGGTCACCGTATACATATATAAACATCACTGCTAAGATTATTTTACTGTCATTTTGCTTTGAATAAAAAAGCCAGTGCGAGCGAGTCATGCGTATGGCGTTGGTCGCATGAAACCACAATCTCAAGTATGGTTTTGGCGTGCGATAAAAAAAAGATTCTTGAGGTCCAAAAACAACCTACTTTCCTCTCACGAACCGTTTTAAAATACACGCCACTTATGAGTGGTGTTGTATGTTATTTTCGGTGGGGGTTTCTCATTGCTATTTTTTTGTGATGCTCCCCCACCCCCCAGATTGACAAGGCGCAGTTTTGTGGCAATCTGTCGCTGGTCGCAGAAAGCGTTTTTTCTACATTTGCCTTTTGGCGGGTCGAGAGAGTTTGGGCGGGTTTCATCTGCTGGGTCTCTTGGTCACTCGCAACGGTCGCAAATTTTGATCTCAAGTTGGACAAATTCGGGGTGGATACTAGACTGGCCGTCGCTGCAAAATTGCACGGAGGTGGGGGGAGGCCTGTTTTTTCGATTTTTTTCAGTCTGGATTAATAACCTTCAGGTATTCATGCGTGTGGACCCCCGTTTGCTCGTGTCTCTGGGATTGTGTGTGTGTGTGCTTGCCTATGAAGAAACGATGCCTTGTGTTCGCAAAAGATGCACGTTTTGGATGTGGGAAATAATATCCCCTTTTATTTATGAGATCGAATGAAGGTGGGCAAAATCGTCGGTGGCTGTTTTTCATTGATCATCTGTTTAATGAGTGCGTGGTTGCTCGTCCCCCTCATGTTCCCCAACCTAAGAGGTCTTGCTGTCCTGGGACGTGGCTGGATTTTTTTTGTAGTCCCTACTTACTGTCTTACGTTTTTGAACCATCGGAGTTTCGTGCGAGTCCCTTTTATGTTCCTGTATTTCTAAGAACATCCCCTCACCCCCCCCCCCCCTTTAGTTTGTGTGCCTGAATGATTGCAATGGCTCGGCACGATTGAACGGTGATGCGGTGTGGTTGTGATTTTTACAGCGAGAGGTTTGATACGAGATGACGATTCTGCCGCGAGAGTTTGGCCAACTTTTTGTTTGACGGGGTGGGGGGGTGGGTGTCGACAAGACAGGTCGACACATGGACGGGACTGAGCCAGTTGGCCAACTTTTATTTTTTTACAACCGGCTACACAGCTCATGAATTGGCCATATTGGCGCGCCATTGCAAGAGTAGTACGAGCTGCTTTGGTTGTCATTCACACGCCCCGAGCCCCTTTGCGACACAAAACCGACATTGTCGGACCGCTGTGGGCCATTGTTAATCCACTGCCGTCAGTCATGCTTGCCGTCGTTATGTATGTAGCTATGCAGCTCGTACGGAAAGCGTTGTGTGCGAGTGCCACGTGCTGCCGGCGATGATTCTGAAAACGTCTTAACGTCAATAATCACTTGCGTGTTTCACCACTTGCATTTTTTAAGCCCCCCCGCATGGACTTGTATGCAAACACGTTGCGCGCCAGGGTGCCCACACAGCTTTTACTTAACACTGGACCAATGTTAGTGAGAACATTGTTAATTCCAAAAGTTTGGCCCCTCTGCAGCGCGTTTTGACCGAGCTGTAACGGTGGGCACGTTGCGGCTGGATGAGTGTGGGATGGGTGGAGAGAGCGCCTCTGGTCACAGTGTGTGGTTTAAAGTGTGTTCCAATAGATGCTACCGAGAGAGGCACAGGCTAATTAAATACTGCATACTCTATAGGTGATGCGCGCATTTTTAATAAATAAGTACTGTGATCAAATCCTGCTGTTGTCCTTAACTGCTGGTGACATACACATTTCGGTAACAGCAAATACATCCATTGTTTCTCCAGGTTTGTGTCGGCCTGTCGCTTTTCCCGTTCCAATATCGAGCAGCAAGTCTGGACCGATTTCGACTTTCCGGGTCTCATTTGGGTCGTCATTGTCACCGTTTATCAATCCGCTGCTGGATTGAAGGCCTCACCACGCTGCGTCGGTCCATCGGGGTTGCTTGGCCATACCTCACCACGGTAGTCCGTGCGGGTTTGTGAAGCTGGAACTGTTGCAGATATCACTGGCCATAAATATTCCCCGTGGCTGGGATTTTATTACATTTTATTTACCCAGGAAAGCCTCATTCGAGTCCCAAGGCTTGTTTTAAGGAGACTCCTGCTTTAGTTTTTTTGTAGTTGCGGACGACAATCTAATTGTTTCCCAAAAAAATAATTGGCGAGTCATTTTTTAAACAAAATTTTTACCACGTTGACGACAATGGCTTGCTCCTCTTCGAATTGCGTCACGGGGCCGTTAATGTCCACCGTGAATCTAGTGGGACGCGGGTAGTGGTGAATACACCCACAGTGTTTTTGCCAATCTATTTTAAGCTGAAGGTTACTTCAATAAACATTGCAAGGTACCGGCGGCCAACTGGTTGTATATGTAGTAAGAAACAGGTCAAGCCTGGCTGACGTTCTGATGGATAGTGCTCTCACCGTAGAACCATTTTGGACAGATTGTAATGTTTGTGGTTTCTGTCGAGCAAAAACAAACTGAGAGGATCAGGCCCTGACGGTCGTGGCACGATACTGGATCAGAATGTCGTTTGATCATCACGTGCAAAATATAGTAAAGTCATGCAATTTTCATATCAGGGCTCTACTACACATTTCACCACTATTGAGTCGTGACATAGCCAACACGGCGTGTAGCGAAGTATCGACAAGGCTCTATTATTGCATCTCACTACGGGACGTCTGGCAAAAAAACATTACGTACCAAACTGCATGGTGTACACAGTTGTCTGGCACATGTGACGGGTGCTGCAAGATCTGACCATGTCCGTCCAGTGCTCGCCAAGCTGCATTGGTTTCCGGTTGCCAAGCAAACACATTATCAGGTCGCACTCGTTAACACACAGTGTTTGGCACAAATGAACCACAATACCGTGGTGATCTTGTCAAAGAGCATAAACCATCATGCGAACTCGCAGCGGCTTCTGGCTGGCCATCGAACAAAGACGGTCACTGCATCGCGCGCTCTCAAATGCGCTTCTGCAGCCGTCTGGAACGCTCTCCCGATGTTAGGAATCCACTGGAGCTATGCGCTTTTAAATCTAGATTTGAAACTCATTTCTTTCGAACTGCGTTCTGTGTGTTGGTTTGTGGTCCTGACCCGCACCTCCGATTAGCACTGGTGGCTACGTATGGTGCAACAGAAATTCAACATACATGCGTTTTTGAGCATTGTGCGCGATCAACTGGTGTAGAGGGTGGTAAGGGCTCTATGACAGGCAATGGACAGAGTCCTCGAGTGCTGGTGTCCTCATTGAAATTGTAAATTGTGATAACATCTGAGGTCAGGAATATGTTTTCTACACTTTTTAACTCTCGCTTTTGTAATGCTGTACTATGACTGCAACCCAAGCCTGGCTCCAGATATTCTCGGATTGGGGGGCAGTTGACCTGTTGTGTGTGGGGGAGGGGGGGCTCACCGTAACAGTGGCCAGGTCGCTTCTTAAAAATAAGTGAACATCTAAGTGGGCTTTACCTGGTAAGATAAATATAATTTAGTTTTACGTATATTTGGGTGATTGTTTTACCTTTCCTGCACTTCGTACTCCTATCATGTGTTTGTATTGTTTGTTGCTGCGATGTTCTTACCCTCCCCTTTCTGGACATCTGTCTAAAAGAGCTGTATATCTTGTTGGATTCCACGTGCAGTATAAATACATACTATGGACGGGATGATGTGTCGCTTAGGAGACTGAGTTTGGGTGGTGCCAAATCGACGTTTGGTGGTGCAGGCCCCACCCCCAGAACCCCCTCTCGTATTGGACCTGCTGCACCCTCGAATACAATACACCTAGGTGTTGAAATAAGCACAGACAATAAACAATTGTCCGTATCCTACGTCTAATTTTGCTCGAATTGTTATGTATATATTTTTTGCGATTAGATGGCGGGATATATTCATTGATAAACAACTGATCAAATTATGAAGCTGCAATGTGGTGACAACTGAATTGTGGCGATAGTTATAAATGGTTATAATTAATTTGGATTGCATAAAATTAAGGAGGCACATGTCTGTGGTTGTACCGATCACTGAAACTTGTTCATTAAATTTTGACTTAAAATTGTCGTGACTGTAGGAATTCATATTCTTTGGTTCTTTTTTTACTTTTATTATTATTATTTTATATATCTACGTGACTTTTCCGCAAGAACCAAAGAATATGTTTATTGAATAATCTGCGACAAGTGGAACTTTCGAAGCGTGCCAAAAATAAAAAAAAATAACACAAGTAGGATTCTTGTCTGCTCCACCTTTTAATCCAGATTCCTAAGCGAAGGCAATCATACACTTTTCTATCGCATCATCACAGCCAACGGAACTTGGATCCATAATTCTAACCGCTCGATTAAAATGAAAATCAACTTGGAAGCTTCTTCTGTAAGGGTAACGATGGCACTCCTTTTTTTGGGACATGCAAGGTCCGATAACAGCCGACTTACATCAAAATTAGCACTCGCAAGTGCTTTGTTTGGTAACTGGGATGGAGTCACGTTGCATTGATGATGCCATTGAATGGCTAGAAACCTGAAATTAATCAGGTGATTGTCAAGTGTCAGGCGAGTGTCAAGGGAGCGGGCGAGCGGTGAGTGGGGAGTCAGTGTTTGATATGCGGTGTTAGGTGAGTGCTAAATATGTCGAGCGGTGAGTGTGAGGAGGAGTTTCGGTTGTATCTGGTGAGTGTGAGTGGTGTCAGGTGAGTGTATGGAGAGCGGTAGTGCAGTGGTCAGCGCCCTGCGCTGCGAACTTGGCTATCCGGGTTCGATTCCCGCTCACGGTCAACTCACAGCGAGTGGGATGCAAGTCAAACAACAACCGCATGACAAGTTAGATTAAAGCCATCATTCTAACTCCGTACTACAACAAACAAACATGGCCAAACCAAAATTGTTTTTCGAAATCACCAAAATAAAGCCATAAAAGCAATGTAACAGTGATCATAGGAACTGTGACCGAAATTTCACAATAAACGACATAAACAACATGTACCACCAAAACCCTGTAGCCATAGCTGGCTGCATGCGTCACTCCACACCATGAGCATCAAGGCTACACGGGAGGTCTTTGTGGTGAGTGCAGGTGAAGGGACACGTGGCGACACGTTACCATTGTTATTATTGGGACGAGTGTTACCGCCGTGTAAGACGAGCTCTGTTCACCGTGGCTGACATCATCCGTGTGTGTTGGTAGTTACAATGCAAACGTGGAATGAGCTTTAGTTACAACTTTAGACTGGGCAGACACTAAACGAAACTTTCTATTGTACCAGGTAAGATCTCACTGAGTTATATAGCTCTTTTTTTCAGAAACGACGACTTGGCTATCGAAAATGATAGCTCAACGAAGTGGCTTATCACGTAACAATTTATAGCAGCTTAGAAATGTAGGAGGTAAAAATCGGAGGACCGGGGAAAATCCTCGCGACCACGGGGAGGGAGAGACATTCAAACTCCAAATATACAGCGGGCGTCGGGGTCGGGATCGGACTCACGACCTCCTGCACACCAGGCGAGGTAGTTAACATCTCCTAGCCACCGTAACGCACAAGAAGCACTGATACTGTAACAGCGTGGTCCAGATGTATTGTAACCCCCCCCCCCCATTTAATTTTCTAAAACGTAACAGAAGGGGCCGCCCATAAATGACGTCACGCACCTAGGGGGGGGTGGTCAGACATTTGTCACGATGTCTGACAAGGGAGGAGGGGGGTTGAGAAATGTGACGTCACATCAAAATGCGCAACTTTTAATAGATATAGACAACACGTTCTACTTAATTAAATAGACTTTGAAATAAATGTTTTCTCCTACAACATCAGAATGCAGCGCCACATTAAACACGCACTACAATGACAATTGTTTAAAGCGATTTGAAGCATGTTTTATTTGGGGGGGGGGGGCAGAGCTTTGTGACGTCATATTTGAGGGGGGGTCTGACTTTTTGTGACGCCGTGTGACGAGGGGGGGGGGGGTCAAAAATCGTCCAAAATCGCGTGACGTCATTTGGACGGCCCCTTAGTGAGTGTTCCCCTTCATCCAGTTCAGGGGGCTGCTGCTGATGATGCTGATGATACTCTTAGGTTTTTTTCGGTAAAGTCACGTTGGTAAAAATAATAATAAATAAAATATAAAATAATAAGAAATTTAAATAAATAAATTAAATCACGACGTTTTGGAGGCAACACATGCTTCCTTATTCTTGATTCTTTCGGTAAATTCACGTAGAAGGGGAATAATAAAATATTTTATTTTGAATCCCTGCAGTCACGGAAGCTTTAAATCAACAAGCTTCCTTCATCAGGTGTAAAAACGTCGTGATTTAATTGATTTATTTTCATACATTATTACTATTTAACATTTTATTTTAATTTTTTATTTTTATCTACGTGACTTCACCGAAAAACCCTAAGAGTCGTGAATCCTTGCAGTCACGAAAGCTTCGAATCTCGAATAGATGCTGATGACGATGACGACATTGATGACGATTCACTTTCAGGAAATTGGGGATTTCCCATCAATGACGTCACGGCGGGATGACGTCACTGCGGGATGACGTCACACGACTTACTTCTTCAACCGCCGTCGAGAGTTGAGAACGCGGCCGCCGTTTTCGTTGTTGTCAAGCAGCGAGAAGCAGCAGCGAGAAGAAGCAAGCCATGTTCTATCCACTGCTGGAGTAGCGACACGGCCGTCTTCGCCTCGGGTACGTAACGAGGACGTGGGTGAGTGCCCCGAGACGTTGGCGCCAAATTCCTCGCAGTTTTTGATCGCGAGGGATGACGGCGGCGGCGGCGGCGGAGGGAGCGAGGCCTTCATCGAGCAGTGGATTGAGCATGACGAATGTTGATGTTGACTGTGAAGATGATTGTGATCGTGGTGGTGACAGGTTAAGGTTGAGATGGATGCGGTTAGTCGCGACATGGCCGGTGAGAGAGGATCGTGAGATGTTGCGGAGGCTTTGGGGTGAGGGAAGGCCTTCCCTTGGCCATCGCCGTTTTAGTTTATTTTGTTTTTTTTCATTCCCCCCCCCCCCACCCCCCTGGGTTTTACTTGAGTTTAAATAAAACTTCGTGATCACTTCTGCCACCACGACCACCACTCGTAATAATAAAAAATATAAATAATAACATTGCCATGCAACAAGAATAGAATGTTGGTGGGATTTCCCTCCCCCCTCCCTCCCCTCCTCCAGGTTTGTTCCAAACCAGGAGTGTCGTCTTCGGTCAGAAAGATCATAGATTTGAAGCTTTCGTGACTGCAAGGATTCATATTCTTAGGTTTTTTTCGGTAAAGTCACGTAGGTAAAACATTAAAATTAATAAAAATAAAATAAAAATCACGACGTTTCGCAGGCAACACAAGCTTCCGTCTTCAGGTGGAACCGTCACAGCCACGACGGCTGTATCAAGTAAATGAGAGATTGCAAGAGCTACCACTCCGTTTATATAATGGTTGGAGAGGGGCGAAGCAGCAAGTACAGCACACTTTTTATTCACATGGTAAGGTGAGGCTTAAGAGGGTGAGCCTTTGTTATGGAGAGGTACGGTTTGTGACTCAACCTGTGACAAGGAGAAAACAACTGAACATGGTAAACCTGTAATAGTTGTCTGTCAAATAAGATTGGCCAAATAAGTGTAGTAAAATCTTGTTTGCATGGTTAATCACATCTTTCCAATGATTACTCAGTTTGTAACCATCATCACGGTTGAAATTATGTCTGTGTTTGTATATTGTGTTGCCTCCGAAACGTCGTGATTTTTATTTTATTTTACTTTTATTAATTTTAATGTTTTACCGACGTGACTTTACCGAAAAAACCTAAGAATACAGAAAAATCATCTTAAGATTCCTCGGATAACACGAGGGGCATCGTCAGCCACGCTCAGTCCACAGTTCGATGAACGCCTCTTGAAATCGCAGTCATCTCACCGCAAAATCTGCGAATTGGCGTTTACTGCGTAAAGTTCACTACGCAATCTCACGTCTTAAAGTTGTTAGTTCAATGGGGATTAATCGTTGCTACGGTCGTTTTAGTACACACAATAGGAAGGACAAGGTCAAAGGGCTCGCATAATGCACACACGTTGTGTTGTGTGCTACAAGTGTGGTCACCACATCGACGCCTCTGTGTGAGGAACGAAACCGGTGGACTTGCACACAAATCTGGCTGTCGCCTGATGAAGCTGGTTGTAATTACTGGCGAAACGTCGTGCTCGGATTGTAAATGTTGTGGCTTGGCTCTCCAACACACCGGGGGTGCAGTACTAGCATACTACACTATACACTACACTATACACTACACTATACAGTACACGATATACTACTATACACTACACTATACACTACACTACTATACACTACACTACTATACACTACACTACTATACACTACACTACTATACACTACACTACTATACACTACTATACACTACTATACACTACACACTACACTACTATACACTACAACACTATACACTACAACACTATCCACTACAACACTATACACTACAGCACTATACACTACAGCACTATACACTACACTATACATTACACTACTATACATTAGACTACTATCCACTACACTACTATACACTACATTATACACTAGTGCTGTACTAGTGACGAATTGGCACGTTCTGTTTACGTGACAACCCTTACTAGTTGGCTGTGTCGGGTGGTGGCGGGTTTAACGACACATTTATATATTTACGCGATATAACCCAAACAAAAAAAACACTTATGGATGATATTTGTCGCGAAAGCCTATGTGTTAAACCAATCTAATCCAAATTTTCTTGCTGTGGATTTCACACCTGATGACGTTTGCTTGTGTTGCAGTCGAAACGTCATGAGAATTTTATTGTTTAATTTTTTTTCCCTTCTCCGTGACTTTACCGAAAGTACCAAGAATATGAATCTAATCCAGTTGACTTATTGTCGTTGGTACAATAGACGATGTTTGGGGAAGAGAGAGGTGTGTTTTTCCGATGTAGACACCGCTGGGAATTTCCCCCTAGACTTGAGGAACACTTCGTTGTATTCGTGTGAGCCGATACATGCACACATTAATATATGCAGTTGTCAATCATCAAAGCGTTGACTTTCAAAGCGTTTACGCGTCTTTCGACAATCTCAGTACCGCGCACTTACTCATCCTTTAAAACGTTAAATGTTCCTCTGCAAGATAAGGAGCCGTCGCTTTTACAAAAACAAATAAATCTATCAACTGTTGAGAAATAAAAGGATCTTGTTACTGTAAATCACTCTCGTATCTATATATATGGAGCAACCTTTACTGCATTTCCTCTCTTTATACAGGATGGGAATTGTTCCATACTTTCTCCAACTCGAAATCGCCGCTAGGGGAGACAAAGGCGGTCGGGCGTGGTGCTGGCCACCCACCCCCTCGTGTACCGTTCCGGCCTTAATATGTGCTCGCTAACAGCACTTGCCCCAACATGTTAAGGCTATACGGGGGCTCTTTTGTTGTGTGCGTGACATTGTTATATTTTTAGCTGCTGAATCGATCTACAACTTCCTGGTTGGGCCTTGTATTCAGAGATGCTTCAACAACGCCCCCCCCACCACCTTTGGCTTTTAGTCCAGGAGTGAGCAACCGAAATAACCACAATAAGATGCATTTTTTGTTGTTCGAATTCGGTCAAAGAAAACTCAGTATGTCCAACAGCCGCAATGCATACCTACGTGACTTTACCTAAAGAACCAAAGAGTGTGAGTTTAGTCTGTTAAGTTGGTATTCTACGCATACAGACAGACCTTTTTGTCAATATACTGCTGGATGAGGGCCTCCCCACACTTATGCATGCCACGGGGCTACATGACCATACGGTAATGAACTTCGATATTCTGGTCTGTACCGTTTGGTGAAGGAGTGGTACAATTCTGCTGGAGCATAGAAATAGAATACTGTCCACATTTTTTTCCCTTGCACTGCCATCTGTTGACAATGTAGCGCCACTGCAGCTTAGAACACCCGTTGTAGATCGACTCAGCCTGGTCGTTGCCCATATAAGCTCAATCCCGGCTAAACTTTACTTCGTTGCCGAGATCTTGGGCACATTCTGGGTGATTTGACCATAGGCGAATATGTCTTTTTTGTTAGTAGATACTCCCAAGACGGGGAGCAGTGGCGTAATGGTTAGTGCATGGCACTATGAACCCAGAAACCTGAGTTCGAATCGTGGATTGACTAGAATAGTCTATGATTCTAGATTTGAAGCTTTCGTGACTGCAAGGATTCACACTCTTAGTTTTTTCGGTAAAGTCACGTAGGTAAAAAATGAAATTAAAATTAATTAAAAAAATCACGACGTTTCGGAGGCAACACAAGTCTCCGTCATCAGGTGGGACCGTCACAGCCAGATTTGCTGTATCAAGTGAGGCAGGGATTCCAAGATGCAAGTTCTTAAATACAAGTTAAGGAGGAGGAGAGGGGGGGGGGCTTATCAGAATGTGGTAGCCAATGAATGGAACGTATTGGGAGGGGGGGGCGGGGCTAAAAGAGAGCACGAGGTGCACGTAGACGTGGACGTGTTTGTGCGCAAGTCCCTGTTGGTGCGCATGATGACGTATTGGAAGGGGGGGGGCTAAAAAGAATAGTGTAGTATGGTCAAATAACCCCCATGGCACAGTGTTTGGAAGGCCTTAGCAGATATCATAAATTGTGTAATCCTGTAATCTGTTCTTTGTGAAGAAGTCTGAGACCAATACAACTCTCCACATTAATCATTCGCTTGCATGACAGCAAGTCAACAAGGCAACCTTTCTTCCAACGTCAAACTACAAGTGAAACCTCGATGGAAAATAAAGTACTGAAACTCACGTATTGATCTTCACAACCGCTGAGGCAACAGACAAGTCATGATACCATCAGTGGCGTCACCTTTGGTCACGAAGGGCAACGGCACGATCGACAAATACAACGTGAAGTGTCATCGGCTATTGCTTCCAGGAACAAGTCAAAATCTTTATTTGAGTGAAATATCGGCAGTCCTTAGGTTTTTTTAAAAAGAAGAATGTTTTAATGGGAGCTAATACAGATGAGTTTAATGGAATGGTTTTGACATAAACAAAGTATCGACTAATCTGCTTGAGGTGGTCTTAGGTTTTTTCGGTAAAGTCACGTAGGTAAAATAAGGTAAAATAATGATAAAAAATACAGTAAATTTAGCTGTCACGGTCCCACCTGAAGATGGAGAATTGTGTTGCCTCCGAAATGTCGTGATTTAATTGAGTTATTTTCATTTATTATTGTTTCATTATTTTTTACCTACGTGACTTTACTGAAAAGAACTAAGAGTATGAATCCTTGCAGTCACCAAAGCTTCAAAACTAGAATGCTTGAGGTGGGTTATATTTAGCTTTTTTAGAAATCGTTCTTTATATGAAGGGTTTGATCGAATCAATGATACAAACCATTTCATGGTGTAAAATTGAGGTCGGTTATACAGTGATCCCTCGTTTATCGCGGTTAATGGGGACCGGAACCCCTCGCGATAGGTGAAAATCCGCGAAGTAGGATTTGCCCCCTATGAATTTCCGTATATGTGTGTGTGGGTACCAGAATGTTTAAAATATGTATATTTGTACTTTATATGTATATTTTACTTAAATCTATTTAATTATAAAACCTTAATATTATACATTCACTCTCTCTCTCATACGATGCGTATTATGGTGTTCTACACTCACCAATGACAGTAGTATCTTAAGACTTGACTCCAGTAATGACGACGACGACAATGACGATGACAATGACAATGACGACGATGACAGACCTGTGCAGTTCGATGAATGTGATGATGAATGATGATGATGATGGTGGTACCGCACAGGTATAATGAGGCCTTTAAATCAGTTCGAAAAATCCGCGATGCACTGAGGCCGCGAAACTTGAACCGCGAAGTGGCGAGGGATTACTGTAATTAGCAATGGAATGAGAAGTAGACTTTTTGACGTTTTATATGAGGAGATTAGTTAAATAATCTGGAGTAAATAGATTTTAATTACAAAGGGCCCTTGAGTTGGGTTTTAATGTCCAGTGTTGTAAACCTTTGTTTAATTCGATTTTACATGAATGGTTTAGTTAAATCTATGACACTAGACAGTTTTTTTTATTTCCTTCATATCATGTGTCAAATATTATTGACAAAGGTGTTGTGTTTTGCCAGTTTGTTATTGGTGAATGTCAGCCAAGTAAATAGATCTGCCAAAAGTGGCATAAGTTTCGAACTGTACCGATTTAAGCAGAAGGTCGCCCATGTTTTAGCCCCTTTTACAACATACCAGTTTTCAGAGCTAATCAGTAAAGCGTGACATTTTTTGAATATGCCGACGCGATTTTTGCTTTGAAAATCGGTGTGCGGCAAATAAAGAAAAGTGTGCAGGGTTGGTGGCAGTATTGAGCGGGCCCAGAGGTAGGCCTCAGCTGCGTGACACCTAACAATTTAACTTGCATGGCCACTGTGCTGTTTTTTTTCAGGTGGTCTTTTGATGACTCACCATGGAGGAGGCTGGCGAGTTTCTTCTGGACCCTAAGGACTTTGTAAAGAAAAAATCGTTGGGCTCAGGGCGGTATGGCGAAGTGCATGAGTGTACACACCCGCATTTCGGGATTGTGGCCATCAAGCAGGTGTTCAGCGGAATGGGGTCATCCAGCCAGTATATGTAAGTGGTGCTTCATCTGTTCGTTCTGTTTTGACTGCAAATGGGTGTCTGATTCATCTCACGTGCATTATGGTGATAGGGCTGTAGAGTGAGACTGGTAATAGACATTTGAATTGATAGATACATGTAGATATACAAGAGCGCTTCTCCACACCATGTGAGTCGTGGGGGTTATATGACCATGCTTCAACACACTGATGATTGAATGTTAATAAAGGTGGGGTCAGCTTTATCTAATCTAATTTATATGTGTATAGTAGCTCGGTCAAGTTGCTTGACATTGCTTACAAAACGGTGATGGAATGGAATTATTTAGATCGCAGGGGCGTACAAAGGTTGATAATTTATGATAATTTGTATAATGATGATGACAATAATAATGATGTGCTCGACAGGCAATTGGAGAGCCTCAAAGATGAGGCTAAGATCTTGCGGAAGCTGAAAAACCCATGCATTGTGGAGCTGTTTGGCGTCATTCTACAAGAGGATAACTACTCCCTCGTTTTGGAGTACATGTGCCATGGAAATTTGTTGGACTTTCTGCATAAAGGGGTATGCCTGATAAGTTTCTTTCAGTGCAGTATGCTGTACAAATGTGTTTGTATTAACTAAAGAAACAAACGTTGGTTTACAGACGCAGTCCGTGAGCGGCAGCACTACAGACTCTCCTCACTCAGTCTCGTTCTAAAGTACACTTGTTTCAGGATCCCACAGTATTATCAAAGTAAATAGTAAAGCTATGATAAATATTAAAGCTATGACCTGGATTTAGCATTTTCGGTGTTTTCTATAGAAACTTTATTTCTGGCACTGTTTTTGTTTCCAGAAGGAAAAAGTTCCATGGTGCCTACGTGCTCGGATCATGCTGGACGTGATTGAGGGCATGCTGTACGTACACAGCCAAAAGATTATTCACCAGGATCTCAAGCCTGAAAATGTGTTGGTGAATGGCGATTTCCATGCAAAAGTAAGTGTGTGCCATCCAGCCCGTTGGTGTGAGCCTCCTTCTTCCTAGCGTTGTTCCCGCTGTGGCGCAGGGTCTGCTTTTCGGCATTGTCTTCTCCATTTGGCTCGGTCTAGGGCATCTTCAGGGGATGCGTTGACCGTCTTCATGTCTTCCTTTATTCGATCCATCCATCGCTTCTTCGGACGTCCGCGTGGACGGCGGCCCTCTGGCTCAATACGCACGGCAGTCTTGGCCACTGATGACTCTTCACTTCGCATCACATGGCCGTACCACCGAAGCCTTGCCTCAAGCATCTTGTCCGCAATGGGGGCCACACCAAGTCGCTTCCGAACGTCTTCGTTCATGACACGATCCCATCGAGTGAGCCCGAGGCTCCATCTGAGCATCCTCATCTCCATGGTGTGAGCCTCCATGAGGTCAAAATAATTTATGAAATGAGTATCCGCTGCAATGTGTGATTGACAAAAGAGCTATGGGATAACAACAATGGAGCCAGGAATTCTGCTGGCTTCACTGCCTACTGTTATTGTGTTAAAAAAAAAGCATGCATGGAAAAAGAAAATCCATTGCATTATAATTGGCTTTACATGTTATTTGGAACATTTCCGGCTCTGCAAATGTAAAAATCTGTTTGAATTGGCATGCAATGAACATTCCACTCAGTGGTAGAGTGGGTTGGTAGGTGCTGCTCTTTCTCTTTACTGTGTGGAACAGAGGTCATGTGAAGAAATCTCAGTGGTCGTTTTGTGAGATCTGCTTCCGTTCTATAGTACAGTCAGGATGTAAATGGGGGCGGGGAAGGGGGGGGGGCATTTAAAATGAAAAATTAGATGTTTAAAAATGTACTTTGCGTCTACAGATAGCGGATTTTGGAGTGTCCATATGTAAAACCTGGTCACGACTTGGCAAAGAAGAGCAGACCAGGAGAAGCAGTGTCTCTGGTGAGAAAAAGAAGAAGCTGGGAATGGGCACCACGGCGTACATGGCCCCAGAAAGGTTCAACAACGTCAACCTTCGTGCAAACGAGAAGACCGACGTCTACAGCTTCGCAATCCTCACCTGGGTCATCATCACCCAAAGGGAGCCGTACGAACGTAAATGCAGTCATTGCCCACACGCATTTTGTCTTTCGGGATTTCTTTGAGCAGCTAAAGTGCATCACAGTTACACGGTGCTTTTTTGAAATGTGCCCATGGTGGTCAGACCGCTTGACTCACAAACAGCCATTACGAGTTCAAATCTTCGTCCAGGATCGACTCGACCCATTAACCCTCTGGGATCGATGAAGTGAGTACCACTTTGTGGAGAGTTCAGAATGGTTGTCCTCTGGACAGCCTGTTCCCCACCATAGGAATATGGAATTTGCACCCCTGACTTGGGGCCACCTACAGAGCTGAACTCTATAGTGTATGCTGAATTAAGCATGGAGACGTTTTTTTAACAAAAGCCATCCGTTTCTCTTGCAGATTTGCAATGTGGGGATCAGACTACTTACGACGTGCTGAAGAATTGCACCGAGAAAAACCAACGGCCTGACATGGAGCTGATACCGCCCAATTCCCCTTACACTATGATCGAACTAATGAAGTCGTGCTGGAACCAGCTCCCTGAAAAACGGCCGAGTTTCTCAGGTGACTTGATCTGTAGGCCTCATCACTGGCTTCATCTCAAGATAGTGAAAGGCCTAGCTTTTTGAAATTAAACAATGTGTGGTAAAACCTTTTTAAGGTGGACACAGATTTGAGCTGGAATGTGGGGTGTGCTGTAAATGTCCCTGAAAAAAATTTAACTAAAATAATACTTTTCGGAACTTATCGTGCGCTAATTAAGATGTGAGTGTTGGGATATTCTGTTCTCTGGAAATGAATTAATAAAATACGTACAGCGTGCCCTCAGCCCAAAGATAGGCGTAGTTTCCAATGTCAGTCACAAATACGTCTGTCCGTTTTTGATCATTTAACCACGTTGGTTACTCGAACAACAAACCTCCCATAAATATTTCATGCATTTTGCAGCACGGTTTAAATGGTTGTGTTTTTGCCATCAGATTTATTCATTTTCCAGGCATGTTGATCAAGCCTCATAAACCAAAGGTTGAGATGACCACGGATTAACGTAATCTCTTTAATAAAACAAATAAACACTTCACCTTGTATTAGGTAACTTTTCAGATTAATTAACGATGAGTGCATGCTTTTATCGAATATTATTTCCTTTGTTTTTGCAGATTGCAAAAAAGATGTTGAGACTCTTTATAATAGTTATAAAGAAGAGATACCTGCTGCCGTGACAAAAATGCAAATGCTGCTGGTAAGAAATTAATAATTGTTTACAAAGATGTTCAAACATTCTCTTGTCACATGTGACTGGCGCTCTTCATCGTTATCATCACCATGACCCTCATCCTTCCCCTGGTGCAGTATATGTTTGGTATATCGACGTACAAATCTCTTTCACTTTCTTACATGACTTACATGGCTCGGTTTTCATCCCTTATAACAGTGGTGGCCAATACACTAAGCACTGTGACCCATCTTGGTCCATTTCAATGGGCTCTACGATCTTCCAGAAAACTATGACCAATATATTTACCCTGCTTTAACCCTGTAAGAAACAATAGACAATGTTTAACACGTAGGCTCTCGCGACCAATATCCATAATATATATTTTTTGGGTTAGATCGCTTAAATATAAATGTGGTGTTAAACCCGCCACCACCCGACACAGGCGATTCGTAAGGTTTCTCACGTAAATAGAACATGCCAATTCGTTACTAGTGTAATAAGAGAGCACACCGTCGGTCGCCGATCGGCTGGATAGGCTCCGCTGTATTAGCCAATCAGGTGGAGTGGGGGTGCCTGGGCCAGAGTTCAAGAGCGGAGCTCAAGGGTGCTCGTAGGGAACCATCGAGAAGGTTCTAGAAGGGGCGTGGCTAAATGTGGGCGTGGCTAAAGGCGGGGCTTAGCTCCGCATGGAGGGCTGATAAGGGGAAGCAGGAAGAGATAAAATAATAAAAATAAAACATAATAAAATAATTCTCACGACGTTTCGGCCACAACGCAAGCAGCCGTCCTCAGGTGAAGACCAGGTCTGTCGGGGAGACAGCGTCTGAATGAAACACCACCACGCTTGGAGCGTCTATTTAAGCTGGGTTGGAAGGGGGGAAGGGCGCCTTGACAAAAGAATTCACCTGAGGACGACTGCTTGCATTGTGGCCGAAACGTCGTGAGAATGATTTTTTTATGTTTTATTTTTATTCTTTTGTTACTTCAGAATCAGAAACGGTTTTAATCGCCATGTAAGTTTGCACAGACAAGGAATTCACTATGGCTGGACGGTGCATACATTTAACAAGTAGGAATCTTAAAAACTTATATAAAAGGTATACACTCTAACTATACTAACGTCACAAAGTTTAAGTAATACTAAAGGGCTAAAATCTAGAAAATTATGAATAAGTAGACCTTATAAAATGCGAAATGTAAAATGTTAATTAGCCGTATTAAACAATCTTAAAATACAAAAATACAAATAAGATTACTTCCCTTCTACGTTACTTTACCGAAAGAACCAAGAAGATGAATCCCTGCAGTCACGAAAGCTTTAAATCGAAAAAAGCAGGAAGAGGTTCGTGGTCACTGTGGGAAGTCTGAAAGCGAGACCACGTCTCGTGCCTTGGAATGCCAGCGGCCACGTGGTGATCCAGGGCTGCCTCCTAGCGCACCGTCAGCCAGCGGTGCGCAGGAGCGGGGAAGCGCGAGCGAGCCGTGTGTGCGGGACAAGGCCAACATACGCCGCCCAGCAGGGAATGTGCAGTGGTTACTGGAAAGGGAACTTGGAGCTGTCCAGCCAACAAAGAAATCAATAAAGAAGACACAAGTCCGAGATCGTCGTCTAAGTGATTTATTACACTAGTACAGCACAGTATTGGAGAGTAAATCCACAACATTTACAATCTGAGTATGACGTTTCTCCAGTAATTACAAGTAGCTTTATCAGGCGATGGCCAGATTTGCTCAGATTTGGCCACCGGTGTGCTGTACTAGTAACGAATTTGCATGTTCTATTTACGTGACAAACCTTACTAATTGCCTGTGTCGGGTGGTGGCGGGTTTAACGACACCTTTACGCGAATAGACCATGTGTCAGCATCATCTGTGGGTAGAAGTATTTTTTTACGTATTCGTTTGTAGTTCTGAGATTTGTATTTGCAATGGGCTTCGTGCAAAATAATAGTTTGCGTATGTCACTAGTTGTTTTGATCTGTGCTGAGATACATAAACAAATCTATTGTGATCCACCCGTGAATCGCCATCCATGTAATGACCAACGCTGCTTTACAATTAGGAATAACGGCATGACAACATATGCTCCCGTATATTTTTTTTTCAACTATAACACATGACTTTATAAAACCCTTCCTGTGTGTTACGTATTCTTTGGGTCTTTCGGTAAAAGTCAGGTCGATAAGTGCAAATTAATAACAATGATAAATATTAAATAAACAAAAAACTACGACGTTTCGATCACAACACAAGCGATCGCCATCAGGAGGAAAGAGGGGGGAAAGCTGTTGAATCCAGACTGTTTTATAGGATGGAGTCCTAGGGTCATAAATGAAGTGGGCGGGGCTAGTGATGTTAATGTGAGAGATTAGCATGTTAATGTGAAATCGCAGAGCCACCGCGACGTAGAGGTCGGAGTCCAGAGGTGGCCACGTTGGCGATGGGAACATCACAGCCAGTTATGACTTAAACTGGTTGACGATGTCTTTCCAATAATTGCTGAGTTTGTACCCATCCTCTCGGTTGAAATTGTGTCTATATATGGATGGCTTCATGAACGTATCTTTTTTGATAGCCAGTGGGCTTACAAAGTACCTTTGTCTTAGAGAAATCTCTTTCGTGTGAGCCAAACGCATTAAAACAATGATCAGTCACGGCCGACGTGTTGGTCCCTACTGTGTTTCAAATCTGCTTTATGTTCACGAACACGATCTGAGACATGTCTTTTTGTTTCCCCAATGTAACTACTGGTGCAGATACAGCTTAGTTTGTAGATGCCGGGGTATTGCCTATCAGGGATCACATCCTTCACAGATGGGGTCAGATCACAAATTTTATGTACTGTGTTAAATCGAGCCTGGATCTAGTGCTTGCTCAAGATTTTGGAAGTATTTTTGGTGACCCCTGCTATGTATGGCAAGGTGATGGTTTGCATTGGGTCCTCAGATGGTTCTTTCCCAACGGTTGGGGTGGTAGCTTTACGGATTATGTGATCCAAATATCCATTCATCTGAATTTTTTTGTTTATTTTCTATTTATTATTTGTATTAATTTGTACCGATCTACGTGACTTTACCGAAAGACCCAAAGAATATGAATTCCTGCAGTCACGAAAGCTTTAAGTTAAGGTGTGTTACATATATTCTTGTTGATCAAACATTCCTGCAGTCACGAAAGCTTCAAATCAAGATCAAACAGTCTTTGATTACAGGCATTTAGCTCTTCGTCTCCCATTGGCCAAGCCATCCTCTTCAGGGCCTCCCATGCAATTGGTTGTAACTAACCATCCTTTTTATGAGCCCCCTTAGCAGCACTTAGGCCACTGTCTGTCAGGTCTGGCTGCTGGACTTGTGAGCCCTGATGAGTGGTGTTCTCCAGGAGCTTGGCTTGGCCCGCCCTTGGTTAATTACGATGAGACGTTAGGAGGCTTTGATATCTGTGCTAATGTGGCTCGCTTAGAGAGTTGGCGGGTCGCTTATGCACAGTCGGTATACATGGTGTAGCTTGTTTGATGTGAAAGATAATCTGAGTTTCGATAGGTGGCAGCAGGACACACCCCATATCCACTTTGTCCTTTTTCAGGGGGTGGAGCCGAAGATATCAGACCAGCACCATGACATTCCACCACAATCTTCATTCAAGTCGCAGTCTGGTGAGCTGACGGCACGCTTGTGATTTGTGTGGCAAATCTTTTAAACGATTAAGCGGAAAATATGGCGATGTGCTTTTATGAATGTTCAGTGGTTAGTGAACATGTCCAGAAATAAGCGGTCACTGTTTATTTTTTATTTGGGCGTTTTTGTGGCCATCATCGCTTCCACCATGCCTGTGAAAGGATGTTTGTGTTTATCGGTCACTTTGCTAGTTAATGTCAATTGAGAAATTTCAGCAGCTGCTTACCTTTCCCAGTTTTTTTATTTCACATAAACTAAGGTAATTTGATTTCGTTTTCTCTCCCCATTCTCCAGTAAAATGGGATGATGCTTTATCTCGGTGGGCTTGACCGCTGTTTTAAAAGACCCATGGGCTTGCTGAATTTACGTATTTGCCAAGTGGCAGTTTGTATCGGGTACAGAATCCTAAAATAGCATTTCTCCCAAGTCTCGGTGCATGCCACTGGCCACTGATTGATGAAACGAAACCCCCATTCGTGTACACACTTGCCCCCCCCCCCCCCCTCCCGACAGCTGGGGAAAAAACTCTGCGGCTAAATGTGCGCCCTTGTGTCTCGGGACTTTGCGCGTTTGACAGACGAGCTTTTGGGCAGTGCCTCCAGCAACAGGAGCCTCGAGGACTTTGATCCCAAGACGCTCGTGGCCGATGACAGCCTCCTCGTCACAGACTGCGGCACGAAACCTATGGAGAATGAAGAGCCGCGGTGAGTGGAGCCCTTGGCTCGCTCGCTTATGCTTGATATAAATCTCAAAGGGTTGCCTGTCACATTGTGGCGGTGCTATGATGTCTCAACGTAAGGACGACAGCAAACGTATCGTCAGTTTTACAGAACATTGCTTGATCGTCATTTTGTTTCCTGACAATATTTATGAAGTAACAATAAAGTACATGATTTAGTAAAAAAACAACTAATTAGTATAATTATTGTTTTTTTACCCTTTTAGCTGGTAACAAAACTGACACCTTTTTTACAAGGAGTCATGTTTGCATTGACCACAATACCTGCGGTCGGAATGCAAACAAAAAAACACAACTCTGAGACTAGGCTTTAAGAAGAGCTGTCTCGGGTGTGGACCAATAAATTTCAAGGACCGTGCATACATTATCAGAGTTATGTTTTTTGTTTGCATTCCGACCGCAGGTATTGTGGTCAATGCAAACGACTCCTTGTAAAGAAGGTGTCAGTTTTGTTGCCAGATAAAAGGGTAAAAAAACAATTATCATATTTTGCTACTGGCAAAGAAGGTTCCAATGGTGGAACTAATTAGTACTTTGTATATTGTTTTCCTGAGTAATTAGCAGCGTGGTGGTTGCATGACACCATTGTTTTCTAACAGCATGCTTGGTTATACGCTTTTGTGAAATTGATATTATTGTAAGACTTATGGCATGCTTATGTTGTATGAACTTGATTATAATTATCTTTAAGCATCGTTAAGCAATATCTGCATTTTAAGTGCATCAACATATGAACCACATTCACAACATGATAAAATTTGAGCGAAAATCATCATCGAGAGAAAGTTAATATTTTGGTATCGCGAAAAATTATCGTGACAACCCAAATAAAGCCCATTCACGTTTATTGTTGGGTGCCAAGGCTGAGATTTAGCCACAACATAAGCACAACGCTGTGCTCATTAATGGAGATGTAGCAATTCATCACCTTGCTTTCCTCTGACCTCGGTGTAATGAATTTGTTTTGAGATCACCCGACAATATGGTGCACGTCATATAAGCTAAAGTGGTTGTAAGGTTTTCATGAATCCATAGCATATAATCGGAGTAATTGATTTATCATGTACGCAGTTTGAGGAACGTGGAAAAAAAGGATAGATTTTAATGAATGATTACATTCATGTTTATTAGTCTTGGCTGATGGTACGTAATTTATACATATATCGGCATCTGGCCAACACACGAGTAGGCCAAATGCTCATCAGTTTGTCATTGTCAGCAAACACAGAAATTTCATGAACGAAATTATTAACAATCGAAGGTGTTACTCACCCATATGTTGAAACTGACCTTGTACCTAACCCTGGTCTCTTTTAACACAATTTATTCTGAAATGAGTACCGAGCGCATTTTACAAATGCATTTGCTTCTATTTTAGGATTTCCTGCTTATCTGAAGATGAACACACATTGACAAAACTCCAAGATGAACGAGACTACCATGGAAAAAATATTTCCATGAACCAACATCTTCCCGTAAACAGGGACCAAGACCTCGCTTACGTCATGAACAGGAGGGTATCAAACATGCCTTCCGAGGATGCAGAAGAACCTCGCAGAACGAGGGCCGGGCCTGTGGAGTATCAGGCGCCGGAAGCCACGTCATCGGGTCGTGGAAATTCCGAGGCGCTTCGCACCTCACCGCACGCGTGTGGGGTGCAGCCCTCGTCAAGCACGTATCAGGAGCGGCATTTTTTTCATGATGGGTCTCGGCACTTGGAGGATTCGCCACGCCACCGCGATCCGCCCTCCTCGCTGTCGAGCACAAAATCCTTTGCTCCGCTGCCAGAGGTCAATGTTGCGGGCGGTCCGGCAAGTCAGAAGGGGGCGGCCGTCCCGAGCGGACGGTACTCCGGGCAGCCACCCGCAGGGAGGGCTACGTATCCAGAGCCCAGGGCGCAGCACCCTATGCCATCGGGTGAGTTCTCACGTGGTTAAACAAAATCAACTTGAAGCTGGAAATGTATGTCTCTTGCTTAATTTTGGATATGAATCCGATTGCTGTTTCTGGTCCATAATAGCAAGAGGTCTCTCCTGCTAATTTTGTTTTATTTTGGTTCCTCACCGCCACTGAGATGTAATTTTTGTAGAATACCATTTACAGCAGTTTAACACCAAAGCTTTTGTGACCAATATCCCGAATAAAGTTATTTTTTTCTGGGTTAGATCACGTAAATATAAATGTGTCGTTAAACCCGCCAACTCCCGACACAGCCAATTAGTCAGGTTTGTTACGTAAACAAAATATGCCAATACGTTACTAGTTCAGCACACCGGTGTATTGGAGAGTAAACCCACAACATTCACAATTGTTGGTTTATTCTCCAATTGTGAGTTTACGCTCCAACACACCGGTGTGCTACATGAGTAACGAATTGGCACGTTCTGTTTACGTGACAAACCTTACTAATTGGCTGTTGGGTGGGTAGCGGATTTAACGACACGTTCATTTCTACGTGATCTAACCCCAAAAAAAACCTATTCGGGATAATATTGGTCGCGAAAGCCTACGTGTTAAACTTGCTGTAAATAATGTTTTTATAAAAATTACATCTCAGTTGAAGTGAGGAGCCAAAATAAGACGAAATTATAGGGAGAGACCTCTCATGGCGAGCCTAACATTGTTGTCTGTAATATACGAGCAATCCTCGGGTTACGAACCAAATTCGTTCCTGAGACCGGTTCGTAAGTCGGAACAACAATGCGCTGTATTTAAATGCTCATACGGTCAGTGTTATGAAATATGTTACGGTTCGACAAAAAAGGGATGCATTGTTAAATTTTCGAAAAAATACTCTATAGTAAATAAAACTAAGACAACGTCAATAGAAAAAATAACTGATTTATTTTAACTTAGCTTGAGTCTTGATACTAGCTTGTAGTCGGAAGGGGGGGGGGCAATGAGTCACCACAATTGCACACACACGTGAGCACACAGATAAAAAACACCCCAACAACAACAACGATCTCCTGTGTAACCTTATCAGAATGTAGGAGCAAGTGCTGTTACCGAGCATAGCCTATGAATGCCTGCACGGCACACGAGGGGGTGAGTGGCCAGTGCCAAGCCCGGCTGCCCTTGTCTCCCCAGTGGCGATGTTTACATACCACACCAGTTATTCATTTGAGGCTGAGTCGACCTAGGGGAGGCCCAGGTCCCATTCAGATAATCGTCACTGGTGTTGATCGTGAGCGGGAATTGAACTTTGGTCGCCAGGTTGGTAGTACAGCGCGCTCACCGTTGCACTACCGCTTCTCCCCGACACACACGCACATGTCGCAGACAAAGACCCACGTATAGCCTTAACAGACTGTAGTAGTAAGTGCAGTTAGCGAGTAGTACTTATGAAGGCCGGTACGGCACACGAGGGCGTGGATGGCCAACACCAACGCCTGGCCTCTTTTGTTTCCCCAGTGGTGATGTTTACACACCGCACCGGGTATTGGTGTTGGCCGTTAGCAAGAATCAAACTCGGGTCGCCGCTTTCGTAGCGCAGTGCGCTAACCGCTACACTACCGCTCCCCACACTTTCACACAAACACTCCCAGCACGAGGCCGACTCATTACATCTTACGAAGGATCGCTTCTCTGAACAAAATATTTCCGCGGTTGAGTTTGAAATTGCGAGTTTGCGTTTTAAGTCAATGTCATTGTTTTGGTATTTGATGGAAGCTGGTTCGTAAGTACGGGTGTTCATAAGTCGGGCGTTCGAAGGATTGCCTGTTTATATGTACAATGTGAAGGCTGCTGTGTAGGGCAAGTTTATACATTTTACTTTGTGCGATATAACTTTCCTTTGTTTCTTTCTCCTCCCAATCATCTCCGTGCTTCTACACACTGTTGGATGGGGCGACTCACAGGAGTGTTGCCATCGCAAGTCATGGACGGCTGGCCGTTTAATGGGAAACAATTTCCTGGCATGGAGAGCCTGGGAGCTGCACTGTCAAATTCCACTTCAGGTAAGAGGCCCTAATTTATTCGTGTTGTGGAGTTGGTCAGCATTGCCCCTGCTTGCCATGTGTATTCGCTTGATGTAACATTTTCAATCAGCTAATTAAACTTGTAGGTCAACGACGTGGTATCTGGCTGGCATGCGGAAGAACACGACCAATGGAGGCAATGGATGGCAGCACCAAGGCCATCTGGTGGCTGCTACTGTGGAGCAATTCGTGCATTCTCCCAGTCGTTATACTCGGTGTGTGCCAATGGACCTGCGTGCTTGAGACCACAGAGAGGGCAGCTGGGGGCACGGCAGCAGCTTCTCTTCACCACCGTGCAGGGCGTGGAGATCAGTCTCTACAGTCAACATTGTTCTCGTTGGACAGCCGAAGAGAAAGAAAGAGGTTCCATGACTGAGCAACTCTTGAGCAGATTGGTTGGTACTCTTCACTACGTTTTATGTTTTTTTTTGCTTGTTTCAGGTTTTAAAGTTCACATATCTCATGGGGAAAACATTCAGATTGGAAACAATAATGTGATCAATCTAAACCCTAAAAGCAAACCAAGGTATCAGCCATCGCAGCGCGGCTCCTCCAGCGAATCACAACGCAGCGCTAAGCCAGACTTCAACCTCGAATCCTTCAGAGTTGCAGGTAAGGTGCATTGTGAGTAAGCTGTTGCAATGTGTCAAATTCTTATACACCTCCGTCACTTTGTACCGTAATTTCCAGCATATAGCCCACATACGCATATAACCCGCAAAAATAGCATTTTGTGTAAAACAAATTTCAGATAGGCCGCACCTCCATATACCCCGCATGCATTCATATCTTTATAGTCGTTACCGCAGCTTAATTCCATCAAATTAATACAAAGTTTACACTTGTAATATATTCCACTATCAATTGTTAACATGAAAATCATAACGTGCACAAAGAAAATAAACTAACTGGAAACGAGTGAACTTAAAACAGTAAATAAGTAACAAAAGTAAATATCCAATAATTAAGTAACACATAACTGGTAGATAAGTAAGTAAGCGTACTGTTAGGTTTACCAGCGTTGGACCTCATCATATGACAACTAGTTACCCCTGTACAGTTTTAGCACTGGTAGATTGCGCACTGCGCAGACAATAGCGGCACTACGGTAACGCCATTGCCTCCTGGCAACAAAGCCATTGGAAGTTTGAAACAAAGCTCATGGTCGCGACTGTATAGTGCTCAGCCAATAGCAGCGGCCGAAGGGACTCGGCAATTATGATTCGCTTCTGGTAGACGCTTGTTAAAGCCCTTCTTCCCATTGTGCAAACCATAGCCTCAGCTGAAACTTTCGCACCCCCCTACAGCCACTGAAAGTATTACGGTAAACAAAGTGCGCCCACTTCAAACATTGTCGTTTCATTGTACAAACAATTCTAATAATTTAAAACGTGTTAACACGTGCAATTTTAGTGTGAGTGGTTTGTTCAGCAGTGCTTTAGTCAAAGGTGGTAAGTGTTGCATAGTGGATAGTCCTACCATGAAACAATCAAACGAGTTATTACATGTCACACGTGTCAAATATTTTTGGGATAGCCCACACCTCCATATACCCCACAGGGTCTTGTTTTGTTTGTAAAAAGTGGTCTACCCCGCGGGTTATATGCGGGAAAATACGGTAACCATTTTCAGATCAACTCTTTTTGGAAGGTGTACATTCGGTTTCTTTATGGCGTAGGTGTTGGTGATGAGTGTAGGATTGCACATGAGTGATGATTCTAGTGTAATTGAGTAATAATTTGTTATACAGTAAAACTTTGGATTGCGAGCATAATTCGTTCCGGAAACGTGTTTGTAATCCAAAGCGCTCGTATATCAGTTGTGATCACGTGACGCTCGGCAGGCAAAGCGTATACGTACTACTCGCATTGCAAGACCTCGCTCATTTATCAAATTAAAATTTATTTAAAAATTTTGCTCGTCTTGCAAAACACTCGCAGACCAAGTTACTCGCAATCCAATGATTTACTATAGCTATGTAGTGTCTTAATACTCAGGGCAACTCTAGATGCTGTACCGGGTCAACTATATACATCAAATAATACCTCGCAAACATCAAGCAACTTGAATATTAGTGACTGACAGCGAGCACATATAACAGTTAAACATAAAATGATATGGTTCAAATTGGATAAATATTAAACTCAAAATACCCTCCAAATGGACTTATAAACTCTTCCTAGAAGTAGGAACCCATTTACCATATAGCCATGAGCATTTACAACCTCTTAAAATAGTTTTGGCAGGGCAGGTTTCACTTTCAGCACAGTTGACTATGTACAGTGTTACCCGCCGTATGTTTAGATGCATTTTTTTTTAAAAGCCCGTTTTAATCTTTACACGTCTCTGCCTGCATGCTCATTGCTGCCACCCGTGCAGGGATGACTCGGAAGATCGACGAAAAGGACGTGGACATCTTGAGGGGGAACCTGTTCAAAGACTGGAAGCACTGTGCGCGTCATCTGGGCGTGGATGAAAGCCAGATCTCGGCCATCTCCCACGACTATGACCGCGACGGGCAGCAGGAGATGATCGTACAGATGTTGAACTCATGGCGGCGTCTAATGGGCCGCCAGGCCACCGTGAATATCCTGGCACGGGCGCTCTACAATTGCGGCCGTTACGACATCTTACGGAAGTTAGATGAAAATTCTACATAGCGAGCGTCGTCTTTGTGTGTGCATGTTGCATGGGTGCTCATGTTGGGACAACAGCCTGTGCGGCCTACACAGTGGGGGGGGGATCTTTTTCCTTGCGGGATGTACAGGGCAGTGGTCCTGTCTTTGTGTATTGTCTTATGAATGGTTACAGCAGGACGTGGATAATCATTTATACGTGGTATCTAAACTCATCTTGGGTCTTCTCCAGGGCCACTGAGCTTTAATGAATACTTTGGTGCCATGTTCAAACATCCGAAACAGCGGTGGCTGTGTATGGTCCTGGCCACACCACCCCTTTATTTACCGTACTGGCTTCAATATATGCTCTCGCTAACGGCACTTTCCTTCAGCATGCTATCTTGGATACACAAGGGGCCTTTTTGTAGGTGGTGGTGCAATTTTTCACGTACTTATCTTCAATTCCAGCAACCAGGGATCGATTTCCAGCCCATGGTATGTGACATCAGTTATGTTTGATATCTCAAGCCATCCCATCTCTCTCCGCAGTCAACGTTGCCATAAATGAGTACCTGGTGCTGTGTGTTAACACCGACAATAGCGCGACCAAAGGCGGCTGGGCATGGTACTGGCCACACCATTTGTTTGTGATGCTGGCCCTTAATTGTTTCAACGAGAGTTCAACAGTCTATAAAGCTCAGGCAAAGTCTGTGTGCAAAATAGGGTTATTTTGTTTTTATCTCAAAGGGTTCTCTCTTGTTTATTAATTAATGTTCGTGTACGTTTCTATTGTGTGCTCAGAGTTTGCCGCATATCATAGTGGCTTAAAGTCAGGGCTCCTAACTGACTTTATCAGTTATTTTTTTCAGCAGATCTTATGTTTATCCACATCCGGTCAAGCTTTGTTGCTCTTAAAAGGGTTAACGAGGTTTACCTATTTATGTTTGAGGAGGGGCTGAAATACAACCAGTGGTGGCGCGTGTCACCAGTGTGAAGAAACAACAAAGTCCGCCTCGTGTGACATGTGCAGGTGGATTGTTCATTGAACATGATGTGCAGTGAGTGATGATGATAATAATTTTTAATGCTGATAATCGATGATTATTGATTCTGCATCGTGCCAGGTCTCCAACCCCATCAAACCCAGTTTTCCTGGGACGCTGCATCGTGACACGGACTCGGTTGAGCAAAAGCTGAATAAGCCACATACGGAACTCAATCCCATGCGTGCACATCGCATCGAGACTGGAGAATTGAAAGTGTAGTTTACGTTAAATCTGGAGCCGCCAGCCGCCACTAGATATAGCTCATCGGTATATCAGTATACGCCAGATAAACACATTCCTGCGGAGGGAGCTGGTAGGAACGTTGGGTTGCTCGGTCAATGGCCAGGGTCAACGGCGGCGTGGTGTATTCCGCAAATATGCCCGACTGTGAGGGCGGGCACAAGCCGGCGTGAGTAGGTTAAACGTTGAGTTTTATAAGGGCACCACGGGGTGACCAGCCCTTCCCCACCCAGCCCCTCCCCACCCTCCCCTCTCCACCCAGCCCCATCCCTCCCATTTTTGGATGCAGGACGTACGGACAGACACAATAATCCCCTGTGGGCTGGTGTAACCAGGAGGTTCCTACCAGTATGAGAGTGACCAAAGATCCCTGGGCCTCTGTGAGTCACTGATTGGTTGCCTGTATGCCAGGGCATGATCTATGCAATTCAATCATCGTGGAACTAAGTAACGTTCGGTACAATTATTTTGTCGTGGAAAACAAGCCTAATTTTTAATGGGTCTTCCATCGTGTAGCATTTTTTTACATTTACATTGCCATTGGCTCTGGTATATGGATTAACACCTACGTAAAAAAAGTAAAATTAGACATTATAAAGATTTTAATAATGATGTAGCACTTTTAGCCATACTTATATTTTTTATTGGGAAATACTGTAGGAATTTCAGGTTAAGGCATTTTGAAGTGATTATTGAACCGGTAATTACGACTTATGTCAACCGCATGTTTTATATCATGGGAAAGGTTCCGTACCTGTGACTTTGTTAATCTTGTTTAAAAAGAACTCAATCGTGACATCAGTGCCTTGAGCAACGTTAACAGCGGTCAGCTATTTTGAGTGCAGTAAACTACGTTCTCCAAACTTGGCCAGACCCACCCTTGTGGGCGCACACGCCATAGAGCTCGCCTGGAAAGATTTGATTATTCGTATCGTGGTAATTCCTTCAGGTTATTGGTAATGGACCGTCGGTTGTGCAGGAGGCGATCTCTGCGAGAGGCACGATAGTGCAAGGTGTGTTGCGTGCAAGTGTTTAACCACACTTACATTGACTGGGGCACTTTTTTTAGAAGTCAGTTCCTGCTGAAATGGGCATTGAGGAGATGGTCATCTACTGCTTACCTCGCTGAGCGAGTGGTGCAAATTCCACATTTCTATGACAGTGGCGAGTCTATCAATAGGGACAACCTTTGTTCACTTTCCGCCACACAAAAGCGGTGCTACTTTTGATCAACCCTGAAAGAATGATGTGCCGAGTCAATGCCCAACCAGGTTTTTAACCCAAAGCCCTTCGCATTCCCAGTCACTTGCCCTGCGCTTGAGCCGCCTGGCTGGTAATAGGCTGTGTTGGTCAAACGTTGCACTCACCACAGAGTCAATGTGGACTCATTTGAATGTGCAGATTGTGGTCATGTCTTCAGGTCACTGGAAATTAAATTATAATGTACAGAGGGCGGTCAGCATCCCGCCACAGGCGATATGTGGCCAGTTAACACGTAGGCTTTCGCGACCAATATCCATAAGAGTTTGTTTAGGGTCAGATCGCGTGAATATAAATGTCGGTGAATATAAACGTGTCGTTAAATATGTCCAAACGTCGTACTCGAATTGTAAATGTGGGTTTTACTCTCAAACACCGTTGTGCTGTATTTATAGCGAATTTGCACGTTTTATTTATGTGACAAAACTTACTAATTGGCTGTGTCGGGTTGTGGTGACGGGTTTAACGACACATTTACACGATCTAACAAAAAAAACCCTCTTATGGATATGTGGCAAGGTCGACGTGTTCCTGTGTATTGATCAAATGTAGATTTCTCGCAGCAAAAACTGCTGAATGTCAGCGGAGGCGTGGTGGGTCATGCGCCTACAGTGGTGGTTAGCTGTATGTGGCTTTTATCTTACTCGTGAAAGTATTCACTTGTAGAAGCCGCAAAAGAGTTGCTTCGTGTGATTTTATAAACAAAATTTATATCTGCTTTTACATATTTTTATACTGCCCAAACAATGTATTGAATGAACTTAAACATGTATGCTCCTTTACATTTTTACTCTGGATTTGTATTCTTTAATACTGGGTCATATATTAGCTAATGGTGTTAAAACACTTGTATGCTTGAATTATAATAATGCACGCAAAAGGTGATTTCTGGTTGACCAAAATGAATGATTTTGACTTGGGAGGGGTCCTCTCATCATGCCTCGCCTGTTATCGAGCATCTGAAATTACATACAATACAGCACTGTGAATATAATACACACATTTGTGGTTTAGACCACCTACTCAAAGGAATCAACACTGGCCATGCCATTTTAGACACCCAACAGTGAGACAATCGGACAACTCGATACTCGTTTAATTCGTGTGAGGAATCATCGCCACACTGGAGCTTTTATGCCGTATTACTGCCTTGTAACTAATTGGCGTGATGTAGACGAGTCTTACCTCATCGCTGTGGGGAGAGTGATTGAAGGTGGTCTAAACAACCACTGCTGGTGTATTACTACTCGTTACCAGCCAACACGCACGCTGTTCTTGCTCATGAGTTAAGGGGCCGCCCGTAAATGACGACACGCACCTAGGGGGGGGGGGGGGGGGGGTTAGTCAGGCATTTGTGACGATGTGTGACGAGGGGGGTGAGAAATGTGACGTCACATAAAAATGCGCAACTTTTGAATTAAATAGACTTTTCGATAAATGTTTTCTCCTACAACATCAGAGTGCAGCGCCACATTAAATACAGACTACAATGACAATAGTTCAAAGTGATTTGAAGCATGTTTTATATTTTTTTTGGTGGGGGGGGGGCAGAGCTTTTTGACGTCATATTTGAGGGGGGGGTCTGACTTTGTGACGTCGTGTGACGAAGGGGGGGGGGGTCAAAGATCGTCCGAAACCACGTGACGTCATTTATGGACGGCCCCTTATAATTTACAGAAAGTGGTTTGGTTTACTTGTGTATGCTGTCCAGCTAGAAATATGCGGTGGTTATTTGACCACTTTTAATCATCACGGGCATCCCTCGGTATAAGGACCAGTTATGTTCCTTAAAAACTGCCCACAAAGCAAAATTCTGTGTATCGCCGCATGAGGTGAGTGGTACACGTGGGGAGCGGTGGTGCAGCGGTTAGCGCATAGCGCTACGAACCTGGCCACCCGAGTTTGATTCCCGCTCACGGCCAACAACACCAGTGACAATTATCTGAACCGATCATGGGGCCTCCCCGAGACCGACTCGGCTTCCAAACATCGCCACTGGGGAGACAAAGGCGGCCGAGCGTGGTGTTGACCACCCACCCCCACGTGTGCCGTGCCGACCTTCATAGGTGCTCGCTAAACAGCACTTGCCCCAACAGTCTGTTGAGGCTATACTGTGGGATCTTTGTCTTGCACGCCTGGTTCTGCACAGTACAGGACCAGGCGTGATCAACACAAATCGCCAAGCTTAGCTTGGCCGGCATGGAGATAGCAGGGAAAACCAGGACAGTGTGACAATCGTGCCCTGCAAAACACGTGTACCAGCGTGAAATGCGCGCTCGGCCAAATGACTGCGTGCATTGTTTGATTTTACGCCCCAAAACGATGTATAATGTAGAGATTCAAAGTTTCATAATTGCGAATTTAACGTAACGTATAGCGAATTCGTTCCCTAATCGGTAAGTTACGTTGTGGTAAAATTGTGGTATATTGAGTTGCCGTATAACGAGGGATGACTTTAATAGTACACTCACGGTGCCAGCTGCGGTGATGTGGAACATGCCGGTGATGGCTGATATTTCCCCTGCAAGGATATGTGGCTGTGGATCTCTGTGCGAGTCTGTGGATCTCGCGATGTGCAGGAGGATGCTGTGCACGTGCTGTGTGGCTGCGAATTTTGCGCTGGTCTCCCCCAGAGGTCTTGTCGAGCTGAACTGTGCTGACTCTGAGACTACTAAACGGCTCTAGATAATTTGACTGTTTCAGTACGTTTAATATGATCTTGTTTCCCTACCCCCCCCCCCCCCCCCATATGCAGTTGCTACTTATACTCGAACATTTGCGTAAAAAAATGTTGAGTCCACATTGATTGGCCTCAGAATGCGCAATCTAACAGCTTGGTGTCTCACAAACATCAGCCGTCTTTCTAGATTTGAAGCTTTCGTGACTGCAAGGATTCATATTCTTAGATTTTTTCGGTAAAGTCACGTAGGTAAAAAATAAAAATTAATAAAATAAAAATAAAAATCACGACGTTTCGGAGGAAACACAAGCTATCGTGCTGTGACTGTTCCGCCTGAAGACGGAAGCTTGTGTTGCCTCCGAAACGTCGTGATTTTTATTTTACTTTTATAAATTTTTTACCTACGTGACTTTACCGAAAAAACCTAAGAATATCAGCCGTCTTCACTGCCACAGGCTCCGCTCGTCATGTCTACCAATCTTCATTTGCACTATAATCTTAACTGCACGCAACCATCAATGGGTAAACGGAAGAAGCTTCATTGGAGTGAGCATCGTCGCTGTTGTTTGAGACTGCCTTCTGGCATCTCGTATACTTTCTAAGGCGGGTAACAAGGAGGCAATTGTCGAGACTTAACAAGTGGCAGCCGAAGGACGGGAAACACGTCCGAGCCGACATCCACCGTGGAGATCGCGTGGAGAATTTGTCGCGCGTGCAGGAGCCACATGGATATCGTATCTGGAGATCCGAGATGGTGAAGCCATTGGGACGGTCTTCATCCAGCAATGGATATATCATGCCTGGTGATGATAGTGAAATAAAAGTCAAGGAGGATGTTGAAGGGGACTTAATTCATTATCCGGGGCTGAAACTGAGCGGTTGCCACCGTTTTATAAGTGGAAGTCTAAACCGGTTCCTTGGGTAGGAGCTTGGAGTCGTGTGGCAGGGTCTGGGAGGCAGGGTTATGCAACGTCACACTTTTGTAAGTGTTAATTAGGGAAAGTGTTTTTCTATCTTCATCGGAGCAATGTAGCCGATGGTTCGGACGCTGCGACAGCTTTGTTGAACACGAGCTGAAACAACCAGGCTTACTCGGCTCAGATGGGGTTTTTTTTAGATGTTAAAAGCTTTTAATCTGTCATGCTAATTATCGTGTGATGAGAATGAAGGGAGGTAGTAATGGTTATATTTATCATGAAATAGACCTCATCTGTTTTCTGAGCCTTTGTCCAATCCCCGTGCCAATCGTCTCGTCCCCCTTAACAGCGTCCCACTCCGCCCCAGTCTCTACAGGGCAGTTTACTCTAATACATACCATTGTCATTCGTCTACAGATAATATTGATCTGCCTCCCGTTTCGAATGTACATTGTTGCTCTCTCCGTGCGCCCTACAGCAGCGTCGTAGCTTGTTTCTTATTTTTTTATCATTTCATTTCGGCCTTGGTTTGTGGGACCTCGGATAACTGAATCGGTTTTCGCTCGGCTAATTGCCTTTTCGAAGTCGGGCTGCACAACGGAAGTTTTGGCGTAGCGTGCATTTACTTGAGAATATTTTCCTTCCACTTATTCTGTACACTTTCTGGAGATGTTATGCCAATCAACGTTGTAACTATAACAGTTTTTGATATCAATGAGGCTCGACCAGAATGTGATTTATTAAAGTACCAATGTGGTCGATGGTGGAGAGACGTTCCCCAAGGACTGATGTGTGCTCAGTTTGGGGTTCGTTGACCACGAAGTTTATTTTTTTCTGTTCTCGAAAATCTTTATAAACAATTTTGAATTCGTGCCACGAGAGTCTCGTCCGTTTGCAATTATTTAATTGGTTTATCACCTTCGTTTTTCTTCTTCCAAAATGTCATAGAAATAAAGGCGCGGAGAATATATTAACCATCTGAAATATGCAGGCGACATTCATGACAGCAACGGAATCGTACGACAGCAAGTGATCGAACTGGAAAACACATGGAAGTATGTATACATGGGGCCCTTATCGAAGCAGGCTCCAGATAAATATGAAATGAAGTGGACTACACAGCAGCAGTGGAAAGCTTTTGGAGAACAGCTGAAAAATGAAATGCAGTATGCCTGACAGAAACCCCGTTTTTAATCTGTATTATCTGCTGTGACGCCATGCCCTGTCACTAGATTGTGAAACGTGCCCCCGCGTGATAGGTGGGTGTGCTGTGTCCTGCTCAGATCCACTTCTTTATTTAGCCTGCGTGTGTGGGTGTCCTCTAATCCCTGTTGAAAACGAGGGTGCAGTGGTTAGCGTGCTGTGCTACGAACCTGATAATCCGAGTTCGATCCCCGCTAACAGCTAAACAATCGGTGACATCTGAACCGGTTCTGGGCCTCCCCTAGGTCGACTCCGTTTCAAATGAGTACCTTGTGTGATGTATAAACATCGCCACTAGGGAGATGAAGGTGGCCCGGGTGTGGTGTTGGTCACACTCCCTCGTGTGCTGGGCTGGCATTCAACTGTGCTCAGCACTTGCCCTAACAGTGTTAAATCCATACGGGGGAGCTTTGGTATTTTTACTGTCCCTGCGTTTCAGTCTGCCACTAAATGTAGTTCCAAGCATGCATCTCTCACATGAAGCAAATTACAAAAGCATACACGCCTTAAAAGCAATTCAAATAAACCCATACAGATTTTAAAATTAATTGGTTTAATAGTGAACGTTCAAAAAACAGTGCACGTTTATATTCCATTAACTCTACTCATAACAAATGCATACTCACAAAATTCAAATCAAGCTACGACTTGATCAAAGCACACGTCCTTAAAAATTCAAATTTTAAATGTGCTAATTAACACCCTCGCCGCAATTGTGAGTATAATTCAAGCTTTTTGTGTTTGCATGAAGTGTGGATGCAATGGTTGGCTCAGCCATTCAACTGGATGGCCATGAGCAAGGAAATGACACACGTGGGATGGTCTTTTAAAATTGTGTTGACGCCTGTGACCAAATCACGCTGAATAACAACCCAATCTCGTCGGATCTCGAAAGCCCAAGCACGGCTAGGGCCTGGAAATTGCTCAGGTGTCCGTAGGCTGCCGTGGAGCCATGTTGCCGGCAGAGATCAGTGGAGCGATATCGGCTGTTGTAATGTACTTCTACGCTTCCCATTTTCAACCAACACTGGCCAAAAATCACGGCGAAGTCGAGTCAAAATAATCCCCACGATCCACACGGTGTACTGTGTGGTGGGGGGAGGAGGTCCTTATTCACCAGTGTGTATTGGCAAAAGTGCCGTGCATGCTGTGCATCGAGGGGGTGTTTTGTTAAATCGCCCAGTGTTGTAATTGTTAACATTTTACAGATTGTTATTTCTGTGGTCTTCGATAGCAGACATAGAAGTCAGATGTTGTTGAGGACTATCCAGATGGCGTGCATCCTAGTAGTTAGCAACTGGTAAACGCATCAACTGTGCAGAGGTTACATTGGTTTCGAGCTGAATATATTTAATTCCATGTGGGGGAGCGGTGGTGTAGTGGGTTCGCGCACCGCGCTATGAACTCGACAGGAGTTGGGATACCAGCCACGGCAAACGTCAGTGGCGAGTTACATCTGAAGCGATCCCGCCCCCTCTCTACTTCAACTCCCACTGACAAATATGACTAGTTTGGTCAAACAACCTCACGAAGTGGGGATGCCTTTACCTAGCAGTGGATTGGCAGATGGGCTCTCCATGGTTTCATACTCTTAGGTTTATTTTCTTTCGGTAAAGTCACGTAGGTAAAAAATAAAATGTAAAGTTAATGAAGTAATAATGTAAATAAAATAATAAATCACGACATTTCGGAGGCAACACAAGTCTCCGTCATCAGGTGGGACCGTCGCAGCTTTTATTAACTTTAAATTTTATTTTTTACCTACATGACTTTACCGAAAAAAAACCTAAGAGTATGAATCCTTGCAGTCACGAAAGCTTGAAATCTAGAACTCTCCATGGTTCTTATATTGTTCGTGTGTAAACCCTCATTGCCTGGTTTTGTTGGGAAATGTGACAAGTGTACAGATCTGTGATACACATAGCAACTCCTTATTTCTGTTATTCAAACATGCCTCTTTAATTCATGAACTGTCCCTTTAATCAGCCACACGGAAAGACACTGCAGGGTGTTCATACAGGGGATAGGTTTAGGGTCTAAAAACCAGGAGCTCAATTGACACATTAATATTCCTGTAATAATTCATCCACAGTTAGGCTACACATTCACTAGCATACAAGCATCATGAGCAAACTGAACGGCACACGTTTTACCGCACTCGAAGAGGTTATTATGGGATGTCGATTTAACAAACGCTCGTGCCTACATTTCATAACAAGACTGCGTAGGAGGAACGCAAAAAAAAACGTGACGGGGAGACGTCGCACAATGTGACGGGAAACCTCAAACACAACCACCACCACCACTACCAACTACACCGTCATCATCACCACCACCGACACTGCTATCACCACCACATCTTCCTTCTTAACCCTTGGACCTACCAAAGACGTTCATATGAGTTAGGTGAGAACACCACAGATTTCTTTAGGTTTTTGTGCAATGTTGACATTTGACTAGATATAAGCAGGGAGAGTGAATCTCATGATGTGGACTATAGGAGACATATTCCAGTATATAGTAACAGTATGCTGATATATATAATATCCACGCAGTGAGTTTTATGTGTGGTTTAGACTTCGGAATGCCAGTCCATTGACTCCTCTAAAGCCAAATGCTGAGACCGTCACAGACACAATCTTAGTTTGCAAGCGAGACCAGGTTATAGCTACAATGCTGCACGAGGGATGGTGAATATTAGTTGGTGAGTGCATATACTTGTTACGTCTAGAGTTGCCACTTTAGTGAACGTACGCAATGGATGACGGCAATAACAGGATTTTTTTTTGTTGAGTTAGGATAGCTTTGCTTAAAAAGGCCAGTCAGCCAAAACCTTGCGATCTTGTTTCCTACCAATCACTGTGGGATAACAAAAACAACACACCCAGTCACATTTAATCAACCTGCTAAATTCTTACCCACCCTTCATATATATTTCCTATATACTGTTATGTATGTGCTCTCTTGTACTGTTCATATTCTGAATGAAATCATGCATCAAGCGAGCAAGCACAGCTTGAAGCCTAAACCCAAGATGACATTCTCCTACCACAAATACACCAAATACACGGGCTGAACGTGAATTAATTCGCAATGGTGGATATCTGCGTATCTCTCAGTCGTACTGCAATTTCCACTCGCGTGGAAATGCACTCTGGAGCGTGGGTGGTGAAACGCCCTCCGCCTCCCCTCACATGCCCAGGTGCTCTTCACCTGGCAGTCAGTCCCCCGCACACACCTGGCCAAGCCCCTGGGTTGAACCCAGTTCTCAATTGGCTTTGGTTTTTGCTTGTGCTTTATTTGAGCTGTTTTTTTTTAAATCATGCACACTCAACGACCCACTGGGTTTTTTTTTTACGCATGGGTCATCCATCACATTTGTCAACGCGATATTTGCAGCGCTGTCGCAAGTTCTCCCAAACCGGCAGCCCTTGCAACCCGGCACTTTCCGCCTTTCCATGTTGACCAAGCTTCTCTCCGTGCACCCACAAAATAAGTCGCAATGCGCTGATTGCGCCCGATCTTTTAAAATCACGTCCCGCGTTGCGCAGAGACCTTCCCGAATTTGAATTGGCGCTCTATCCAGCAACGTGCCATATATTTTAACAATCATCAGGTGCGTGCAGTGTGCAAGCACTTAATTTTGTTTTGATCGGGTGAAATTGGGAAAACGTGGAAATACAATACCATGGAGAGGGTAACGAGGAATGGCAATTCAATGGCCAAAGCTGAATTCCTGCTACGTCTTTCTGGGTTGGTGACCCGGATAAAATTTCCAAACCGGGCACACAACAACGAGTGCGTCTCTCACGATGGCGGCTGTGGCTTCTTCTCGCCATGTGCCACCGACTCCAGGTTTACCAAGGAGTCTGGAAAATATTCGGTGAGGAATTAGGGGGCCTGGTAAGGGCGTATCGTGACCCTGGGGCCTCCTCCGCTCATTGTTCAGAGCATTTTTGGATTTCGGTCGGAACAATCATCGGCTCTCATGCAGCCGCTTTGCAGGCAGAGTTGATTCTGCTGTTTCTGCTGCTGTTGGCGACAATTTTTGTCAATCCAGCCTGAGCTGTGGTATGCGCATTACAGCATGAACTATAAACCAGATAAGAGTAACAGTTCCTGAAACGTGGATATGTTTTAATTGAAATCTCCTGCGCCACGCCCTCTGTCGCAGTGGTCTTTAAAGGACCCCAGACACAAATAACTTGATGGTTGGTTCAAAATGCCAAAGCCATCCAGATGTTATCTCAAATTGCCCGACCCCCCCCCCCCCCCCCCATATTTAATTATCCACTTAAATCAAAACTCACGCATGCACGCACGCATGCACCCAAGATGAATGCTGGTGATGGGACTGTGTTCACAGGGGCTGTAGCTGCTCAATTATGAGTAAGGCTACAATTTTGGCACCGTAATATTTAGTGGAATTCCCGGCCGTGGTGCAGGAAAAACAACGATTCGTGGAAATGTGACGGGAGTAGAGGTCGAGGCTTTGCCCCCAGCTACTGCAGCTGGCTGCAGCACCCTCGTCGTCGTACGGCATTGTTGAAAGGAAATTAAGGAAGCGCCTAATCCAATGTTCCTGCAGCCCATTTCCACCGCTTTTCCGACTTTGTTCGTAGTCACAACGTCTGTGACCACCCGTGACCTCCGTGCCAAAATCGTAGCCTTAATTA